CTGCTATCACCATTAGTATTGTCATCATAACACCGTCATTCAAACCATCTTTAATATTAGCTACACTAGTGATTGTCGCCTTCCTTTACAACAATGGGAAGACAAGGGACACCGTTCGCGGCAGTCACATTGTTGGTTGCATTAAAGGCAAACTTGAGGGACAACATAAATCCGGTTCATATAATGCAGAAATTCTTCACAAGCGCAACAATCCCACACAATTGAATACTCATAATGAGTTTGAGTGAAACGCCAATTAGGAAAAAACTCACTGCTCCAAATCTCTTAAGTCAGGGAGTTCAGGAGGCTTAATAAAAGCAGTTCTGAAAAATGTAAACTACTAGGCCAATATTTTACTCGCAAATTACACCCTTACGGCTCTCAAAATGGCTTAAAGTTGATGCACTTGTGCGGAGTTCGGACTTTTAGAAGAAAGCTGAGTCACTCTTAGAAGGAATTACCCCATACTGGCATAAATAATTTAATGTTGTTCTCTAGCTCCTTGGACTGCACCATTAACACACGGCTCCGTGGCATTAAGAACACAGAAACCAAAAAAATGCCGACGAAAATACGGCCGTTGGTTCCAGCGACCTACTTATCCTGAGGCGGGAAACAAAGCTGAGCTGCAGGCTCAAGAGTGTGCAGCAGTTATGTTAAATAGCAGTGGAAAATTAGTTAGATGTATTAAAACCTACAATACTGAGTGGTCACATCGTCAAAAACTGAATTTCAATAGGGACATAATGTGATACTGGCTCGGCATTCACAAAGCTGTACAAACAGTCTTTTCATGAAAGTGCGCAAAAGGCACTCGTTTAACTGACGTTGAAAAATCGGCAACAAGACTACCGAAACGCCTAAGACTTGAACCTTTTTTAGGCTTGCTTGTTCCCGTTAAGATTGCAGATCTTAACCAATTAACTACAACAATTTACCATCACAAAGAGCCAGCAATCATTTCTAAACCAAAACTAATTATTTTAAACTCTTAATTGCTCTACTTGAAAGGCAGCTAAAAGATAGGCTTTGCAGCGATTAACCATTTCGAGTCGTCTTTAATACCTCTTCTATGACAACTATAACTGATCTTCATTGCCGGAAGATAGTGTTTCACGCGCAACTTAACATTGCTCGCAATTCGCGTGGGATTCCGGTGCTTGGGAAATTGGCACAATCCTACCGGTGTGGTGGAAGTCTCCAGATACTGCTGCTGGTTCATGTGTTCCCCTGCACACTAGAAGAGCGGAAATTTATATCTATGTGCAAGCAAAACTGCGTAAACTAAATTATGGATAGAGGGAGAAATGGCAACATAGATTTAAATCCGGCCGAAGATCAAACTTACGTATGAGCACTGGTATGATTCCGAATAAATTGGACTTTCCAAGCCTCAACAATGTATCAGTTTCTGCCGAAAACGATAAAAGTAGCAGGGACTTGGCTAAAATGTCTTGAAATAGGGAAATAATAGAGTCCGTACCATGTTCATCCATGTTTTATGTCTCGAGAGGAATTTGGAGTGCATACAATGAATACTGTCAAAGGGATGTCATTCTAACTTTGAGCCGCAGTTGCTTGATTCTTGGTCATAAGTAATGGATGATGTGTGCATTGGAAGCAGATTAAAATCACAGTATGACACTGTTGCTCTGTTATGATTAACTGCTTCCGAGCATTTATGAAACCCTCGAGCGGAGGTGAGGGGAGGTAAATAAGCTACCTTAAAAACAAACTGATCAGTAAATTTCTTAAAGTAGACATTTCTTACGCCTGGAATTTAAAAAATCGTTGAAAAACTCATAAGACTCTTACTGTATAAATCTCTAATTCCTTAAATTACTTATCACCTACCAACAAAGGAAAACAAGTGGGCATATTGATAAAATCGAAAGTGAATGTTGCATAAAACCCTTAGGACTGATAACAAGCGTTCTTAACTCGGTAGCGTCCAGCATCATGCTTGAAAATGCTAAACCATTGAGAGAGGTAACCGCAGATTCTGTAAATCAAAAAATATTCTCTACAAAATGAATATGGCATTGTCAGAGTAGGGTGTCGAAATTCTGAAGCCAAGTAATCAGAGTGACCCTATTCTAGAAGTATCGCAACAGTTTACCATTGTTGAAGTAACTAGCTTGTCGGGTGCAGACGTGCAACACAGGGTCGTGTGTTCACATTTACTGATAGGTGAATGCCGTACTGGCTTCATTTAAGTGGTGCCTTTATTTAGGGACCATTACGATCCTCTGAGAGAGAAATGTGACGCCAATCAACCGAGTAACAACACCCAGTTTAATTCCACGTGGTCTATCTTCGATATAAATATCAACTCTTCCAACTCTGAGAGATGCGAGCCCCCAATGTAACCGATCAGTGTAACCTTATCCACACATTTACAAACGGTTCCTGGTGGCCTCATAAAGTTTCAAGAAAGCAAGTTTGGGAGATTTTCACCAAAAGCAGAGGCTATTGACTAAAATACTCTGCCGTCCTTCAAAATGCAACCCATGACAGTTATCAAATGTTTGATGCGACACAATTCGAATTATTTGGGAACACTACTCTTGGCTACCCATACAAATGGAAAGACGATGGGTGAAAGTTTAGCCAAGGCGCCTAAAAGCCAGACAGACACTACTATCGCCTGTCACACCACCGAAGGTGAATGAATTCAGCGGAGATGCCTCGTAGATGAATTGAAAGAGCTGCCCATTCCCTTTGCGAACGCGCTCAAACCCCTGACGCAGCTCCTCGGCAGTCCAGTTGCAGGATGTTATCACCAGTATGCCACCGGGACGGAGAAGGTGGTGGGTGTTGAATAAATAGAGATTGCGAGACCTCTCCGAGACTCTCAGAGGGTTCGCGTCGTCGGGTGTCAAGGTGACGGCATCGAAGGTGCCTTTATCAATGGCAACATCAAATAGACCCTCTTGGGAAGTGAAATCGTAAACAGACTCCGAAGAAAGTAGATCCAAACACTAAAGTGGAACAAATAAAAATAGGTAGCTACCTACTTTAAAATTAACGCTAAGTAGGAAGAATAATGTAAACCTAATCCATAAGTAATTACATGAAAGAGAGTACCCTACTTAGCTCCCAAAACCCTTAGTTTGACCAGCTTTTTATCGGCAATGCGTTATTAATCACAACAGAAGAACCTTACGAGAATAGTGTAGCAAAGAAAATCATTTAAAAACTGATTGTGACAAAACGAAAACGACAATAACAAAGTTGTCAGCTATGCCCCTTTCGGGGAAGTAACAACTAGAAATGATGTGTAAGTCGAAAAAGAAGATAAAGTATTTGGTAAAATTTAGTGGGAGTACCTTAAACTTTGTACTTTCCGAGATTTGGGCAGATGTAGACAGCTTCCGCGCCAACTTAATGGCATTTTCGGAATAATCTATACCGACGACGGACACATAACCATGCGTCGCCTTCAAATACAAGGAAATGTATCAGTGGTAGATACTTCTTACAAGCTCAAGGCAAAAGTGACCGTTACCACTTCCCAAATCTAGTATTCGGGAATCCAAAGGAGTACCACAACTTGAGAGGTATTTGATAATGCGCTGTTCGCTCGATTTACCGAACCTAATTGGTCCTATGAGCAAAGATATTACTCAAAAACAATACCATATATCGCCTGTAGCATTAAATTCGACGAAATTCTCCAACTCTTTCTCGTAATGATTATCCCAACTACAGGAACATAATATCCATAGACGTGTTGAACGGACCTACTACTGTTTGGTTCCAAGAGGAGACGGTAGCAAATCGTCCATGAGAAATACAAATCCAAAATCTGAAATTACGGAACAGTGTGTATCTCGAAGACTGCCATGCGAAGGTGAGAGAATTACAAGTAGCCCCGGCGGAAAATACGCATAAAGGACATTGCATGGTAAAAGTACACAAGTGTTTGAAAAATTAAGTCCGTTTCTCTGAGAGTTACAAGAATACACCCACGTACCTGACAGCCTAAGCAAATGCCAACCGAGAGTCCTAAAAACAATTCTGGTAAACAAGTACTTAAAATGTCGCATGATATGGAAGGACTTTACCAGAGCGTCTGCATGAAGTGAAAATTTTAAAACGAATAATTGTGCAAAAATGGTCCTGTCTTCAGTCCTTGAAATCAGTCATTATTTATGGTTGAAGAAAGTTACAACATGAGTTCTCAAGAAAGTACATACTACTCAGAGCTCAGCATTTTAGAATAAAATTTCGTACAAAAATTGTATTAAATTGTAAATTTTCTTGCAAAATTTTTGTTTTTAACTCTAGACCTGCGTTTGTTTATGCAAAGCAATGCGTTTCATGTTATAAGTCTAGGGCGATGCTGCCCTGCTTGAAAAGCGCCGCACTTTAATAGCGGTAATGTCTTTCAATGGGATGTTCATCGAGTCTAGGATTTTCTTCACTGGCCTTTACAGGAACTAGATGGAGATCTTTTACCTTGCTAGGATTTTTCCTGATTCAAGTCATATTCGCATCTGTCATAATCTCCAATTCTTATTCCGATAAATTGACCTGGATTTCCTCAATCGTTGTACGTGGTTGTTATTTTCTTTTTGGAGGGTCCCGTTCTTGTAGTTCCAGTCGTGCCTATAGTTTTCTGTTGTCGCTTTAGACCTTTGAATCTTTACACCAGCGGTCTTTAGATGCAATTAATTCGTAGGAATAACCTAACAAATGTAGCCATCGTGTTTATTCTCCTTCCTATTTGATCACATTCGCGTTCGAGAATGCGGACTTTTGAAATATGCCAAACATTATACCAGGGTGCACGTCAAAGGAGCAAATGAATCCAAGTGCTACATTTTCTGCTAAGATGGTATCCATATAAATGTTTTTCGTGTTTTACATCGAACCTGGTAGCCTTGACTGCCTTTGAGTTGATAAATTTTTGAGTGATTCCTAATAGGCCCCCATTTGAATTTAGGGTAATCGGAGTCCTCCTCTATTTGCATATTTGCAGAGGCCCCACTCATCCAATGCGTACGTTTTAATTCTGTTGTGAAAATTTTTTTGCATTTCAAGGCAATGGTATGCTCAAAATCGCATAAGTGTTTTCAGATGCAGATGTTGTAGTGATACTGCCTTACCTAATAGTTTACTGGTGCACTGCTGCGCCGCATATTTTTTCTATCCTAGGTAAGACGCTAAATTTTTTGTGTAGATACTTTTTACGCGTTAGGTAAACTTATTCGCATATATTTCCCACCTTTTGTGGTATATCACTATGCTCAATCGGGATCTGGCTTTTTTCATGGCATTTTTTAAACAGGGTAAATTGTGACTCATGGGTGATTGGTAGCTTCCTGTTAAATTATAGCAATGCAGATGCTTGTGACAATTATCTGCGTTAGACCATAGGAAAGAGGAAATCGGAGGTTTTCAGTAATGCGCCTTCCCACTGAAAATCAGGGGAATTTTTACGGTATTTATCAAACTTGATCTCACTAGTCATGCTGTTATATTATCAGTACTCCATCCGAAATAAGTCAAGCATGTCTTGATTAAAACACTTGTCATTTTCCGTTGGTTCCAAAAGGTTTTTTCCCAGTATGCTGACTTGACTGGTCCAGCTTTTAACTATTTGCTTCGAACTTATCCCACTTTCATTTTGTTTAAGGTTTACTAATCTCACGCATCATTATGCGCCAATGGCACGCCTGGAATCTGCCATGTTATTTTCACGGGAACAACAAGTCAATCGACTGAAACGGCGGAATAAACCTAAAAGTCGGAGGATTGGTGAGTTTTTTCTCTGCTCTGCACTTTTGTGATGTGTTGAATTTTAATGTATCCACTACATCAAAGTGAGCCTTAAACCTGTCTGAAAATGTACAGATGTGCTAGGAACTCTGTTATTGATTATCGGGTATGTTTCTATTACTTATCTTCAAATTTCTACCACCTTTCTATAACACTTTGCGCTTTTATTGCACATTGATTCACTGAATTGTAATGTCACAGACGCACAACTTAAGTAATATCTTCGTCTGCCCAAGGGATTAATGCAAATAATAACCCCAGCAGTACAGCGCGTAGTTTCTAAAGTGTCTTCATTTTGATTTATCTAGTACACTGTGCTAAAACACCTGTGATCAAGCCACTGCACATCTTATTCACACAGATCAAATTAGAAGTTAGCGTTATCTCATGAGTGGCCATATTGTCAAGCTTGTTAATTTCTAATCGCAAATATCTTACGAGGTAACAGCAGTTGTTAAGTGGAGCTCAATTGCAGCCTTAGGCAAATTTATTTACAGAGACCGTTGTTTTTTCGTCCACTTCCATCCCTTGATGCGGGCACGTCCTTCGCCTTTTTTAAAATGGTTAATTATTCTAAAAATATCTGTATCTTGTTAATTGATTCTTGCAACTTTTCCCCGTTCTGACTCACTGCCCCTACTTTGCATGAATAATATGAATGCTTATATTGGCTTACGCTTTCGACTTAATCGGCTTTGGACTGTTTATTAAGAGTGCAATTCTCAGTTAATTCATTCCGTGATATTTGGCGTTTGCAGTTTTATCAGCAAGCTTTGATAGTAGTTTTTCACCCCTTCCCCAAATGGCGCAATCTGATGAAATCTGAGATCTTTTTCGAGTATGTTTAGGATAAATCGAACATATAAGTCATCTACACGAATGCTAGGCTATCTCGAAATTCTTGTAGAATCCTCTTTGACCGCCCCTCATGTTTACTACGGAGTATGGTATTACCGCGTGGTAGTTGCACGCCACCAATAAAGCTTTAGAGACGAAGAGTGGTTCAGACTTTTCATTTGATAGGAATTTTCGTGCTTAGTCATCCTAGAGATTGCAACAGTAAGTCGCATATTGTCAATGCAAACAGGACTTGCGATTTTGCTCTACTGAAATCTGATTTTCATTTTCCATCCGTTAAACTCTCTTTACACCGCTCGGACATGAGGCTCTGCATATATGACCGATCTGACGTTTGAGAACTTAATTTCTCATTCTATAAACCTCGTGAAAGTAGCACTTTTCCTTGCTTGTATTCTCATTATAATGTTTTGCTTGGTGACTGGATCTAGCTGAAAAAAATGCAGTCTTTCACGTAGAGAACCACGAAATTGCTCTAACTGAATTGTAAATCCTAGGAGCAATTCAAGATTACTAATGACAAGACTTCTGTATGATTTATGAGTCCATTAGATGGATTACACTTTTAAAATGGCAATTTTTCTAGTTCCTTCATGTTTCAATGTTTCATGTCGTACTCGAGTTTGTTTTGTTGGATTGATTCTGGCTCGCCTTGTACTCAAAGCATATTCATTGTTTACAGGGCGCATATTTTTACTATGAGAATATTTACTACGACCCTTTAGCCTATATTTCATGATATCTCTGTGCACTGTCATTGGCTCCAAATCCTATTTCTACCAGATGCCCGCTTTTTTGGGCTTGCTTGCAAATATCATTGTGTGGGTCGAATTACAGCATTTGTATCCACTTATTTTTTACATGTAGCTTACACTCACTAAATCCAACTACTGGAGTAATGTATACATGGATACTGAAAGTTCGATGACAAATCGTTCGAAAAGCTCTATTTGAATGAATTATTCAAACTATCGGTATGCGTTTCTGAGGTGGCTGGCGTACATTCCCCACGTGATTTGCGTTCATTTGTCTAGTGTCCAGTTCTCTGCTTATGCTTTCAAAAGAGCTTCGATATATGCGGTCAGGTAGCCGAAAATTCTGGCGTGTTCCTTTCAATTCATTTGTTCCATATTCACCATTTGCACATTTTTTAATTTGCAATTTCAGAGCAATCACCAAGGGTAGTATTTCGAAACATCACCGCTGCGAATAAAGTAAGTTAATCGCATTCTTGCGATTTCTTATGCTTTTGCGTTTATATCACCTACAAGGTGCGGAAATCTTGTGGCATTTTACGGCCGAATTACGACCAAATTTGCATGTTTGGTCTTTCTAAATATCAAGATCCTAGTCTTACTCTATTTAATCGCCTCCCATTTAGAACCTGTTGTAAGGAAGATCTTTACTAATATTTGGAACATCTTATCGTACTTGGATGATACCCCCAGCTGTTAGGCTCCTAACCACACGTTTTGCGGGTCTTCATATCCTCGTGTGTAATTTAAGGAGCAGTCTTTTTTCGCATGTAGCGAACAGCCCTCTTACATTGGCAATGTTCATAGCAAAGACTTAGTCATCTCCCCACACAATTTATCTTACGTCAGAACTTACGCAGGTTGGTAATTTGCTATCGTAGTGGCCTGTCCATTCATCTAAATCTCATTCCCATTCTCTCCTTATGACTGTGGCAGTGTTAGAAAGTAATTTCACTCCACTCCTTGTACGGGTAAGGAGTATGTAACCGTATATCTATCCGCAGAAATGAAATGTTTTAAGCATATTCGATCAAATATTGTTTGCTTACCACTGGAATTTTCTTAGTGAACTCTATCAACTCTCATAAATAGAGCACTAATTTAGAATTTATTTTCTTGAATCGTCGATTGCTCTGTCAAAAGAATTGTACTGTTCAGGTCAGCCTCTGATGGGGCAAGGTATGATATCTGCAACCTAATGTAAATTATTTAATGCCAACTATTGTCTGTCTTGCATAAGCACGTTTTTAGTCATAGTTTTCCTACCTAGTGCGATTAGTGTAGTATTTCGTGGGACTTGCCCGCAGTTGCAGATGCTAACGACATATGGTTTATTTGGCGTATGCATGCACATGTGTCACGTTAATTTTCCATTTAGTGAAAAATTGTTTTTCAGGGCCCAAAAACTCCTGGACAAGTATTTTTGCCATGTTTGTGAGACACCTGTGCCTTTTGCATAAAAAATCGACTCGCATTTTCACAGACAATCTTGGAGCATTAGCGTGACTTGACTTTGAAGAGGGCAAATACCTTTGATAAGTACCACCGATTAAAGCGCGTGGACTAATTGCTCGCCCTACTAAGAATTTAGGTCACTTGCTACTATCTGCGCACTTTTCTAACCTTCCCATAGTGATCAAATCCATCATCTTATATTTACTTAAATATCACAGACTTATGCACCGATCGCTCCTACTAAGCCTTTGGTAACAAAATTCGAGAACTTCAAGTTGACTAGCACCAGTGACTGCTCATAATGCGCTAACCCCTTCTTAAACTTCATGGTTATTTTATGTTATAAAACTTGTCATTTCGGCAATTAGAAGTAGTAATCTTAGTAACCGCCTTTTATAAAAAGCGTTTGCGGCCTAATTTATTGTAAGGCGACCAGTGCTAACAAAGAATAAGTCAATTTAATTGTCATGAGCCATTGTTCACTTATCCGTACTTTTTTGCATTCCAGCCAACATCGTCAAATTCTATAAGATGAAAAGCATTCTATGCTCATGAGATTTGGCTTATATTTTGATAAACATGGATTGTTGAAAAGTTCTTCATTTTCCGGGAAATTGAGTTTGAGTAGGATTCTAAAGATGCCGTTCCTACCTTGATAAATCAATGGCTGGGTGTGTACATAATATGGACCATGGAGTTACGTGATCTTCCGAACACACCAGTAATAACTTGAAATTTGAGGTCATATCAGCAGTAGTACTAATTACCACCAGAATAAGTATCTGTGGACGGTGAGATGCGCCAGGCAGCCGCCCTCGCTAGGCATGGTTTAGTGGAATATGGGGCATATGCAATGAGATTAGGCTTGAAAAATATTGCAATGCTATTTAGCAATTGGAGTTTTAGATCTGTACGCGATATCTCCCATCGCTGAAATGTACATGGTTCATGCGAATGGAATCCAGTACCGGGAAGTTGCCTTCAAGATAGCTGATGTCGCCTTGTCTCTGGAACTTCATTCCTCGACCATATTGTATTACTGACATGTCCTCTATTAAATGAAGTTTACCTGGGTCGTTCTGTGGTAGATTAAACAGGCATTAGTCTATCAAGAAAGTGTTAACAATTTCTTTGGGGCTTCCATCTAAATTTTACTTCGCTTTTGGTGGTCACCCAAACTATCCCATCCACTCCTAATGAAGAGCTTTTTTTGAAAATGTGTGAGTCGCGTGTATTGACACCATAACTTGTGCATGTGCGTGTTGAAATTCGGGGATTTTCCTCCATTTCCGTAACCTTCAAGTACAGAAGGTAACTTTACTTACGTGCGCACGTCCACCCAAGTCCAGGATACCTGTAGCATTAGCGAACTCCTTTCTTATCCTAGATCCTCCACCCTGTTCAAGTGTTTCATCGTCCTGGCGGGGAAGGGCCCTACATTGTGGAACTCTACGTTGTAGTCGACGAAAAATTTGTAAGTGTCCTTAGGTGACCCTGGCCATGCATGCACATACGCACCCACAAACACCCTTACACACCGGCAACACGAGGTTTTCTAGCCTTTTTTTGCTGGTCACTGTAGCACCAACACTTCCTCGCCTGTGAGCAATGAATGCTCCTCAATTCTGTTTTGGTGTGTTCTTGCAGGGCGGTGACATTTTGTCGGCCATGTGTCACTGGTTGGCATGAGTAGCCATTAGCGCGCCTCTTTATTGCGTTAGCCGACGACGCGATTGGTAGAGCTAGCCTCGGGTTTTTTTTCATAGCCGTCACGCCTATTCATCAGAGGGGTGTGCCACTTTAGTGCTTTCCCTCAATCTAAGTCATACGACGCGTTATCATTGCACATTTTGTGCAGTTTATTCGTTTCTTTTAAAGTGGACTGCTGAAGAAAGGCCTCAGTCTGTTCCAGATGGCTTTTAAAGTTGGGCGCTCGCGTCAGTGCTTTGAATGCTAAAAGGGTCAACCTAATTCGAGTACAATTCAATTAATCACACAGTGACTTCAAAGGCGTATCGTTATTGATAAAGGCATTCTGTCCAATCATCTTTTTCTTAATCTTTCGTAAGACTAAGTAATATTTTGTTAACTCATAACGGAGTACGTCTTTTCCTGGGACGTGAAATTTTAAGGATTTTCCTGCCTATTGACTCGCAAAAAACATTTCGTCAGCTCACGCTATTTATTTGTGCTCAAACTATCAAATACTTTGGCGAGGCGGTTATTATACCTCATTGTATGAGGAGTTCAAAACGTATTAACACTCTTTCCAACATTAGATCCATAGTGGAAGCTAGATTGGATATTTGAAGGAAATAGCATAAGCTTTGAACGTTCAGATGGCGCAGGTGAGGTTTAGCTGGGGTGAAAGTACTTCGATCTCAGAGGCGTTAATCTTAATGATAAAGCCATTTGGGATTTTTAGCTAGCAATCTAATTGACTTTAGTCACTCGGACGGATTTTGGAGCTCTACAGAGGGGCGCCCACTTCAATTTGGATATTAGTTTTGTATTTAACTTATGTAACAATAGTTATCTGCCTACTAGTTTTAAAATAAACCGATTTTTCTTCATGGTAGTAGCTTGAATCCATTTCCTAGGCCAATAGACCCGGATACACGCGTCTTGGAAATTACCAGACCTGGGTGATTGGTGGTGCCGGGCCGGCCGCCACCGCCGAAATTGTCGTTATGCTGCAACTGATTCTGTGCTTTGTTGTATCTAAAGGCCATATCTTAAAAATAAACAAGTTTAATCATTCCTATTTACGACAATGAAAATTCGTTTAGTTTGGGCTGGGAGACTTTAGCAATAACGCATTGCAAGGATTCCATACGCCATTTGAAATGAGTCAGTCTGTTGTCTGCCCTTGCCTGCCTTAATAGGCTAAGTTGACTAGCTGTGGACCATATAATTTATTCCTGTTTTCGTAATTCTCGAAAACGCCCATGTTATTTTGGTGTAGTTGGTAGGCTTCTGAGGTTTTATCATTTTACATCGAAGTTCATTGCTATGAATATCTATTAGAGTTTTCCACCACGATATTTTTGAAGAAACCTGATGGATCAAAGTCACTTTTTCTGTTGGATCACTGCCTGGAACAAAACTTCCAGTAATTTTCCATGTTTTCAGAAAAAGTAAATCAGATTGCTATCAAATCAGTGCGTTTTGTGTGTTCAAAATCGAAGATATCTACCAGTCAATGTTCATTTCCCCACTTCAGAAGTATTTCTCCGTATACTGAGATTGTGTTAATTGTCTTATCCTTCGATATTGACGGATCGAAGACGTTGTTCGCGATATCCATTTCGTGAAGAAACAGTAGGCCAGAGGTGAATTCTTTGCTTTAAGAAGCGTGCTTGTTTTTTTGGTTAAATAGTATGGCTAGATATCTCACTCGATTGGAGTTGTTTTCTACTGGTGATCCCGTGTAAGCAAATCATTGTGCCCAAAATTGTTCCTTGCGATTTAAGCGTTTGGCGGGATATAATGATGCTAAACATCTCAATAATCAGCTTCCCCTTCCTTTTTATCACATTCACAGTTGACGGCTTCTCTATCAAAAGCATAGTTCTACAGTGTCAAATTTACTCAGAATTATGCGTTTCTTGGATAATTTATGCTGAAAAATTACATCAACGCTCGCAAACTTCGGGGGATAAGCAGGACTTGAATCACTTTTAGACTTGAGAGCCAACAGTTGTTCAAAGCCTCTGTGTGAATGGCGTACTGGCAGTCAGGACAGATTACCTCTTATCTTTAAACATTGCGTTACTGAGACGCGTTGCTGATAAAACGCTTTTCGCTACTTTTCATACTTTACGTATCATTAGGTCAACTGGCATAAATTGAACAGAATTTGCGAACAAAAGCAGGCAATTTAACGTACGTTAGTCCTTGGTGCCGATGACAGTCGTTGAAAACGTCACGATTTGTTTGCAAGGCTTGAATGGATATTCTTCGGTTATTTTGCTATAAATAAAGTTGATAGGTGGTGGACTATGTTGGCTGAATCTCCTATTCTAAGCAATTTTTTGCTTGTGGTAATGGTGATCCACTTTCTGTAGTTAGCCCTGTTTATTAACTGCGTACATTACTTTTAACGTCATGCAGTCAACATGACTAATTATGCCTACGGAAATTAGCATAATTTCGCATAAATATGCCTTAGTCTCCTTTGCATTAGAATGTTTTATCCTGCCTTCGTAGGTGAGCTCTTTCTCTCACGATGTTGTACAGATCGTAACTCGCGTCAACAGTATCTTCCAGGCTGTAAATGGAGTAAGTCCATTATTCAGTTATGCGTAACGTTACCGTTTGATATAATGTATGATGAACTGACTTCACTTTGAAGTCTACTTTGTCAATGGAAGTAGTTAATTGGCCTTCCTTCAGGTCTGGAGGCTGCGATTGCTTTCACAATCAATCAGGTGCGGTAGAGATTGGCATGAGATCTAAGAGCTGTGTGCCTGTAATTGCGGCATTTGCAGTATATTTAACAATGGAAACTGAGGTTTGCAGTATAATATTTGACAAATAAAAGTGGTTTTGATTTGATTTACAAAAGTTGCTGCTGTTTCATTGGAGGATTGATAAATTTGTATGAAAAACACCTTCATTTAATTTCAGTTGTTTGCTCAATTCAATGTTCAGCTCATCATAGTGGGTCTAGAGATTTGGGAAAAAAATCGTGTGAATCTTGAGGCAGAAGAGCACTTTTTGAAAACACTTGCCAGTTTCAAGCGTACAGAGGTGAATGTTCGACACGACTGCTTGTTTGCCCTTCTGTAAGTACACTCTCTCCCATCTTAACAGGATTTCAATCCATCCAGATTTTTGTCGCTCCATAAAACTCAACACCATTTTAAGCGCTTGAAAATTCACGTGCTTTAAATTATCAAGGGTTGCATGGCATTTCGTTTGATCAGCTTCGAGTAGTATAAACGTAGCGCCAACTCGTAGAAACACAATTTAGTTTAGATTAGTCCAATTCTTTAGGTTTTTTTGAAATTTTAATTCAGGCAATAACTCGCATATTAAAACAGTCTTTAGTTGTTTCTTAACAAGAGATTAGGGAATTGATTAAAAGTCGCATTGCAAAACGGATAAGGAGAAGAGCTTTTTAAAACATGCATGCAATTTTTATTGAGATGTCAGCAATTGGATCACTTTTGTGAGGTGAACTAGACATATTACGCGAACTCCAGTTTATTGTTTTACAATTTAGCATTAGTATCCTTCCCACTCAAAACACAGTCATTTGGCCTAAGTTATATTTACAAAAGCTTTGACTGTACCATTTGTCTAACAACGCTTGATGAAGAAATTCTCATGGTTTTATTGGTTTATTTGGGGTTCCATTTCTCTAGCTCTACCAGCTCAGTTTATTCTTCTCCAAAAATATGTCTTCTTCTTCTAGCGGAGACACTGATCAAGCTTCAAACACTCGTGGTCGGGCTAACCGGGAGGTCATGTGCAAACACTCGTCGTGTGTCTCATTCGTCCGTGTAAGTTTACACCCTCCCCCCCCTCTCTCCCACTTAGTTCAGTTTTTAGTGGATTATGCATCAAGCTGAATGGGTTGGCGCCATGACCTTATCACCGTGTTTATGTGAGTTGCGTTATTTACTTGCTAAACTAAACACCACGCGCAAATGATTCCTTTTCTTTTCCTACTTTTCGATGTTGCTAACACCTAAAAAAAGTCGGCTCTGACGCGTTGGCGGGGGGCAGAGAAACGACTAAATGTAATGTAACGGGAACCCTGCCATTGCGCACCTTTTAAGTACAAGCGGGGCATAAATAATCAAGCATGCACTTTATTCGTCAGGGTGTTCCACGCATCTTCATAGATCAGCTGTATGTAACCCCATCCACAGTGTAAGAGGTGACTAAAGTATTCAGTCATCGTACGCATCGTTATCTCCGTTCCCCGTTATTTTTCACCATCATCATTACTTCAGCTGAAAGGTTGTCTTAACATATTACTTTCACTTACAATGATGCGGTCTTGACTACCTTATGCAATACAGGAGATGGCCTGGATACTATTTACGATTGTAGTAGCTGATTTGCTGGAACTCAATTTCACGTTTCGTCAACTTACGACGTGCGGATTTCTAGATAATATTAACATTACTTTTGAAGTAGTAACATCTCATTGCTTTCATATGCCGTATTTAAAGGTTAAATATTGATCTAGGGTTAAGTAAGGTCACACTCCTGAAGTAATTTACTTAATCTGCAACCGCCTTTTGAATGGATGTTTGTCGAATTTTATTGTGAATGGGGAAATTGGGTATCATTTAGTTACCTTACCTAATCTTCATCGTACAGTACGGTTGGGTAGTGTTAGTGACAATCTAACCACAACACTGAAGTGTGTGACCACCAGATCCGCTACAGTAGTCCAACATCTCAATCAATGGGTTGGACTTTCGGACTGAATCTGGAGCATTTTCATGTGATGAAAAGCACAACGCTTTCATGTGATTTCCCTTAAGGATTCCCAATACATGGAGGTAAACGAGACCGCTCGGACCGCGGCCCATGAGTTGGGTCACAATTTCGGCCTCCGACACGACACCGAGAATTGCGAGTGTCAGGGCTGCATCATGGCTACCGGCGTTGAGTAAGTTTGCCATTCAGACCCAAATCGATAGCCTTTCACCTATTATTGATTATTATTGTATTAATACAAATCGTTTGCATAGGATGTCTTTGCTTTTTGCATTTGATTGGCCCTAACCTAAAATTGGAATGCCGATCCCATTAAATTATATCGCGCATAAAGTTCATTGCAGCGTGTAAAAATTATCGGATATTATCAGATCTTTCTTAACCGATGCTCGTATTCCGCGTTCTGGCTTTGCCAAATGGCAAGACTGACAATGACGCTGAAATTTCCTGATTTTTTTCGGAATGCTTGAATTTTCTGAATAGCTGGAACTACTTTACTCACATTGACTCGTAACTTTTGATGGTCTATTCTTTTATGTACACGAATGAAAAGCTTCCATTCGTATAGCATTTAGGAGTTTCAGTCGTACAACATGTTTGCTTAGTGTATAGATTCCACTTTGGGACAGGCGGTGGAAAGTGTACTGACGTCTTTAAAGAGTTTTGTTTTCTTGTCCAAAATATAGATTTGGAACAGCCACAACGGAATGGTCCCCCTGCTCTATCCGCGATATGCCCAACTTGCTACACTACGGAATGGGTGCGTGTCTCCACGACGTTCCAGTACATTCACACACCAGCCTCTTACCACGACAAACTCGACTGCTCGAGGTCAATGGACCTAGTGTTATCCATACCTACACCGCAATGAACACTCGCCGAGGTACTCCGGAACTATTTCAATCAACCCCCACATCTCTCAAGAGGTCTCTCTGTGGAAATGGAAAACTGGATCCTGGTGAGGAATGTGACTGCGGAACTGCGTAAGTTGCATGTATAAAAATTACTTAACTTAATGTTTGTCCAGTCTATGAGCCTTTATACATCTTCATTGTGGTTAACAATATTTTGTTCATTAAATGGTTTTTAGTCCGCTATTCGCTCCGAAATTGCCGCCAGTTCATATTGAAACTCGGCTTAAGGTGTGGAGTAACTCAGATGATCATTTTCATCCATGACCGGCCACCTAACACTATCTTTGCTACCCACCTAGATCGGCTTGGAGGTTTGATAAGTTCTACGACCAGGATAGGGAAATGTGCTTATGGAAACAAATATATGTAGTCATCGCAAAGCGGATGTGTTGGGGTGTTTTGTTCAAGATAGTAACTTACAACAAAAGAAAACGTTGATGAACCATGTCATTCGTTTTCCCACGTTCCTCAAACACTTTGCAACGGCTCTTTTAAACGAAGCATTTAGGTCTACTCTGTGAATAGTTCTGTTTACATTCGGTGGTTCATAGGAAATTCTACTAAACGTAAACTTTTTGACTCGAATTGCTTTGAATAGCAAAGAGCTATTATGTCATGACATCTAGTAATGCAAAAAATCTGTCCTTAGGTTGAGACACAAGATCCTGTTATTAAAAGCACTAACTACAAACCAATATTTACGCATTGGAAGATTTTAACACACCGCTTATTAACAGAATGGAGATTTTTGTTATTCTTGAGGTTGAATTCTGTGTTTGGTAGTTGTCTCAATGCGCCCCCTCGTTAAACAATTGAGTCACAGTTTATGTCCTCACTGACAGTGGCGGAATTTATGGCTGCAGTCATCATGGGGCATGCAAGTGAGGCATCACACTGTTGTGCCCTCTACCAGATACCTGCCTTGATCAAGAGGCTTTAGCAAGGAATCGTTATAATTCCACTATAGTGTAATTTGCTCTTTTTTAATTAATCCCTCCATCATCAGTTAAGCAATGTTAGGTGCTTTCTCCGGGTATTCAGCCAGAATATTCTTTTGTTCTATAAAAATGCGTTAAAAATGTTAGCTTTCCCCAAGGCTGTAATGATAGCAGTGTTGAGTTTTGAAAAAAGTATTGAACTACAATTTCTTAAGCTCTTCCATGATTGGATGTGATATTTTCACTTCGTCGTTGTGTGTTGAATCGACTGGTTCGAAAAGATTAAATTTGCTGTTGCTGCTAAAGATGTTTCCAAGATTTCCTTGGTGCATGTTTTGGGAATTCAATGAAGATTTTTGAGGAAACTCCTTTGAAGAGCAATTTAAGAATAAAATAAAGTTATTTGCTATCTTGAATAATTCAGGATACCTTTAGTTATGTTAATTGACCTAATGAGAAGTACAACGCTTTGTTAATTTCCTAATACAAGCGACAAATATTTAGACATTAAAAACGAAAAAAAACATAAGTGTTTTTGTGATGAAAAGGACTATGGGCGGGAAAATTATTTTTGTGAACATGTCATGAAATTACTAATAGTTATTTCACAACCTTTTCCATTTTTTTATTGTTACTCCACTGTTTCTTGCAGCAGGTCCTGTAATTCCTCCAACGCTGCTCCATGTATACACACACGTATATTTGCAGTGCAGCAAGTATGTGCCACTTCAATTTTATTAAGGATGGTTTGTTGGAGAAAGTCTTAACTTCCATTACACTCCTTTGGTTTGAGCGCGACCCTGTAGCTCTGTAGCTGAAACAGATGTTTGGCATGGCCACTGCAACACTGACTAACCAACCACACAAACCTAAATGACAGGCTGCCTTGTATTTTTGACAATAAGTACATTTACTCGGCCGCGAGTGGAGTGGTTTTGGGGAGTTTTCACTACTTTTAGTGTGTTTAGGAAGTCTTTTATGGGTTTTAGTTCTAAAATTCCTTTTTAAAGCTTCATAAAATGACAAATGCACGGCACCTGATACAAGGATACGCTCCCAAATGGCCTTCAGTCGGTTTGGTGATATCCCACCCACTCAATGTGCAGAGAATCTCACTAGCCGTTTCTGCTGAATACAATTACTGCGTTGTTTTAAGAGCATGTTTAGGACTCCGTCGTGTTTGCGCTCGCGGGTAGTATCAGGTCAAGAAGGTCTTGGTTTACATGACTCGGCGTTTCAAGACGGCAGTATGTACTTTAGATAATAAGGTTTAAGGTCATTCCCTCAAGGTCGATAATTTGATAGTTTTTTTCCGGTAATTCACTTATACACACCCATTTGTGGCTCATCAAGAGACGTAGACAACGAAGTGTTGGGGACAAGGCCTGTCCGTGGCTTGTTTTTTGTCTTACTTTTTAACTCAGCCACCGTACTGATGAGGGTTAGTATCACAGTTTTAGTCATTAGCGTGTGTTGGTGAAAATGAGTCGGCAACCTATTTATTGTTGCATTATATTGGATTTATTGGGAATGGGTTCTCCTTTTTTACGCCGCGCCATTTTGTGTCGAAAGCTAAACAGTCCAGAAGTTGGTGTCTGCTGTTTATTTTTTTTCAGAAACACCGATCAGTCTATTGAGATGCGTAACATACTTCACCTTCCACATCTACCACTCAATTTTAGTCCTGGAGGTATTCTTCAGCATGTTATTGAAGGTGAATTTTGCCAGGACTACTCAAATTCTATTGATTAATCCTGGAATTTTACATCTAACGTAATTTGGGCTCTATTTTGATGCATGTTCGGAGTTTTTGGCCTTTGCAGCCCAACGAAAACGCATATTAGCGTAAACTGTAAGTCACTCAAGATTTGGTTTACAACCTCACCTACGAGCAATTGATCAACATGTAACTTATTTGTACACATTCATTTAATCAGAAAGTTGACGTGTTATTCATTTCACTTCTAGCAATGAAGTGTTATCCTAAATTCGTTTCTATGTCCTTCTATTTTTCTATCATTCTTTTGGAAGGGCTTGCATTTTACGCCATGAGACGTCAGATTCGAACCGCTTTGTTTCGTGTTATCACGCGCATGTTTATCTCGTTATTTCCACTTTAAAAATATGTACCTGTTCACCGTCTAGAAATAATTTATTTTCTTCAATTTACCCCAGTGCCAAAGTACGCATTGAAAATGGTTTATTTTTGCAAGTATGCAGCAGAAGCCGTGTTTTAATATCTCGATCCGATGTTGATGGTGCTATCCTCAGCTTATCCAAGTTAAAAAGGTATCAATAACGGTAGGGTTGGGTTAAGCTATCTTAAATGAAACCCCTCATTAAAAAAACGCTTTACAGAGACACCTGTCCAAAGGAAGTGCAAGCGTGCTGCGATGTGAAGACCTGTAGTCTGCTCGCCGGAGCGGAATGTGCAACTGGGCCCTGCTGTGACATCCAGTCAGCCTTTGGAGACCCATCCCATACCATTTGCAAACTCAAACAGAGCGGATCCGTGTGCCGTGAGGCGGGTAACTCTTGTGACCTTCCTGAGTACTGCGATGGGGGGTCGGAGTGGTGCCCTGCTGATGTATTTAAAACTGACGGTGAAGTCTGCTACACAAAGGAGGGCTATAAGGTGAGGTCAAAGTGCAGTTACCCTTAAGGCAGACGATCACGCAATGCCAGCCTAACAGTGCTCAAGGGGTTGCTGTCTAACTTTGTCTGCATAAAGTACGCAAGCCAAAGCAATAATGGCCTGACTTTTAATGCCATTTTACTGAAGTTTGGATTACTGTGGTAGCTCTATACCTTTTGCGGATAAGTGCGCCCAGCCGCCCTGCAAATGATACTATACCAGATCGAATAAATCAATTTATTCTACGTACTTAAAGTTTGATGCTGGTGGGTACGCATATCTCCCCACTTTTCCTTGTGATTTTCGGTGAAGGTTCGAGTAGATGAATTGCGTGAATTCTCAGTGTTTTACTTGTAATTATCCGCGATTTTCACATTGATAGAGAATTTATCAGATCCAAATGTAGATGGCGATCCAATGGTTGTCAAAATAGGCTACGATTTTAACACAAAGTATGCTTCTTTTGGTGATTACTTTTAATCAATCAGCTTAATCGGTTATTAAATTTTGACTTTTTAGCTCATTAGTTTCGTTAATCTACCCAAGGATTTGTCAACAGTTAGGGGTACTTCGAACGTGAATTTTCGTAAATATTGGTTCATCGTAAATGTTGGATTTCAAAGAGTTAAGTTTTTTAGTGCTAGGTATCACACACGGTTGTTCAACAATGGGATGTATCATTGCATTTGTTTGATGCATTTGTGATTTAATGTTTTCTTTTGTTGTTTTGATCTGCCTGTGAATCTAGTAAAAACTCAATAGAACGGGGATTCAAAGTTTATTCAAAAGTCCCGAATACATTGTTTGCTCAGAGTTAAACGCCAGGCGAATGGGGAGTTTGGCTTCCCGACATATATTAAAATAGTGGTTTTATTGTTTGAAGGCGGATTACTATTTTTTGGCGACTTCGAGATCGTATTTTGCTTTTTATGGTACCGAATTTCGCAAAGGTGACTTACCCCCGCTACCTATACTTGGCTTTGTGAGACATTTTTGTCAAGGCGAATTTGCTTCTACCATAATGAATCTGCCTTCTTCCCACCCAGAAAAAATTTTCTCAGTGCTTCATTAAGCCGATGGCCTTATTTGCATTTGGTGGTCAGTCCTTCATCGTATCTATCTATCTATGACGTCGCAGTCAATCCAAAAGTGATAGATAATCCTTTGTTGGCCAATTCATCCATACGCAGACCAAAAAAGCATTAATTAGAATGTATTCTCTGCATAATATCTGCACAGAATAAAGTGCCACTAAATAAGACCAACTCCACAACATTCACCGCTTTATGATCTCTTACAATTAAGTGCCACCGTTTAAAATTTCATCTTTCCATCTAAAATAACGACCACTACTATGCATTTTTCGAACGTCAAACCGTTCAAAAGTAAATATTGTTACGTAAGTAGCACTTAAGACGGGTTTCCTTAGGCTGTTCTCTACCTTTTAGCATTGCGTCTTATTTTGGATGTTATGGCCATGTGTATTATAGGGCGTGGCACCATCCAGTCACAGGCTTTACGCCATTAAATGTTTCTTTAGTCACTAGTCTTATGACTCGTTACGACATTCGGTATTTTAAACTGCGCGACATCAGCTTTACTAAGTGAGCATCTTTTGTACCTTTCCGTAGGTACTGTATTTGATTTCAAAGTCATTTTTATGAATGTATAAAAGTAATACGGTGGAACATCACGGCAAAAGCATGCAGAACGAATAACAGGGGATTAAAAAGATATACGTGCCACAATGAATGCTCAAAATAGATGCAATTTTGTTAAGCATTTCTGTTTAGGGTAGGTAATAGTTAAGTATTTTTTTGCTACAAATGATTCAAGTTGAAGACCTCGTGATATTTGCTGTCGAATGCTACATGAATATGCCAAGAAGTTACGTATTTTAACGCCTTCAAACTTTCAAAATGTATATTGAAGTGGTTTTCTTTCTTGATATGATCGAAAATGTCGCCATTAAGGGAGAAAAGAGTTGGGTTTAACAGTGCGTATGGGTGAATAAGTTGGTGTGCTTTCTCGTCTTTCAGTCTCACTGCATCCGTGGTGGATGCAATGCGCCGGACGAGTGGTGCCGCGTGCTGTGGGGTCCCACGGGCACGGCGGCGGGGCCGGGCTGCGTCGCCTATAATATGATGCGGGATGATAACCACGCTGTCGACAAGGTTGCCAACTGTGGACGTCTAAGACCCAGAGGCGACGAGCGCTGGCGTGAAATGGATCAATGGCCCTCCAAGGCCTGCAGTGATTGGCAAGTTTCTTTTGCCATCTCTCACCATATTCCCTCTGCAATTCTTGCCTCTCACAGAAAAAATCTTTTTTGGCAAGCAGGGTTATTATTTTCCCTGCCTCGAACATATTCAAAAACAAATGTGGAACTACTCTTCAAGTTGGAGTAGTTTATTTAGGCAACGGGAATAAAAGGCCAATTTCGATTCTTCTGCTGTTCTTACTTGATTGGGATAACTTCCAAAGAATTCTGCTTTTGGAAGAGCGTCTAACCTGTATTTCTCAGTGAATAAAAGTCGCTCGTTCAAACTTGCTACGCAGTATGGTATAGTACGCCTTAATGATAACTTACAATTGTTCCTATTGGAATCAAGAGAGTGCGTTATTTTCTTCAAAATCAACCGTTTATCCTGGCATTATTACAATGGAATTTGCTGTAGAGGATCCTATCTTGGTATCATTAAACTGGAGCAATGCTTTAACTCTTTTCACCCAGGTTTTGAGCGTTATTTTAGTCAAAAGTATCTTTAAGTGGGGAACAGTTTCTAACCATTAATGAAATTTTCTGCCCTTCTTTCGCCTGACAGGGCTGATGCGGAGTGTGGTCGGCTGTGGTGCACGCATCGAAACGAGAAGGCGATGCTGCTCGGTTGGCAGGAGCAGCAACCTCGTATGGAGCCGCACTCCCAGAGAACATGCGTGGCGTTGGTGTACGACCCTCCCGATCCCCTACAGCACTCTGAAACCACCCCCGAGACGGGCTTCTTTGGTCCGGGTTGGGGCGACGCCGCTTCCGTCACTCAAGATGCCGGTATGACTCCTGATGGAACGCCCTGCCAGCGAGGGGTGAGTCTCTCTTCCTGCATGCCTGAGCTTACTGTCACATCGTAGTAGTTACCAGTTTCGGCGCTTCATAATGTAACTTTTTATTAGTTCCCTAACTTGTTGCACAGTTTTGTGATTAACACAACATTCACAGCTGAACACCATTAATCATTCAAACATCACGTTTTGGTGGGAAGGCATTACCACATTCCAAACGTTTTTCACTGTATTACTATTTCGTTTGAGTTTTATTGATGAAATATCTTCATTGTTACAAATGTAATCAAGATTTTCCATTACTGACTGACCCGAAAGGCAAAAATTGTGCCATAATGATTATGCATGGGTGAATTATTGAATATGTGCCACTCTATCATGATCTTACTGGTACATACAAATCTGTAGGGGGTGTTATGATACTTGTGAAAAGTTTAACGCGAAATTGTGCCACCTTTGTGGACTTGGGACCTATACGGCGCCCTTAGGTCATCCTTGTTTACTTTGTTTACCACCTAGTCAATAAAATTAGTAGTCGGTGTTACGATACCCTTTTGACGTAACTACATAATTTGCCTTACGATTATCCGTATTTGCTAAACAGTTATGCTACAACGGAACTTGCATCAGGCGAGATCAACTCCCGTTTCGAAAAATGTGCAATTGCAACTACAATGGGGTAGGGATATCTAACCTTTTTACCATTACACGCTTTTGCGAGATTGAATCGCATGCACTTTCCTCTTCCGCCTGTAGGTGTGCAACAATCTAGGGCACTGCCACTGCAATATCGGCTACGCTCCGCCAGACTGCACGGAGAGCGGAAACGGGGGCTCGGTCGACAGCGGACCCCCACCGCCATGTAGGTTTTTTTGTATAGACCCGTCTTTTCGCACTTCACAGCCGTACTTTACTGTTAATAATAAGCTTTGGATATAGTCATTATGTAACACCATCCTTTCGTCGTCGAAACGCGCTCCTGGGAGTCCTCTCGTTCCCCTAAAAAAACTTTCACTTATACGTGACCTCTTTAGAGCTCAAGTGACACCACATCAAGTGGGGATGGCGTTTGCAGAACCGTATTTCATTAAGTGTGATAATTTTATCACAAGGTTTCCGGAATTGATGGTGCCACTGTAATTTCCCTTCACAGATATTCTGCATTGACACTTTGAAAGGGTAGAAGGAAGTTGCGATGCATCATAGGGACGGCCAAAACAACAATCAACATTTAGATGCTACAATGCTTCTTGACACAAACCAGATGAAGATAGGTGTGGCATTTGACAGGTTTGTACGCAATCCTGCTCGCATAGGAAGTAACTGAGCAAGTAACGAAACGCCTTATTATCGCTTTGTTAGTATAGGTTTTATTTATTTCCCCATTGTTATGCGAATAAAGGTTTTTTGTTAAATGGTCATACGTATTCGTTGCTCAATTCAGAGCTGCTTCGATCGGTAGCGTATGGCAAACGTTGGAGACCGTGACGGTGTAGAGATTTTGACAAAAATGTGTATACTGCTGTATTTTCGCGCTTTGTGACCTAGCGAAGGGGTGAAATGAGTGCGCGTTTCGCACCTGATCGCCCATCATGTGGTCGAATGCGCATCATTCCATGTGTGTAGTGCAGGCATGGATGCGGCGGATAGTCTGAATTACTGAGTTGTCGACATAGGTGAATATGCTTACTAAATATGAGTAGTCCCATAAAGCATCTTGTAACGAGTTGAGTGCTAAAAGTACTCATGTGCTTACTGCATTAGTGAAAACGTGCATTTTATTTGCTGTGAGCGGGAAGCTTCCCTCACCTTCTAGTATTTTGAATTTCTTTGGTGTAAGTTTCCCGGACGGTCTCCCACGACACCTTGATGAAAAGGACTGGTGATTACCATTTTTTGCATTGAGGACCTTTGATGAGAAAGTAATCATTTGGCTAGACCGGAGATTTTGTGCATCTTTACTTCTTGGTGATATCCATTTCGTCTAGATAAGCAGATGTGTGTATGATACTCTTCTTATTAATATCAATAGAGGTCCTCATAGGAAAATTGTTGAGTGCGTTGAAACCCTCATCCCTTTTCAGAAGTGAGCCTAACGAGATTACTAACTGGTTTGCTCTCGTAAAACCGTAACATATTACACCTCTTCACTCCATAGATAATAATGTCAAATCATACCTTGGTCGCAATACTTACAATGGATGATTCTCCCGTTTCCACCTGCACTCATTTCCACTTAATAATCTTGTACTTCTCTAACTATTTGACGTTATGATCGAAATACCAATTACGAAGGCATTTACCGGAATAAATATTTATAGTTCGCTAAATCAAGTGTCTTCCTTATTTGTCAGCAATATTCCTACCTTTTTCCGAATTTAAAACAATAACAGGTGACGAAATTCACGTGACTTGATTCAAATTTGATTTCATCTGATGATGAACGATAAGCTGAACTTTTCTCGCTCCACCAACTGGATGGCGTTCATAATGTCTTATTTCAAAACTTTTAAATAGGTAGAACAAAGTCCGGTGTTATTAAACGTATGCGTTTACTTAATTGAATAGCAACGTTTAAGCATAAATGCTTAGCTTTGATAAGACTTCCAACCTTGGATCTATAGATACGTATTCTCTCTACAATCCTTCATATTTTAGCGTGGCACGAATATGGCTTCATATTCGCCATATGCTTCATCGTATTCGTTCTATGCCCAGCATTCCTGCTGTGCATGTATTGCTTGCTATGCCGATGCCGAAAACGAAGGCTCATTTTCCCTAAATCTGGGCCCCTACCACCACCTTCCTCCTATGGAGAACGGTTCGACTGGGGCGGGTTCTTCAATTCTATATGGTATTGCATTCCGTAGCAGTAATCAAGCTACTTAAATGACTGTAATACTAGAATATATTAAACGTGTTCGCATTTACCAACCAGGCAATGCTGTCGTGAATGCAAGCCGTACTTTGATAACGATCCTCCGATAATCGTCGCGTTTGGACCACCGGATTCCAAGGATTTGATCAAGGTTGGTCACATTTTCACGACAAGTGGAAACTCCTCGCTGCGAAATGGTCATTCTAGGAAGGCGACCACAGCGAAGTTAAACGGCAACGCCTTACACGCGGTCGCGTACCCAGTGGCAACAAATGAGCCACATGGTTTCTCACCTGAGACCTTTCGTCGAGAGCTCATGCAGGAGTTCAGTAAGGGTAGTAAGAAGCCAGGCTTTTTAAGGTAAGATGTGGATACTTTTCTTGACACATTACAGCTAAAGATGTGCTTTTCTCACAGACGTGTTGCACAAAGTGCCTCATAACATTTGACCAATCAACCTTGGTCTCTCACTTCATAATCCGCCTTAATAGTGATAAAATTTACAACACGAATTCAGGAGTCATTTAAGTCTTCGACCTTGAAGGATTGTCCCTAAGCAATGCGATTATTTGTGTGAACAGGAATCTGGAAATTTTCTTTATAATACTAGATACTGAAAAGTTTACATTATGTACAGATTGTTAGCGTCGATAACTTTTGGGTATTTAATGATCCCGTACCATGCGTTAAGACTGGTAAATGTTTTCGTGAATATTGAATGAAATAACGGGTTAGTAGCTGAAAGAAGTAAACTTCCTGTAATATGAATGTCTCAGAGATCTTGAGACTGCATGGGAAGCGGCAGAGCGCGAGACGGGTACATCAAAGAACTCGTCTCTGGGTTCGTTGACATCCGGGTCCGGATCAGGCGGTGTACGTGTGGAAATCTCGTCGCCACGCTTGGAAAACACCACTTTCAAGGGCGAGACGCGTTCATTGGCTTTGGCCGCCCGGATCCAACAGCAGCAGCGCACCGCCCGCCGTCTGAGACTGGCGGACCCATCCATTTCAAAAACAACCGTCCAGGGCTCGCATCACCCCATCTCATCCATCGGTGGCATATCAGCTCGGACTAAGCAATACCCCACCACCCCCAGCGGACCAGCCAAGCCTGATATATCTGCGCCCACACTTCAGACCTCAACGTACAAGCATGATCTAGTGGAGCTTCCTGAAGCTTACTCCACCCTAAAGAATCCAAAAAAAGGTTAAGGAATCCAGACAGAGCAATAATTAAGGCCCGTTTGTATTAGGAGTTTCTGCTCTTGCACTTCTAAGTTTTCTTCAACTAGAGGGGATGTCCAGAGATCTACAGACGAACAACCATTCCACAACTCTGTGAATACCTTGGCTATTCCAAAACGTACACTATTTTCCTCTTTTTTGCCACCTACCCACCAAACTTGCGCATTTCAACGTCTTTCTTTAGTCAGCACAAATTACGTTTAACAAATACACTGGAGAGACCTAGGTATTATCTGGTGAACCGCTGATTACTACCAAGTCCGCTTTACTTCTTGCCTTCAATTAACCATTGACGCTGCACTTGCGCTAACACTGCTTTGGGATTGTCTCTTTAATTTTGATACCTATGTATATGTGCAACTACTTTTCTACGGCCAATTTCTGAGGTGTCTTGCTTAATTCTGGCCCAGGTAAACCCTGCTCTGTTCTCAGGGTTACTGAGCCTAAGCGATGAAGTTGCGCAGACCTCCCCGGCTAGCGAAAAAGTAGCACCTACTGCGTCCCTACAGTGCGAATGCAGTCAACTCTTCAGACATCACCTTCGCTGCATACTTCTATGCCGAGCAGCTCAGACTCCTTTTTGAAGCATTCCTCATATAGGAGTACAAACTTCAGTATACCCACTTACTAGACGCCATTCCCCACCACCTGAGTGCTGCACAGACTCCAACTTGGGATATGCCCCTCAGCACAATTTATCAAGTTTAAACTTGGAGAAGAAACGAGTAGTGACTCATACCGTTTCGCGTAATGCGATGTGTAATTCAGAATGAACGGAACATTAATGAAAAAACGAACTTTGTACAGAGATTACAATTTTTGAGCCTTCAAAGACGCATTGCAGTTAAAAGCAGTCTCGAATTCCACCAGCCTAAAAGCAAACATCATTAATCGGAGTTGAGAATACCAAAGATGTGCCTTAAGGACTATTCTACATTTAATAAAAATTTCAAAAGCGTGTTCAGTAGGTAATGTGATCAAGAAGTCTTCCTTATATTCGGAAGAAAAGCAGGCAGAGGGGAGATTTAATCCATTAGGAGGCATCTGGTGTAGGCAATTCTACAACAAGCAGTGGGGGGAGGGGTTAGGCGGCAGTGACGTACCGTGACCTGATAAGCGGCAGTGCCGGGTGGCCGACCAGGATGTTTGAGCAGTCGGGCAGTGCGGCGCTGCTCCGCGTCAGAGCCCTCTGCCTTAGAGAGGAGGAGGCGCACCGAGCAAATGTGTCCCCAACTCTCCCCCAGCGCGGGCACTAAGGTGCTGCGAGTGGTGGCAGAGGTCTCGCTAGTGACAAACTTCGTTGTTATCTGGTTTGTCATGATCACCTAAGTAGTACAAATAAGGAATCGGCGCTATATTCAGAAATGTGAAAGAGAAGAATAGGACGAATGCCGGTACAATATTATAGAAAGAGGGATAGCGCGGCTAAATAAGTTGTCTTGCATCCGATAACTAAGAAAGAATCACCAACGACGAGATGGTCGATTAGAGCTCGTTTTATCGCTGTTGGCGAGATAACTATTGGGAACTCAGCAGAGCCTCGAAATAACAAACAGTATTATTTTTTGCTCTGCTTGCACATAGGGAGCATGAATGGATTTTCAGCCTGAAGCGCTGAACGGATAAATAACACACAGGCAAACCTACAGCGGCGTTTTGCGCACTGGCAGTTGAGAGGAGGGATTGAGCAACGGCCGCCAACAAGCGGTTACGCTGCGGAATGTCCTCGAACTCGTAGCGGAACGGAAGAGCAATGCTATCCACTATAATGAGCCTGATCTACAAATAAACATGTGCTCAAATTCATGAACGAACAAGCAACTGAAAATTTCCAGCTGACAGTAATGTATCTTGAGATGTGGTGAGCTTACATTAGGGTGGTATTTGCAGAACTCCCCCAGTCGTTGAACAGCCGCAAGCAGCTGAAGATAACCGGTACATCTGATGTAGTGGACCTTGCTTAGTAAACTTTCTTCCGTGGGTATTCTTGACAAGGCCTCAAGGCAAGCGACCTTTTCTTCCGCATCTGCATAGCTATCATCTTGAAAGGAGAGAACATGTGTTATTACAACTGTGCAGCACATAAGGCTTGAAGTGGATCACAGACTCAATAAAACGCATCGTAAGGGATTTGGAGCAACCAAACCAGATTGGGCATACAAAATAACGTTTAACGAATCTAGGGCAAATTATGATTGCAATCATGTGGTGATTAATGCTTCGGAAAAAGTCTGAACAATGTGTTTTTAAGGAACCGCCTAAGGTTGACATTCTAATTTGATTGAGTAGTAACAAATGACTCGGAGTAGTTGAAATGTTTCAGATATCAGAAACTTGCCAAGTCCTTCCATGTACTGTTGGAGACAAGGGGCTAACATAGTCTGACAATGTTTGACTAATTCGACAGCCATTTGATGTAGGCGTTTTGGGATGAAGCTGCCCTCAGTATCGAGGAAAATGGCCTCCCCAGCCAGTCCGCCACACCACTGGGGTATCTGGACCGTCAGACAGGTTTGTAGACTACAAGCAATTAAGAGTGGACCAGTGCACTATGTTTATTTCAAGATGAATCATACTAACCTAAGTCGGAGACAAGGTGATGGCAAAGTGAATTGGGTTTCCACCGAAATTCTACATTGAGCAACTCGGAGATGAATTTTAACTAGATATTCCATCAATAACAAATGATACAAAGTCTACTGCATAAAATTGTTGAAAAAAGTAGAGCATAAAAATATACAAAAAGTGGGACTGACCAAAACTGTGTTTTACCAACGCCAGGTTGGCCACAAAGCTCAGTTATTCTGCCGCACGGAAATCCCCCGCCCATAAGATCGTCGAAACTAGTTTATGTGGCGAGTTAAAATGCAAAAAAACTAGTAATCCTAAAGACATAAGTGAAATTTGAGCGAATTAACTTGGAGACTACATCGTCTATTAACGTTTACAGTCTGATTTTATTACTGAACTTTGAAAAACCAGATTCAAAAAATGAACCAAGTACAACAGGACTCATTACACATAAGCTGAAAACATTTATGAGGATAAGTCTCCATATTATAGGCAAAACGGATATGTGGACAAACAGGTTACCTTTTGGACATGGTCAAGACATTTGCCACACGAAATTCGCTTGGATTGACTAGATTCGATAGTGAAGGATGCAACATTTGGAGAGCAGAACGAGGATAGAACAGATTCTTGTTGGGAAAATTCGTAGTGAAGACGCTGTCTTTTCTAAGACTAGCATGCTCCTGGATGATAGTAGCGATAGAGGCAGCTCTAGGCTTCGGTATCTTGCAAACTATTAAATGAGACAAATAAGAATACCTTAAACGTTTACTTCCAAAGTTGTACGAGCAAGGCTATTTCCTGCAATTCCCCTTGAGCTATTGGAATGCAATTAACAAGCGCTTCTTTTGGGGGTTAAAAACAAAGCAGATGGATGTAACAGAAAGATTATCACTACAAAATCAACCAAAAACACAAAAATTGCGGAGGATATACAACAGTGTTTAAGATAGGAGATAGGGGGTAAATTTGATAGGAAACTTGTCAAATATAAACAACTGAAGCCAATTTCCGTTCATAACATCTTAAACTAGATAAATTAAAGTGCGACGTGACAGCGGAAACAGGAACTTGATAGGATTAGTTTTTAGTCACTCATTCTGCACAGAATGATAACTGCCGTGAAAGGTGCAAATGTGCACTACAACTAGATCGTTTCTAATTGGTGATAATAAGTTTCATAATTATTTGGGTGCAAGCTTTACTCAGAATTCGCTGATTAAGTCGAGGCAATAAATAGAATAGATTATGTCCACGATTATCACCTTTACGGGCCTTACTGTACAGTGTTGCTTATGCGATCTTCCATCTACGACAGCCACTTAATAACCACACAACTCCAGCATGAATCAACCCATCCAATCCGAAACGATCAGGATAAAAAGTCGATAAAAACAAGCTACCTATCATGAAGTTCAATAATAGCATCCTATGACTAGAACCTAGGTAAAGTTGAAAGGTTACCTGACTCGATTTGCTCTATGGTTAATCCACTGATCTCCCCGACATTGCTATAACCAGCTCTGGATAACTCTCTGAGTACCGATGTTGGAAGGGGTAGCATCACAAGTTCTCGAAAATCGGGATCGGAAAGCATCGACAAGTAAGCCTTAGCGAATGAAAGGATAAGAAGTGACAAAATACGTGCAAAAGGCAAACGACAACAATGGGACATAGTGAATTTTAGGCCAAATCGCGTCAAACGTGTAACTACGGCAATGATAAGGCATTGGTGGCATTAAAAGCAACCAACGAACCAATTACCATTGTTCAATATGTGTTAACGAAACAGGAAGTCAAGGTGACTGAGGAATAAAGAGGCAACAATAAGTATAAAAAACTACTTCCGAGCAAAAGCTGTGCCACCTGACTAACGAGTAAGCCCTCAATTTGATACTAAAATGGATCAAGGTAATGAAGTCAATGAAAAAGATAGAAACGATATGAAGCTAGAAAGAATCGTTGCACTTAACTACAATGAAATACTGTCAAAACTGTTGGGTGAAAATAAGACAAATATACTCCATTAGTTACTCATGAAAGTCAGTTAGAACAATGCAAACTGCTCCTTTAAAAAAGCTAACAAAAGCGTTTCACAAACTTTCCAAAAAATTGATGTAATTGCACCAAGTGCTTGCGATAAGATGCAATGTAAGGCGAAGAATGACAAAAATCTTATTGTAAAGCCACGGAAATGAGTCAGAACCCGAGTATGCCACAGAGCTATGAATTCACGAAACCAAACGAATGGTGCCAATGTGCCAAGTATAAGGCAGGCCTAGGTACATCTGGAAGAAAACAACGGTGAGGATAACCCTTGAAGACTCGCATTTGATGTGACTAACTACAGTCCGATCCATTCAAACACGACATAAATAATTAAGGTAGGTGTCTTCCGAAACAAACGTGCATCACAAGTGCAGAAGCATAAGTCGATTTGGGGAAAATACAATTGACTGATGTATGTTAGTCTTGGTTAGTGAGCACTTTTTTTGAATTTTGTTGACCCATTGCTTCCAGGGCTTAAGTAAATAAATTCAACTGTTTGATTGTAATACATTCAATAAATACCAAAGTAAACTCACTTTTGGTGCCTGAATTTAGCTAACGATTCCATTGGACAGTAACTCCTGCTGCACTACAGGTTTCGTCATTATTTTAAGGGAGAAGTTTGTAATAGTTTTAAGTAATAATATTTTACAAGAAGTGAGAGGCATAATCTTTTAGTTAGAACCGTCCTATAGCAGTCTTACTAGCCCTTCATTCTACCCCTGTTTAAAGAATCCTAGATTCATAAGGTTTGTTTGTGCTGAATACTATGTACGGATGAAACGTGTAATTGTACGAGTAGTTTAGGTTTTGTAGGAAATCGGGTTCTAACACCTCCATGGGACCTCTCGAGCATGATGTTGACCCCATTTACTACCTAAAAGTGCAGTCAAATAACCATATTACAGCGTAAACTGATACTAAAGACCTCCCATCAAATTCAGAATTTTCTGTGTTTTGTGCGTTAATTTGTCTCAGTGGATCTGGACTGATCATAATACCTGCATTACTTAAGTTTGCAGCTCATTTATGTTAAACATATCATTCCGTTATTCATTTCAAATCGTATGGGTGCGTGTAACACTAATATGGGGGATTTTGTATTTGTGAAAGGTTTTTTGACCTGCGGAGGGAATGGTAAATCTTGTTTCTTGTGTAGGGATAGGATCTGCTTCTGTGCTACTTTGACTGACATTATTTTTTCAGTCGATTATAATCGACCATAGTCACATCGACATAGTCGACTAGAATTCGTATTTCTGTATCCATGGTGTTGCACCACTTCTACAATTTCTCTGGTATGTTGACTTCTCAGACCGTGACCACCCATTTACTACAACTGCGATCGTTCAAATGCATGCATTTATTCCATCTCCTCTTTGCCTTTAAATCCACTGCTTATATTACAGTCCATGTTCGATCGACTAGCAATAAGTAAGCTCCCAAAAAGCCTCACTTCTCCCTTCAAAAGCCAGCGTCAAAGTGTGGCTTTAAACAAACTGAAAACAAACATGTGGATGAAAACGACACTACTTTCAAGGCTAATGAGTGGCGCGAAATCCATAGAGGTACTCTCAACTGATGTTCGATAACCTGTACTGATTCCATCATCTCTTCAGTCTTGAAACTGAGCAATTATTCATGTTTTTCAAGCAATCAAAATGGAATTAGAGCGACGAAGAATGTATTCATCCAGTGTAAAACACTGGAAAAATTAATTGATAAACAGGGTGTGACCTGTCTAGGAATGCCTTAGTGTGTACAGTAGGTGTGGTTGGAAACACCCTTTTTGGATTAATGTTTCTTCGTGCCAATACTCTACTCTTTTACACGATAGCAATTTTCCGAAAAATTGACCCTACAACAATGCTCTTACAACTGTCACGAATGCGTGAATTAAGATTCAAACACAGGAATCCAATTACTAATACGGTTTGCATAAACTCTTTAAGTTGTTTAACTTATTTCGACAAGTTTGTTCAGATACCAGTGTCGAACTCACAATTTACCTCGCAAATAGTGGATCATGAAGTATCCTTGATGAGGGTGTATAATATGACTGTTAGCAACGTCGACTTTGAAGTCGTGACCATTATGGCATATGAAGTTTCAAGCGTCAGTCTACAGATTAAAGGATAATATTTATGCTAACATTATTAGGTAATAAATCACTTTTTGTATTTCGGTGAATGCCACCACCAGCGCGTGAAAGTAACTAGAGGCTTACTCGAGCAAAAGGGAGGCTAGGACGCGTAAGTACATCAGGTAAGTTGTGTTGAAATTTAATCGGCGCTAACCGCTGAACTGATCCTATAGACAAAATAGGCCTGAACGCCAAGACTTATGTCACCATAAGAGCAACAAGACATGCAATCGCACATTCGAAGCAAGTGCCACAATCCACGTCCCATTAATCGGTCTTTAGGAGTTGGCCATCCCAAAAATTCTTTGTTGTGGATTTCGGTGGAAATCACTCCCCCAGCCAGATGTTAAGGCCAAAGCTAAATAGCACTATGAGTCAATGTTTATTGCTCAAATCTACAACAACAACGTCGATCCTTTAAGTGAACTTTATTATGACCAGACAAAAATGTTGCCTTTTAATGCCCACTGCATGAACATCAGAGAAAGATGTTGAAGGAGCGAATAGATAGCTTCTTAAGTGATTGACATTAGTCCCCTTCAAGGTCATGACATCCAGGTCACGAGGATCACAGTTAAATTGCCTTTTTTAACTGGAGTGAGACCTCATATAATATCCGTGTACTGAAGCAATCCAAAAGAAACAACGGTTGAAATTGCATTCAACAGCGACATACACGACTTGACCCCCGCATGCCTCAAAAGAAAATCCTTTACAACTATGACGCTCATGTACACACATGAAGTAGAATAGCACCACCATCTCATATGAGCATGCGATGCACTTCGAGGTTCTAGAAGATATGAAATTGCATGAGATGACTGGCGACAGCACTAAGTAGTCACTGCGCCAAGTTTTGGATTATTTTAAAACATATATTGACTAGGCAGATTGCATGAAATCTGTGGGTTCTACCACTATTAACAAAGTTAAAGTTCGGAATAACGGGTAAAATCGATTTAAAAACTTTGACGATATGAAAGCCAGATGTTTTCACCCCGAAAACGAAACTAAAAGTGCGTAAAAAAATGTATTTTGTCTAAAGCAACATACATTTCACTCCTGTACTATATGGGTAGCACTATCACTAGAAAACTAGAAGAGGAAAGTTTACAGACCCTTGTTGTAGTAGACGAGTTTTGGTACAGGCTTATCACCAAGATCTTTGATGATCTTCTCCTGAAGGTCCTTCTCCAGTTTATTGAATGGTCTTGAGCTTAGTTGGGGGAAAAGAGCGCAGCACATGGGTGTCGTGAAGGTGAGGCTGGAAAAAAGACCGAACCAGGGGTTTCGATTCCTTTTCAAATTACGGTCAAGGATAATTGGTGATAGAATTTTAGTCCATCATTCTTTTACTTTACGCTTTAATGATTACTTCAAAACAAGTTGAAAAACCAGTGTAAAAGCAGAGAAACGACAGGTCGAGTAAAATAGAAAGCTTAATAGAGATACCCAAGGAGCAATCCAGCTACGTGGCGCATAAACAATAGCTACCACACCCTAACTTGAAAGCATGCGCAGGTCAGACTCATTTCAGCGCTGGCATTGTTGGAGCTTCGTATATGCAAAAATGGCGCGTTTATTCAATTGGAAGCAGGAGAAAACTGTGAAAATTTGCTCTTACATATAGGGAAGCTTCCCCAATGGAAAAAGGATGCATTTAAAAGTACAGTTCAAAGGGCTTACAAAATGCCGCAAAGAACAACTTGAAGAGGAGCGCTGATCCAGGGATAGCGGCGTAGAATGCCTCGGCGTTCCAGAGCATCCATCAAAAATGGTGGAAGCACTTAATGGGTAATAGCGAATTAAAATGAAATAAATCTGCTCAAGTACATTTGTAGACGGATCGAAATGTTTCCAGCTGGTCCAAATAAAATAATTAAAAGTTCCACTCAACCTACTAGTGAGCTTATAGACTAATAAACAAACGTCAAAGCTTCGACTGAATCCTCTAAACTTCGTGCATAAAAGCAGAGGCAAAACTCTCCAAGTTTTCTGATATCTCCATATGAAAAATAAACATCTTTCTACCAGATTATCGCCGACTAATAGAGCAAGTTATCAAAGTGCAACAATATTACATCTATTAGTCATATTGACGACCGAAAATAACATGCTCAGTTTGAAATGCGTATGAAAAGACAAAATATACTTAAGCCATATGATAAGCGGCAACGAAACCCAATGAAACATTGTAAAATGTAATAAACCTCATTACCAAAATTGATGCTAGCAAATAGGAGAGGAGGGTAGACTGACCCATGCCAGGAGAGGCCATGAGCACACGAGAAAGAGTGACTTGGGCGATAGCGACACGAGCAGTGCGGACTGATTTGCCCAATTTCTTACCATCCTCATCGGTCACGTCAATGCCAGAGCTCAGCTCTCCGCTGCGCATGCAGGGAATGTTGATACAGTTGGCCACCGCCACCGCCGCATAGGGCACCAAGCGACCAACTACCGGCGGGAATCGCTATGACGAAGAAATGAACTGCAAAGTAAGTGGAACTCATGCGTTTTATAATGCAAACACTAGGAAAGGGGATTTGTCTTTCAGCAATATATACTCATGAAGCTGATCCTTGAAACATGGGAATAACGCTGTGTAGGTGCAAGATTTATTGCGCAGCACAAATCGGCCATATCTATGTTAAACCAAGGAAAAGTCAAAGCAGAACTGGAACGAATAAAGAAAATAAAAATGATATAACAGAGGCAAATAAAACTTATTAAAAATATGAGGAATATGTACATGAACAGTAAATCACCGACATTAACTATATTTTCCTCTGCGATGAAAATAGGCAATTGCTGAGAGCATTTACGCAACACCAGCCTCAAATCAGTCCTAAATTAGTGTTGAGAATGAAGTCTAACTAACTCAATACGTCTTGCAATTTCGTTAATGATTAGATAAGGTAGAAAAATTACCGAGACTTGTTTGTTGATCGCCAGCGCACTTGTAACTGCACCCGCAGTTGCTAGCACGTATGAGACACCCAATCGGCTAAAGTAAACATACTAGTAGGGATGAGTGTGCGAATAAAACTATTCTAGTACCAATGTCTACATACGTTGTGGAAATTGGGGCATCGCCACTTCGATTTGTATAATTCACGACTGCGTTGAAAGACTGGTTAAACCATTGCCAAAAAATGACTGCTGCAGGAGTCCTTAAAAGCGTAAACAGAAACCGCCAACTTAATTATAAAAATACGGTTGAGATATCACACATTTGAGAGAGTACCCTACAAATATTATGGAAAATGAGATACCTGAAATCTTTTTTTATGAGCACCTGAGGAATTGTAAAACTCAATAAACAAACTAAATCATATTGATTTACAAAAATATTAAACAGCAGAAGCATCTAAGATAGTATTCTCCAAAGCAAAAGGGTTCTGTCATTATAGGGGAATATACTTGTAGAAAGTTAGAAGAAATCCGGTGATGGTCATATTGCCAGGAACTTGAAAGGCCATGCGACCGAGAATAAACATTTTTTCACCAGTGTCGGGATGGAATGCTGAATCATAGGTTTGCTTTGCTCGCCAGAGCTGATCTTCGGTCAAACCAGGTATCCGCTCGCCAGCTTTGTACTTAAGAACAATTGTCTTTGCTTCGTCTAATTGTTTACTCGTCTTCAAGCAATTGAGAGGGTTGGTGGTGATAAAAAAGTGTTTGGCACGACCAGTATAAGTGGACTGGTCATAACGAGGTTTATCAATATTAATACCCAGAGGAACCTAAGCAAACATCAGAAATGAGAATCGTAAGAACAAACGTGCACAGTGTGACTCACGGGACGCAAAAGTTGTAAAGCGATTAAAAAGGATTCAGCGGCCCTGAAGTTGACAATTCACCCAAAAACAATCAATAAAACGGGAAAAAAATGAAAATGTCTAAAATGAGTGACCTAAATGTTACTGATTTTAAGCCACTCAAACGCCCAGGGAAGCCCTTAACAACCTAACAACAAAGCTAAAAACCAAAACTCATCAATATCCGTTCCGGAAAGGGATAAAACTTAGGGGGATAAAACCGGTACGAACTTCGACCATGGTACTCCGATTAACCGACTGGTGAGCCAAGGCGAGATTTATAAAACGCTCGTGGCGCATTAAAACAAAGTAGACAGAAAACTGATAATTGATGCGACTCATCATTTGCAAAACTATGACTATTTATCAGTAATGGCAACAATTAGTTGTTCACATATTTAAAAATCATCCTAAATAAGGCGCCAAAATAGACAAAGTGCAAATGAAGGGCGAATATTTGGCCTTGATGTTAACTACTCAATCTCTACAGTCTCGGGAATTTTGTACATTTGCATCGCATTACAATCTTTTTTCAAACCAGTGACACAATGCAATTCGTTGATTACTCGTTCAACTGTAGGTTTTTGTTAAAGGACCACTGTGCATTGACCATTTTACCCCGGCGGGGGGGGGGGTTGGCCTCTAGGCCATGTCACTATCAAATAACTATATGTGTTTTACCCAAGTATTATGTACTCCTTCATTTTATGGAAGTCTGTGGGCGCTACATACCATGCACACCAATGCTTTAACACCGCGGACTTAGCTGCACGGGCATTTCAACACTATTTTAAGGTTGATTTTTAGGCAACCAGCTTATTGCATGGTCTATCTTCTATTTTAGCATCCTCTCCAGTGCTCGCCTTGATTGACTTCCCACGTCAACCATTACAATGTTATCCGTGCTGTAAGAAAACGGCCACGCTTTAATCACCTAGTCACCGATTTTTCATACACCTAAGAAGATATTTGACCACAGCGTCACTAATCTTGCCTGGCAATTTTTCTGGATCTGGACTTTAGTCCTGTATTGAGACTAAATTCGGGGACGGGGAATGTGTTGGTCATTACGCGTGTCCATCGTTAGTTGTAGGAACACTGATCCAAAAGCGAAATCAGATAGCAAAAAACGGTATTTAAAATAAGTTTCTAGAGGTAGGACTTTGCGTCCGTTACTTCTTGCCATATTCATTTGGATTCTATTCAGCTCGAAAAGTGGTAAAGAAGGTATCTCGAATCCACGTAATTAGGGCAGTTTTACTGGGGGAGTAGACAGACCTGTAACAGACTTTTCTAGATAGTTCGTGGTTATTGTCGCTTCTAATGTTAGTAATTTTCTGGTAGACAACGGGGCTGTAAGAGTTCTTAAAGGAAGACGTCATTTGAGGCCCTTCTACTAGGATGTGTACCTATCTATACGCATCATGTTTTTCCTTCCAGGCTAGCTCTACGGATGTTTAGAAGTATATAGGTTTAAACAGAGAAGTAATGTGAATGTGGTAGCTTAGATGGTATAAGTGATCCATTAAAACTCGCATAGAAGTCGAATGGTAGGAGTCTTGAAATACCTAGATAGTCAGTTTGACAATTAGAAACAAATAGCCCTTCATTACAGCACTATCCTTAGCTGATGCCTGGAATCTGGACATCAATTGGGTGGCTTTGTTTCTTTCCTTATTGGTTGTAGTTTCGAGCATGTTTTTGGTAAGATTTCGGTCAAGGGTGGCATGCTTGAATTTATTTGTGGGCAAATGCAGGAACCAAGAATCTGTCACTTCACGTCGTCATCAACGCTGAAACGCTAATCTATATCGTCTCATTCAATATGGGCTCACCATTCGACACTGCAAGCGTTCGTCTTTGAGAGCGATGACTGTGTTGAATTTAACACGCCCACAGAAAGATACTTCTCAAGTTTAATTTTGCCGCAGGTTTCGCGTTGATAATACATCCAAAATGTAGTCAGCCATGACGTGTCCAGCCGTTCAATGGACTGCAGACCTGAATGACTGGCGCACGTTGGAAAGACCCGCATAACCAGCAGCGGTGGTGATTGTCACTGAGCCGTTGTTTTCTAAAGATCGCTTTTAAAGTCTTTGCACAATTTTACTGGCCCACCGCTGTGTGGCTGCTGAGCATCCCATCATCGTACTACTATGCTGAGTTCGAGGTCTTCAATAGACGCAAGTAGATATAAGTAGCTGCCCTTTGGGTTTTATGACTTCGTTCACACGCCAATTCGTTCATCACATCTCCGTGCTACATGCACCCGCCCACTACCATCTATGTTATCTGCTTTTTTGATTAATGGCTCCTTAACTTAAACGGCCCACAACTTATTAAGGCATGCCACCTACTACTGTGTGTTGTGGCGGCATAATAATGCCGATATTATGCATGTAGTGTTAAAAGTTCTGAATGGACTTGACATTCTGCCTAAATGTTACTTAAGTGGCTCACTGCTTTCATTCCTCCTTTCTTCAGACGCTTTCAATCGCTATGGTATTCAAAGAAGCACTTCGCAACAAAGTGTAGGAAAAAGGGTCACTTTTGGCCTACCGACACCTGACGATCACTTGTGTCCTCCTGCTGCTTATTTTAGCAGCGTTTCATTTCGTTTGACCAGAGTGGTGCCCAACCTTCCTCACGATTGTTTATTTTTGTCTTTGTAAGAAAGTAGAACGAAGCTACCTTCCCTGTAGCATTGATAAGCTTTCCTCCCTTATACTCCACGTACGCCAATCCTCTGGCAATTCTTCGCCGCTGTTGTTAACTGTTTCCTTTCGTGTACAGCTTGCCTTCGCCTTCTCTCTGTACTTAGGAAATGTTCTTCAATTGAGAATATATGCTGAAGTTTGATAAAACTGTTATTTGCTTTCTCCCGTCACAGTTTGAATGGCTTAATTCACCTGAGACTTTGGACTAATACCATCGTAGAACCTCGTTTCTTAAAATGTCATACATGACTGTGCAGATATGCAACGAAGCTGTATCCTGGTACGTATGGTGCAGTAAATCCAACTGCCACGAACTGCAAGGATGTCGAATGTGGCAAAATTAGGTGTTAAAATTTTTTATCGCTTTTGCATACCATATTGTAACTCTTGGAGCTTTTTCGTGCTCTTGTAGTAAGGCCACCTCTAAAACGCTAGGCCCTATAATGTATGCAGGGGTTACTTCGGTGCCATAATGTAGCAAATGAGGATTACATATTCGCCTTGAAAGAATGCTGTTGTCAGAATGTTTCTAACTGCTAGTTGGATTTGAAAGACAACAGCATGTGAACTCCATTGTTTCGTTCAACAGTTACCGTGCATTTTTAACTGAGATTCTAACTTATTTTCTAACCACTACACACATTTGCTGTTGTAGCGGACATCTTGGGATTTTTTTATGCCCTGTTAAGAATTAGCTTACTAAGACCTAAGGAAATTGTGCAGGAACTAGTACTTCGCACCCTCTGGAGGTGCCATTGGACGGCTCTCTTTATCCTCAAGGTATATAGGTCTCCAGTTTAGATAGCGGCTCACGATATCGCTGAAAACTCGTGGCTTGGCTTTTGAGATAGCGGCAGGAACATTTCACATGAGCAGGCGTTTTCCAAAAAGGGGGGCATGACACATCTCCTCAGCCATTGTGACAGTGTTCTTTGTGCACTTTAACTCCCCCTTCTTCCTCCGCGCCATTGTTAATGGCCAATCGACTGACTAACTCGCGCCCACACACGCACCTGCGTCTATACTCCCTCAAGGTCATCGAGTGGCTAAGCTTAGTGCGAAGCCCGTGTACAAGCATCTCAACTTCGAGTCAGTACCGCCAATGTGCAGTGGGCGTCTTCTTTTACTCGTGTTAGCTCTCCTCTCCTCTGCATCATCGCATCAACACCCTCCACCCTTCAGTCTTAACGGGCTCGTCTTCAACATTTCGACGCGCGTTGCAGAGGGTGCTGAGGTGTGTCTCCACTGCGAGTACTTCCTTCGACCACAACCCAAATACGGTTTCACAATGATCATCTCCTTTTTGGAGGAGGTCAGCTTAACCAGGGCAGAAGTTGCCGCGGCCGCATCCACTCAATTTCGATTCCCTGGCAATCTTCGGGAAGCTCATAAAAAGTCTGGTAAAGTGGTGAATGTAAGCTTCAATTTTTGTTTTGTGGGCCTATGACCCACCCTTTTCAATCGACCAGTCGTCTGAACTAGGTGCAATTATGAATGCGCAGATGCTTTTTCTCCTTAACCAGAAAAATTAGGGGCTTATAAATGGAGAATTTGCAACAATAATAACCCAATAGACTTTCATTTTAAATAAGAAAACTTAAAGTATTTCAAAAACGAACGTTGTGGCCTCTTTGGAGTGGCGGTTATTCCCACTAATAAGGAAGGAAAAGCAACGGCTTCTCAAAGCACCTGGGTTTGATGTCTAGGGCCATTTCCCGTTGAAAACCAACACCACTTACAACTATATCCTTTCTAGAAAACAATTTATACACCATCGATGAGGGGTGCAAAGAGTATATTTGTCTCAAAAAAGTTTTCTATGTCGTCAAAGCATGCAGGTTCGTACATCTGTCAAATGATTCCTGTTAATGCAACCTCGACTGAAGGGTGGACGCTGACAAAGTGGATACTCCTGGAGCTCTACCATGACACAGTGTGTAAGTCCTATTTGATTGGAAAGAGTCTCTTTACGGTAGTGATTTCATGATCTGCCATTTCCTGATTCCACCCAAGCTCGATTGTGTGTGCTGACGAAACAGCAGTTAGTGTCTCTTGCCTGCATCCATGCGACATGGAGTTCACTCGTCCCCGCCCCATCCTTGGCCCAATTCGTTTAAGGTGCTATCTGCAGAACCTTGAATCTCCATGCAGGTACATAGGTTTAACCGACGCTGCTATTTTTATGGTACATCAAGGCATTAAAAGAATCGTTGGGTCATTAAGCATGAAATGTCATTTCCCTTATGTGTTTGCTGCTTTTGACTCGTTAGTTTAGTCATTCGTGGTATTTTCGGCCAAGATTCGTCGTTTCGCTTTGGGCAGCTTCAATCCGTTGAACCCCCTTTTTAGAGTAAATTATTTAGAGATCTTGGAGTGTAAAGCCTCGTTGGTGAAGAGGATGCAGTGATGCTGTAGTCTTCCTGCACTGTTTTGTCTAAATAGTATAAGAATCTCTGTCCAAAAGTGTAATTCTAAAGACAAGTCATACGGTAGATTTGTTGTGAGAATAAAATGGGAAATGGTTAATTGACAGCCTATTATTTGGCAATATGATTTCATGCATTTGTTCTTTTAGCAATATGGGGTCTTTAAAAACGAATCGACGAGGTAAGGAATCCGAATTCAGTGGTTTGGTGGATCAAGTTAGCGTTAGAGGCGATAAAGTTCCGAAACTCTCACTCATTCGTTGTCGCGGTATAACTGCGTATTACCTCAGGTCTTGGGCAAGATCGTTCCTCTGTATCAATTTTAAAGAAGTGATGAAGGGGGGAGCCTTTAATTAAAAATATTAATAGATTACCCTTCTCGAGAGGCATTACTGGCTCGATCGCAAATCCTTCCCACAAACGTCGAAGCTGAATCTGAAGTACTTTGCCACTATTTATTTCATTCAGCAGATGTTACATGGGCTGTAAGCCATGCTTTCCAGTCAGTGGGTTACCTCTTGAGGGCTGTAAGTGTGCATTTTGAATAATGCGAGCGCTCCTTGTTTGGGATATGATAAGACTGAAACCTTCAAAACTAACTTCTGTAGCTTTATCAACCTCCAAATAGCAGCTCTGAAATTCACAAATATCAGAAGTTGAAGAGTAGTTCCCCTTTTAGCTCTCAAGTACGTCTGGCTTATTTTTGCGTTTGGTGGGCTGCCGATCTGCCTGTTCCTCATCTGGTACTGCGCTTGTCGTCCCCAACGAATGATTTTCAAGCGTGTGCTCATCGAGAAGTCTTTGCTCCACTTCGCAGGAGCACCCATGTCATCTGGGGGACACCACCTTGCCAAGGTGACGCTGGTGCCCGAGCCGCGTCCTTCCCTTAGAGTCTACATGAATGCACTCTACCAGCGGAGAGAGTTGGATCACTTTTCAGAGGTGGATGAAATTTGTGAAGGTAGGCTTTGCTTTAAAAATCTACCTCCCATTTCTCGTCGTGAAAATGCTCCTCAAGTATTGAAATAGCTGGTGTTGTAATTCTAACCAGATGTGCAGAAGTTGGCAGTTTTGGTGGTGTTAGTGACAATTTCTTCTAAATTTGATTTACCGCTAGCTTAAAATTACCTTGTTTGAGACTGGCGGAACACTAGGTTAACCGGTATTTGAGAGCGTTGCTGGAAAATTCGTCCCAAACTGTGGCCAAAATACAACTGTTTCATTTTTTTCTGTGCAACTTGTGCCCTTATTCTTATTGCCAAAAGTCGTGAAGAAAGAGAAGGAAAGAGCGAAACTACGCGTGCGTTTTCTGATGCCCTCTGATCCAACCTACGAGGTACCCTTTGGTCGCATGCAGGTCGAGGGGCGTATTGGTGAGGGTGCCTTTGGCCTTGTCCTCCGCGGATCTGCTATGCACCTGCCTGGGGGCATCATCGGTCCCCTTCCTGTGGCTATTAAGACGCTTCGAGGCAGGTTTGTTTTCCTTTTCCACTGCTACCCTCCGTCCACTTCCAAATATTTGTGCAAGATAAAAGCTGAAGGATAGAATCCTAACTATTGCAACCTAAGCCACTCATGTCTGGTGGCGTGGAGTCTGCGATTTAGTAGAATCAGGACGGATTGGACTTAGGTGGTAGACCGTGTTTTACTTATAGCAACAACAGACTAGTTTGCTTCTAGGGACGTCTGACGCGTGTCTGAGGATGGCCACAACTAAACAGCTTTGTAATATTATATACAACTAAAATTTGTCATATGAGTCTTTTTTTTAACGAATACCATTTTCGAGGCTCGATTGCCATACTTTGACGCTGGTTTTTGCCTCCAACTCTTCAAAAAGTTAGGAGTGGGCTTGATTTAACTGGTTCATATTGCGGTTAGAAGGGGTTTCGATCTTTAATATAGTCAGTTTGTTGAGCAGCTTGGAGCGTCACGCTGTTTATTAAGCGTATTAAAATATTGTTTTTGGAGGGAGCTCTTAAGCATGGATTTTTCGCATGCCAAGTGCACATCATGAACCTGTCCAAAGTTAAATGTCATTTCAATGGTTTTGTGATTTCGACGCTCTACGAGCATCTGCGTGGACTATCACTGTAATGTAAGGTGTGGCCATGGAATTGTTAGTAATTTTGGTTTATTTGACTTAAATGTGTCAGCGGGGCATTTGAGCTACTTGCCAGTGAGTTCGGTTAGCTTGATCAACCTCTAGACGAGGATCAGGTTTGAAGTAGATTTTCACTTAGTTCTTATGCTCAATGTGTACAAGGTGTGAACACTCCGAATTACGAGTGTTTTCAGTTCTTGTTCAGCTTCATTTGGGTACCAGCGGTGTGACACCGGCGTAGTAGGACTGAAAATGCCTAACCCCACCGAACTTTTCTAAGGGTGCGGAGGAACCTCCAATTCCCAGGTTGGAGTAGATGCCCAGGATGTAACGCATCCGGCAATGCATTAATTTGAATGACATATTTGGCGATCTCGCAGCACCATACGTTACCTAAACAACGGTTGGCATTGCACTAGCACTCCTTTAGAGAGGCATGGACCTTGCTGTCACTGCGTGGTCCTGATTAAAAGTATTTGCCAAGCACAGTTAAATCACGATCAAAAAGGGCTAGTGAGTGTTGAGGAATCCGAGTACGATTTTCACTCGTTGGGTTCCTTATGAGTATCTGTATAACCTATCAGATTCCATTGTAGGTAGTGTGATTCCTTTTGTTTCGTACGCTTATTCTACTCGTTTACGATTACTACAATTTCTTTACCTTTTTATGCGCCACAGTTGATTCATCCGATGCAGACGTGGTCGCCTTCGTGCAGGAAATTGAAATGATGAAATTCATCGGCAAACACGAAAACGTGATTCAGCTCTACGCCACCAGCAACCACAATGGTAGATTGGATCTGTTTTGCTCCATCAAGTGATTTAACGTACTAGGCGTCGGTTACGTCTGCGGATTCTCGGTGTCATCTGTGGGCAATAGCAATTGTTTATCTTATGGATGTCCTACGATTAAGTCGACCGCCATTCATGTTTTAATAATGGCTTAAACCTTTTATGTCTTGTAAGAATAGGCTTGCAAGTTTTACTAGCTTAAGATAGAACTACATAGGCATAATCCATTTTAGTTACAGTACCTTAAGGGAGCCAAAATTCATAGTCATTTTATTCCTAGGTCGTCCGGTGATGATAATGGAGTACGCTGCCGAAGGCAGTCTGGTTGACTACCTCCGGAAAAATCGCTCATGGCTTGCAACCCAACCACGTCCAATGACGGAATTGGTCCTCCTATGCTTTGCTCGTCAAATCGCCAATGGGATGGTCTACCTCGCCTCCAAGGACGTAGGTGTCTCCTCTTTTAGTGTTTGGCCCGTTATTGCTAGGCGGAGGCAAACTATATATGCCTTAAAATGGCGTAGGAACGGAACTTTTAAGAGCTTTGTCTTCGATTCTGCGTTCTATCCTGTTGATCGTTTTGCATACTTTCCGCTTACCCTTCATGTCAATGATTTAGATTGTTCTGTCTAGAATAGTCAGTGATTGATCCTTCTACTATGCTTTCGTGCAACCACTTTTTCGCTTTGATTTATAGCTAGAATTTTACATTAGCTTTGGAACTCTCATCGGCTAAAATGAGCCAATAGAAGGGATTCTGTAGATCTGGGTCGTTTGAACCCGTTGGGTTCGTAATGGGTAGTGGATCCGGTTGGTAAAATTCGAGGATCCAAACGTAGTAAGTAGGTATCAGGTCAGAAACCTCGGCATTAGTAGGTACAGACTTGGAGGTTCTTTGATCACTTTGTCTCAGTGCAAGCTCTGTTGTGTGTCCGTTACAATCCCGTATTTTGGTGGTGATCTCCGCTATTTGTTGCGCTCACCTTTCGTTTAGATTGTTCATCGAGACCTGGCGGCCAGGAATGTGGTGCTGACGAAGAACCTAGTCGCGAAAGTCGCCGATTTCGGTCTTACGCGCAAGGTGGAATTCTACTACCGTATGAAGGGAAATGTGGGTCCTCCCATACTTGTATCTAATCGCAACAATCTCGTTAATCGGTGCTAATTCGTCTCACTCATATTTATGGATGCACTATAAAAGGATATATGGTAGATCCTTTAACCTGTTCTGCTCATTTTACTTTTGTCATTTGTCGTGCAAGTAATTATCAGTTATCCTGTCTTTAACTCCGGAAGAAACGAACAATTGTATTGTACAGTGTATCACAAGGGAGTTTCACTATTCCACAAATTTCGTGGTTGCGTGCGAGCGAGTGTGGGAAGCATGGTTCTTAAATGCGTTTTCTTCACCAATCTTCCTACTTCTCTTGAAGGGTCGTGTTCCTCTAAAGTGGATGGCACCGGAGTCCGTTTTCCAAAAGGTCTTCACAACAAAATCCGACGTGTGCGTCTTAATTGGTTTCCTTTTGTACTCCGAGAGGAAGGTCAAACTACTTTTGCACTCCTTTAGATGGTCTTTTGGCGTGCTCCTGTGGGAGCTTTTCAGCCTTGGCGATTCACCAGCAGCCGATCTTTCAGTCAATGAGTTCCTCGAGGCTCTGCACCTAGGCCCCTCACACTACACCAAGCCCAAGTATGCCGATGAAGAAGTCTTCTCTGGGCTCATACAGCCCTGCTGGGAGCGCCAACCTGAGTGTCGGCCCGCATTTACCGACATCCTCGCTACACTGTCAAAGTTCTTACAAGGGTGTTGACATTATCTTGTTCTCTCATAAAGTATCAACTCGCAAAGTTGTGATTTGCTTACCACTCTATCTATTACCTAAGGAACAATTGCACCTTAATTGTCGAAAACGGCTATTGTTTCTCATTTGGCAATGTTTGAGATCAGGAAAACAAGCATTAATGAATACACAGTTCACAACAATCTGAGGAGTGCTGGGCGTTTCCTGAGCTTACAATCTTTTACGTATCCGTTTCTCTCATCACAACTGTAGTCGCTACATTCGCACATCTAGATGGACCGTTTTTTGGGGTGCTTCATTTGCCACTGCCGTTTCGATACTCTCAGTCACCGATGTTCCGTCAAATAATTCAAAACAGGCAAGATGGACAGTTGCATTCTGGCCTTTATGGAACAATTTCGTTTGCAGTCCTAATTTTTCAGTAGGCCAGTGAAATAAAAGCCGGCAACTATGCTGGAGTCAGTGAATTAGTAGCCTAAGTGACTGTCTTCTGTTGGAATGTTCGCTGATCCCGGCCCAGCTTGGTTGCCACCTTTCTGTCGCAATCTTGTTAGTTTTCAGATGAAAAAACATGGAATCGGAGACATTTTAAAGCGCTTGAAGGTAGTCAAAGGTGGTGAGTGGCTAACCGCGCTTACCCGTAGGCTTTATCGCTGCCACAAATGGTTAAATATAAAAGTACAATGTAATGTGACATCCGTAAGGGATAAATCCCTTACTAACGTCCTTAGGCCTTGGGTGGAAGGTGGTATTGCAACATCTCAAGCACTTTCAATCGTCCAATACTACTGCTGTGGGCTCCGATCTAGGTTTCTGAGACAGAAATGGCGACTGACATGAGTCAAATTTTACGGTTTTAGCAGCTATTTCTCATTGATTCGGGCCCGTTGTTGAATGGATCTTATTACCTTAATGTAGATCAGAAATCAAAGATATTTCTGATTTTGAGGCACAATTTCACAGAATAAGTTCATATTTGAGAGTCCTAACATCCAATACATTCACTTAAAGCTAGAACTGCATCTCACATAGTTACAAATAGTCATTGCTTTAGGCTTCCCATCATACCCATGCCAGAATTTAAGATCTTCACGTAGGTACAATGGACTTATTTGGCACTTTTACACAAAGGGGAAGGGAGATCAGGCGAGGTGCCAGGGTTGATTGATGCCGTCGTCGTCTCGCGCTGTCTATGGCGCCTCGGGACGCTGCATCCACAACAGCAGCAGGAGCTAGACTTGACTGGTGGCATTTCCGCCCGGGTGTTTCTTCATATTACCCTTCTTATGCCTTTTCCCATCAACTTATCTTAATCCCATATCCTCTATCCAACCACTCTTTTCTACCTTTTCAATTCGACCTCATCCGTTCGTACTCCTCTTTCTTTTGCCAGGCTTGTAAGCCTCCCGAAGATCGTCAGGGAATTGAAATTGAGTGAGTACGGCTGTCGTAACTTCTGCCTTGGTCAAGTTGACCTCCTTCACAAATGAGATGATCGCTATGAAATCGTAGTTAGGCTATGGTTGAAGGAAGTACTTGCGGTGGACACCCCAGCGCCCTCTACAACACGGGTTGAAATGTTGAAGACGAGACCCTTAAGTCTGATGAGCACCATAGCAACAGAGGGGGGTTCAGAGGTGATGTCCACTCTCCCTTCAGTCTGAGTTGAGATAAGCCTTGACGTTATCAGGCTTTTTTGCGATGCAGCTTTACTGCGGCGGCTGATATTTGATTAAGGAGCGCCACGGAGCGAAGCGAAGATTTGGCGTGGTCCACGCTCCCATCCTAGTCTCGCAATGTCAATTGGCTTTCTGTCTCCCGTGCGTGCACAATGCTAACGACGAATACCTGTGAATGGAAGTTGCCGCAGGTAGTCTTTTCCTCTCTTTCTCCCTCTGTTTATGTTATCATTTCCCGCCATCGTACCCACTGTAAATATTTTGTGGCAAAATTCCTCGCAAAGTAGTAGGATGCATTTGTTTAAAGCCTTGTTCTCATTTTCATTTGGTTAACCAGGTAGTAGAGGATGGCGTTGGACAAAGGAGCAAAACTAGAGTCGCCTGTCTGAGGACCTACCTGTCACTTCATCTATCTACCGACCTATCTACCCTTATTCAAATATCTATTCTCCTGCTTGCGGAATGTGTAAAGGGTCAGTGCGGACAGCATATGATAGATATATGAGGCTGGTCGAGATGGATCTGCTTACAATGTTCGCAGAAGGTATTCAGATCGTGAAAAATGAATCTATTCGAATCCCTGAGACTCTAGAAGCAAGCATTCCGGTCAGGTGGACGGACAGAAAGTTAATGGGAGGAGGTTGGAATATAGTACCAGGTTGACACATTAATTTATTCGCTAGTCGTTGCACCGCTTAAGGATCAGGAAGGGAGGTGCCATGTTCAGCATCTCCAAGAATTAGCAGGCTCTGACGCAGATGAGATGCAGCGATGTTGAAAGGCTAGCTTGCTCACTAGGCACCCAATGACGACGAATTGAAGCAGATCACGGCACGAGGCAGCCGTGTTGATACCCCATGCTATGCCCTCAAAGCTATCTTCCAAAGAAGTGCAAATGATGACGTTTCTAACGGCCAAGTAGAACATGTTCCACACGATTTATTCTTCTGTTGGAGGGTTCCGCAAGCTGGAATTGGTGAGTTAAAGGTTCAACATTCCCAAATTCAAGCAAAGAAACATGTCGGCAAAGTGTCATGACAACGCATAGATTGAGAGGTCGAAGTGAAGAGCTAGGGTGTGGAAGACTTACCTGCCCCAAAACGTGCAGCCCATACCAAGCGGTTGTGCAGTGCACCGATTGTTTCATGCTGGGTTTCACTGAAGGAGGTAAAGCTTGGCCAATGCGTATTATTGCTTCACCTAGCCAATTGCCTTGCATTAGACACCCAAGTCTGCTATTGTCGCAGTGATTCCTGAACATATGCTGTTTATTAGCTTAGAAAAATGGAATAAATAATTCCACTACTCGAAGTGATGGTTGTTGAAGTTAGGGAGGAAAACTGGCCCCTGAAGTCCGCTTTGGAAGTATGGCTAACTACTGGGAGTTCGCAACGGGACTTCCAAAGGACCGCAAATGCATATTCTTCGTTTGCACCTACTGTTCTGTTTAAAGGCTGAAAAGAGGGTTAACGTGGAGGACATACAACGGGGAGAAAGAGGAGGTTTGCGAACTTGCTAGAAATCAGATTAGTCGCTGTGCTCTTGAATGCAAGGGCTTGCTTTGCTTGGTGTCTTTTCATTCATCCACTCCTCCATCCACCCACACATCCACGGTAGTTTTCAAAGCCCAACTTGCCCTAAGCTCCAGAGCCTATCGATCCATCGGTAATTCGATTACTTCACCACACACACAACGACTGCACAACAGACGGTCTTAACGATCCATCGACCGGTCGACATGCAGATGAATCCCAGATACGAAGCGCACGCTGAGTGCATAGGGCACCCATATCCAAGACGTCCACTCATACGACGGCGGCTGCCTAATCACGGCACCTGCATGGCATTGTGCAAATGAGCACTCCAATTGTGGTTAGTTGTTCAAACTTATCCAATCCACGCCCAAAGCTTGGAAAAACCGCATTCATTGTCATTTTGTTGTAAATATAAACAATCTTTCTTAGAAATCATAAGCTGCTAAGAAACACATGTCACATGTCTGTGACGTGACAAAAATCACTAGTCAGTTCCCTCAGCTGGATTCCAACTGTTGACGTGTTCAGTAGCGTCGTGAAGGCAGTCACGTAGCCGTCTACTGTACATAGGTAAGAATGATAGTAATGCAAACAGGAAATATATTCGCCACCTGTCTACTAGAGTATAAACCAGACTGGTATACGACTAAGTAGTACCGAAAGAAGAACAAAATAGGAGTGAAGGTGTTTGGAGAAGCACGGAATTGTTGAATGTGATGCTACAACACCAACGGCATCAACAGTGCGCGACCAATTTGAGGTGAGGATAGATCAGCTTGGCTTGAGTCAAAGGTGAACACCTCAAGGCTTCTTGCAGGCGAGATGCGGTCAAGCCAGATGCATTTGTCGACTCGAGAGATCAGGAAGAATGATAGAGCCAAAGGAAGGGGACGATAACGGTGACGAACTAATGAGGACCAGAGTTAGGGGAACAGAAGGTGCACACGCCACACGGAAAACTGCAGACCAGCCCGCACCGACCTCGTTTTCGCTTTGGTCAGCGATTTGCTTCCTTTGCCTCTGCGGCTCATTGTCCTCTTCCCCAAGCCACCAACCGATTCAAGCGTGATACCATCACGTGACTCACTGCCCCCTTCTTACAGCTAGCCCCAGTCACACTGAGGTACGCTTTTTATTGGCTACGCAGAAGTCTAACCACTTTGCACATCGCATTGGTTTGTCATCGCTACCGTCCCCTGCTCTTCGCGGGCTGGCTGGGGTTAATGAGACAGCAACAGGCCACGTCCAGCGCCACCGTTTCAGGATGGGTGCGTGCGGCGGCCCTCGATGTCACCGCTGTTGCGACCACTTCGTCCCTCGGCGGCATCGTGGGCACTATCATACTGTTTATCCTCCTCCATCTCGCCGAGAGGTTCCAGTAGAGAAAATGAAAGAAATAACAGGAGCAAACCTACTTCCGGGTTTTAGCTGCACTGCTTCTGTATTTATAGAGCTCATGCAACCTGGATCTTATACTTTTCCAGGATGCAAACTAGGGTATAACGTAAAATGGATTCGAGACAGTAGATTTAGAGTATTATACTTCCAAAACTATATTTGGACGGTACAGAAGGCAAACAAAGGGTGAAACGGCAGTCACTTCCTGGACCGATTTCCACACTACCCCCTGGTTTGCACTAGTCTGGCCAAACACTGTGGAACTCACCGCTCTCATCGAATTCATCTAAGAAGAGGGTAAGACCGACGACGACCTACCGGAATCAATAGCCCGGCTCCGGGAGAAACACACACAGCCGATGTCCAAGTTCACGGTTTACGAATTTCCTGATCGTTGCCATCATTAACACATTTCATGAGGACTAGGATATGGTTGATGCTACTCTGACTCATGTGGACGGATAGCACAAAGGATGAGTCAGCCAATTAATTAATAAACTGGATAATTTAAATTGCAATAGTCTTCATGAACGCATCCGTCATGCAAAGACACTGATAGGGCCCCAGCGACGTCCACATTTCACAACGATTTAATAATAGGAAGCATCTCGTGACGGATCTGCGTCTAAATCGGTCACAAACACAATGTGATTTTCTCGATAAAAATAAGTTTAATAAAGTGTACAGCGTCATTCATGATGAAATTGTGGTTCCAAGAATCCTTTCCACCTGGACTGACAGTGGTAGGCCGAAGTCATCGAAGGTCCCCTGTGGGTCTCCCACACTGCTACTACCAGCAACATTCTCCAGACGGATGTTCAGGAAGGCCATCGCGCCAGCCTCCTTGCCCAGCCGCCACCTTCTCTGCTGTTCATCGATCAGAGTCGCTTCAACAGTGATTCGACACGCTTCGGTCTTAGTCGGTAAGCTCAAACAGAACTCTCCCGTGAAGAAGTCACCGCTGACGGGGAGGAGTTTCGTGATTAAGACCTCGCGCGACTTACATTTATTAGCCTGTTGGCGGTGAAGGGTGAGAATTAGACTGACTCCAGTTACTGCTCGTAGGGGTTTGCACCGGCTTTTCATTTGCCTTTGTGTCACAACACCCATCACCTGGAGCACATGAGAAGCACCCGGAGGCAATGTGAGAGGGTCAGCATTGTTGGTAGAGGGGATAAGAACCAGATATATTTGAGTGAATTGTTTTCGAACGAAAAAGAAGGTGGGCAGACTGGAAGGTGTCATGGACACCAGAAGAGTCAACATGTGGATTAAAAGTTGTGGGGAGGGTGATGCAACAGAGAGGTGACGGCGCAAGACTGCCGCCGCTGTCTCAAAGCTATCATGGGATGCTGCGGAAACCAGATCCTTTGGATCGGCACGCACGGGTATCCCATCTTCCCTACAACAATAATACTTTTTCAGCTTTTACTTGTCTATAGCTGTCGAGTAAATATCAGTGTACTCCACATACCAACCTTAAATATACAAATAGTTAAATGCTATAATTGTAACAGTTCTTTTTTTATAGATAAACATTATTCAAAATATAACAAACTTTTTTTCTAGAAAAAAAGAAATCTGAACTCAAGTCAAGTAAATAGACCTAATCTGGGACAAAACTACTGAGGGTTACTAAAGAATAGATGCGGCGGTGGGCGAGGTATTTTTCACAGCAGTGTGAAATCGCGAATAGGTGTTTTCAGCATTCGAATGAAATCTCGGAAGACTAATAAAGCCGAGGTTACGAACAATTTCAAATCGAAAACAGCGAAAAAAAAGAAATAACTAAGAAATGACCCACGATGTGCCAGGTCCACATTCTTCTAAAGCTTGGACGAAAATGCGAATGAGGTCCAATATACTGAATGTATCTATGTCAAGGTAATAACAAAAACCAAGAAAAATAAAATTCGCTTTTAGATGCACGGCAAAGTGAAATAACTAGAACCCAGCATCGTTATGGGAACACAACTGTTACAGCGAGGCTCCCAACACAATCCTGAGAGAAATGTTATCCGATGGCACTACTTTGTAACCACGTAAAAGGACACTCAATAGCAGAGTACCAAAGTGGATTCCAAAGAGGTACGCCTATATTATTTACAAAAAAGTAGTAGTTCAAAAAGAAGTTGGCAAAGGATACCCATTCAAATGGCGCAAAGTTGAAGGATCAGCATCCACGCACTGTTGAATGAGGGCACACACCCTTTTATCGAGGTTTTTCCACATCGACAGCAAGGAACCTAGCTAAAGATAAAATGAGATATCGTTGCAAACTATTACGAGTTCATGACAGCACCATCAGTTTGGCGAAACACGGTAGAAATGAAAAGCGGCTGACTATTCAAATCATAATTCAATTGAATATTGAGCAAAATGCACGGTCTATGAATATAGGGAAAAGCCCTTGGTAAGGGCACATGCAGCAGAGCTTACCGACTTCAGGGGATGAGCCTCTGACAAATTAACATCCTCGAGTTTGAAAAAATTTATTTGGCGTAGATGCTGCCACCGGGTGCAGACGCCAGACGGCGAGAAAGCGCCCGCTTGGAAGGCCTCGTCACATGTTCTAGCAAGGCACGCCAGCAACTCAGCACGTATCTCCGTGTAGGCCGTTTGGAAACGATGTGCAGTTTGCCCGTCCACTGCCTAAAAACCCATGAATACGCACTAGCGCTACACTTGAGGGACTAAATCACCATGAACCACCTTAACAAACTGATGTCAAGAAAAACGTCTATGCATACCAGGAATAAATGATGTGCCCTCAACATGGCACTCGACGCTGAGCTTATTGCTGCAGAGAGCTTCGGTACCCAATTACCGCTTTGGGGCAGATCACAAGCAGCGTCATAGAGATCTGCTTGAGCGCGATTCAACATAGCCAGGCCACGAAGCCAGTAAGTGTTCTTCAAAGTAACGGTCTAAAAAACGTTATACGGGGTGCAGTACTTGAATAAACCAATCCAGCAATGATTGAACGAAACCGTATAGAACCGCTTCGAGTACGAATAAACAGGCTGATTAGGTGTGAGATGCGTGACCAGTCAACTGTTTTTGGACCTGGGGAAAGCCGAACTATCAACGAAGTCAAATAAAGAATATGATTGTTTTGCGACACGACCAATAGATAATTTCAAGTTTAGTTAATAGATGGTAACGATTAAAAATGAAATGGAGGTAAAAAAGGATACTGTCCCAAAAAAATCATTTTTCAAAATCGCTAAAATCCCCTAAAGCATGCAAGCCATTAATGATGATTGAGAAACTACCTGATGGCAATAAAATAAGCCAGTACGAACGGAATTTGCCTTACCAGTGAAGCTAGTTGTTCAAACAGGTGAGCAGCGAAGCGTGGTTGCCTGTACAAGCTAGCCTTACATGCGAGTTGATAGACAATCCATGGATCCAATGCAATCGACTTCGCTTCCGTTGGATCGACCCCATAAGCACTATCGATAGCTTGAGCCAGAGTAGTGAGGAGATCAAGCTGTTGTTCCTTTAGCAAAGGACATCCATTGGCTACTATGAAGACGAGCACACAGACCTGAAGAAGATTGTCAGGAGTGCCCTCGGGAGAGAGTGGCATACGGGTAGCCTTCAACTGCCCCAAAAGAACCGGTAACTCAGGTAGCCAGAGAAGGTTGGTAACGCAAACACGACCAAGGAACTGACACAGCAGAGCCATCCGGGGATCACCACCTGCAGAGAAGCTCATGATAAGCTATAAACTTCTACAGGGGCCATACGTGTCAAAAAGGGCCCTAAATTCGAGTTTTACAGATGAAAATTAAATAAAATGAGAAAGTAAACAAAATGGACTACCATCTAAGTACTTGAAGGGCAAACTAGGCGAATGGAAGTAATAGGGGACATTTATTTACGACCAAAAGTTCTTAAAACAGATGTAACACGAATTAAGACGCAATGCCGAAGACCATAAGCACACCCACTGCATTCGCGGAGATATTTAACTAAAATGTTAAGATGACGCGATACGAATGGACCACGTTCGAGAAACAGGGATTTGAAAATGGCATGCTACCGTAAACGGGCGGATAGGCGGAAAAAACTTACTCATATGAACTTCTTTAAAGAATTCGATACGGTCGATGATACAGATAAAGGAGGGGAAAGTTTCGATGAACTTGAGGAGTTCAAAATAAAGAAGCTAAAAATTCAATACAATAGAGATCATGTTGACAAATTATGCTGAAATTAGGAGCATTACAAATAGGGAGCAAGCGCATACCTTAAGCGCAAGAAAAGGAGGCCCGGAATCACTCAGTATCCAGGAGCGGGTGCGGTCAGATTGTTCGTTTACTCGACTGGCCGGAGCAAGAGATGCGACGAGCATCGAGGCAACGAATTCCGCATTAAACGCTTCATCGGTTTTACCACATCGAGCGATCTTACAAGCCAACGCGAGAGCGTTTGGTAAAAGTGAAGATAACGGAGACGGCTCACAGCAAAGGGCCTGTGTCAAGCACGCACTAACACTGACACCGTCTGCAAAAAGTTTGTTTAAACTGTTAGATATATTATGAATAAGCCATTAAAAATACCCAATACACAAAAAAACGTGAACAAAAGTTGGCGCTGGATGGTGCAGAGAAGTGAATACCGTAAAAGGTTCGGTTATAGAAAAAATAAAGATAAAGCAAATGTTTGTGAATGCAAAAAAGCGGGAAATGGACTGAAATACTACACAGTGTAGGGAAAATACCTGAATGTGGTACACGAATGAGCAGATAAAACGCCAATTTTGAGTAAAAGAAACGAGGTTAATAATAGAAGAGAATACGGATGACATTACCTGATTCCTTAGCGTCGCCATAAAGTACATCATAGTTGAGAGACGAAGTTAAACGATAAAATATCATGAGAATCACCTCTTTTTCTTCGTTTGTCGCGGAAATGCTGGAAAAGACTCTACATAAATGCTAAGTACAAAAAAGGAGGTAACAATGCCAAAATCCGCATGATATTTTTTGACACCTACTGAAATATGAGACTGAGTCCACTGATTTGGAAGTCTGTCCGCTAGGCTCGACAAATTGGAGAGGAGATTTGCTCTCACCTCGGTGTCTGCGCTGGCGTCGAAATAGCTTAATATAAGCTCAATCTAAAAACCAACAAATAGCCTAGCACACCTCATCAGTTTAACGCATAGCATTTGTAAAGAACATGAATAGGACAATCAATGGCCCAATGGAAAGGCATTTTACCTTAAAATGCTGCAAAGCTTACATGATTAGAAGTACAGACGGGAGAATGGATTTCCAGCTTCGTTAAAGTGTCACATATGACTGTCACAAATCCGGCGACCTTATGAGACCTAAGAAGATTTTTCAAACAATCTCGCATCTACCAGTCTGGTGTGGAAAAGTAATAAACAAACCTCGGGAAGACAAGTCATATCATGGTAGACATACTCGCCAAGAGGTATCAACTTCAATTTATTATCAGTAGTAGTGGTAACTTTCTTTAATAAGTCACACAAGATAGGACATAGGCTTATGGCAAACGCTCTGGGAGAAAATGTCGCAAAACCAGCCCAACGTACTTCGATATGGAGGCAAAATCATAAGCGACCGAGACGGCGGCGTTTAACTCAACCTCATAATGTGACTCAAGCCTTGACATAACGATATGGTGTACGCTAACATTGTCCTTCACAATACCACTTAATACACCAAAGAGGCTAACAATGAAAACGAAAAAATCATACTTCAGATTCAGAGCTCTGGTATTAGGATCACTGCTGCTATCGAGCGGAATGAGCTTCCGAACGATGTCATCAGATATCGTCAGTTTGAGCAACTGGCAGCGACACTCACTGCACGATTGCAATATGCACATTCGTATAGAATTGGTTCTGAAGAAGTAAACTAAATTAATCTAAAACGAACCCGCTACAAAAAAGCTCAGTAATTTTGAGGAAGAGGGAATTAATTACGACAGGAAATGGGTAGTGTTCAAGAATGCGCGGAAACTCGGCCACTGCCTTGCATTGCTCGCCAAGAATTGGTGACGACAGTCCTAAGATAATTAACGAAACCTTCACAAGTTCACACCTCTATTTATTTCCATTATCTGAATGGAAACCTCCCGACTTATCCCCGTCCCATCGCCCATATCCACAAAACCAACCCTTAAAACAAAACAACTGTGAGTGTAGTAAAAGCAGTGGGTAAAAAACATACTTCTATAAAAGTTAGGAGGAAACAGGCCTCAGGAGAACAAAAATATATATGCCTTATAATCAATGATTGAGTTGCATCAACCTCTGTACAGACATATCGCATCAATGTGCTTTACATGATAAAATTTATTGAAATTTCCGTGGGAAATAAATGCGCATATTCTGTTAGATTCCTATGCAAACTTGCAAAAGAAAGAATATAATTTCAGCAAAATTCCATCGTCTTTGCGAACAATAACCACCCTGTCATAAATATAGGCACCAATTATGGGGTAACAGTTTGTTCGGCATATGGCGCCCTGGGGCCTTATTAAATGCCCAATAAGACATAACACCCGGACAGAACATATATGCTTGACATATAAAATGTATTGGGGCTACCGACATGGCCCTGAGATTAGCCCGCCCGGAGGGGCACGTCGGCGAAGACAAAGTCGTAGTCTGCCAAACCAGGAGTCAAACCAACCTATTACAGTGTTATAAGCCTACAAGAAATCTTAAAAAGGTCAATACAATTTTTCGGCAACTATTTTGCAAATTTAGCATGAAAACACACTGGATAAGATATGAATTTTGAAGTCTTGGGAGGGCACACAAGCCTATTTTAATTCAATTACAGCCATTGGCTTTGTTTAAGTGAAACAGTTTAAAAGGCTGTGATGGATAATAATTTTGGCTAAAGTATATTTCTAAATCTATATCCACCCAAAGATTAACACTTTTGTTTAGGCTTATCATTTGCCTTGCCGGACTCTTTGGTTGTTACTTCGAGTGTCTTGTATATATCCGGTATGGGTCGTGCCTGCGCGGAGTGCCTACGAATGGTTCTCGTTATCTATAATTTCATCCTTGTGGTGGGTTTTCTGGAATTTTTTAAGCCTTTTGCCCTAATGTTTAGTACTTTTACATGTTTCAAGTCTGCCATGGTTATCTATTTCGAATGTTTAAGATCGCGCCTATACCTGGTTCCATATACGTCAATTTATTTGCATATGCCATATATAGTCACTCACTGACGCGCTCCATTAGATTTATATTTATGGTTTATAAATGATTTGTTTTTTAGAAATGTCCCATCGTCATTTATTACCCTGCTGATACTTCGTGTTTTGGTCTTATTCTGTCATTTAGCTTACGACTATATATGGTTCTCAACCCACCTTACACCTTTTATTCGTCCTTGGAGTATCTTATGAGGTATTTACGTCCCCAGTTTTGGACTTATATCTTCTCCCTCATTTTTGACGTGACGTTTCTTGTTGGTGTTCATGGTAAATAGACGATGTGACAAATCAGATATTACAGCGGCGTAAATTTGTTAATTTCTAATTATTTCGGATATTTTGCAGAGGCTGGTACTGTGCAATTAACGAGACACGGACTCTGAGTTTCGTTCAACCAAGATACTTATTGTTTTTTTGCCCATTTAATTTATAGAACTAATGTGAATCTGGTGCTTAAGCTCCGCTTCTTTATATTTGTATTAAGGAATCGGGTGTGTTAAAGTTAATTAGGCAGCCAGAAATTTATACTATCTAGGCAATTTGTTACTGTATTGACTTTTTGAGTTATTTCATTATAGCTTGCGATGTATATTCTCAGCTTTCAATCACCTTATTGGCTTTAGTTTTAAAAGACTGCAGCAGTCTGGGTTTTCTTTCCCGGTTTATTAGAATAAAAAGAGCGCATTTTTTCACCTTTTCAAGAATTTTTTACCACAATAATTGCCTTTACCCTGCTTACAATAATCCGACTTCAACCCTGGATTTATGAAGCATTGCGAATTCGTAACTACGTGTTCGTATTGTTTTCTACATTCAGAAGCATGACAACATATTTTAACCTTGGTTGCGTACAAAAAATCCATGAATGTCGATCCTATTTTGACCTTTTGCACCATTCTTTTGCTTGGGACGGGTGATGAGTCATCGTATCCATTTGCTACACCCAAAAGCTCCTGACTCCCGGGTTCGCGTCGTTATACGCCCATCCTGGGTGAGATGTTGTACCATTAATCACTTTGTTGGTTGTTTTCAAGCAGCTAATTGTCTTGGGGAAGAAAGCTTGTCATTACACCACTTTGTTTCATACTCTTTATATCGTTTTGCTCATTCAGGTTTGGGACACATGGGTACTCAGATGTCAGTTGATTGTCAGACTTGACCGGAAGTATGTTCTTGCATAGAATGCAAGTTGAAACTTAGTGCCAGTAAATCTGAATTAGGTCCTGGCGTAGGATTGCAGAAAATTGTGTTTCACTTATCTAAATCACTTAATTTATGTTCTCTACGGAAAATGGATTAGCTTTGTTGAGTCTTTTCCTATTTGCGCAATAGTTTGGTTAATTTTGCGTTGAGGCTTAGTTCAGTACGGGATGCCGTGTTGTCTTCACTCAAATATGCATTTCCTGAATTATAATTGTGTACAGAGATCGTGTACCTACTTTGTTTTTGTCTGTAGGATCTTACCATCCACAGAAATATGTTAAAACAATAGTTTAACAACAAATGATGTCAAACGACGCATTTTTTTACGATAGCCAATTCACCGAGCAGCGTAACATCTTAAAAGCATTTATGACCACAACGGGAGTACGCGCACAGGCACCACAATCAAATGGAGATAGGCTTTTCACAAGGAAGATATAGAAGTTGTCCCAGTCGCTTACGACCGTTGTAAAAATGGTTGTTTTCCTATTGAGTGCAAAGGAAATTCTAAATGATCTCCGTCTGTAACATTTTAAAGCGACTGAATTTAAGTGGCATAACCGTTTTTGGAGAGCCCATTAATTTAGCACCATTGAATAAGATATTTTTAGTGCTTAAAGGAATATAGAATATCAATAGGATAATTTATGATAACATTACTTTTGTTTTTGAGCCTACTTGTCGATCTACAGTGGGCTCAGGCATGCGTGTTCGATGCGTGAAAACAAATGTCTTTAGGCCAAGTTCTTCTCTTTTCTTTGCGACTATTGATGGATTGAACGCGAATCAAAGGTGTAGTTTGCCTTTGGTTATGTGTTTAGCTGATAGGGCTGGTGATTCTGGGCTTCGCAGTGTACGCCTACATAGAACCGGTAGCGCAGGAGTTGATAGAGGTCTCCAACCGCCGCACCACCGCTACGGTGGTGCTCTTCGTGCTAATGGGCCTGGGCTCGCTGACCCTCATAGTGGCGCTCTTCGGCTGTTGCGGAGCCTACCACGAGTCACCCTGCCTCCTTGCCACCTATTTCATTTTCCTCATCATCATCTTCGCAGTCCAACTGTCCGGTGCCGCCGCTGGCTACTTCTACAAGGAAAAAGTCTGTTCACTTTCTTTTAACCCCTACTATCTCCATCACATTCGTATGCAACTATTTCTCAAACTGGTCAGGATCATCTTCACTTGGGCCTCAGATTCTTGGCTTAATTCACTCATCTTTGCACATTCATACAAGTTGATTAAAACGCTGCTAGTGATAGAAAGGTTTTGTTTTTATTCACCTGTACTGTTCATTCAAAAGTAACGTTTAGTATAATGGTTGGCATAATGTAATCGATTAAATTGTGGTTATTTACCTCCCGCAATTGTCTGGAATTCTTATGCGATAACTTATGTTGAGGCTGTTCTTTCGACCCCTTTGGTGACTCCTATCACCCAGGCTGGAATGTTTCTGCAACACCCATTTCACGTCGACGACTTGTCGTTTTTGGAACTCCGCTGCATTGGCTGGTTAAGGATATGCTTAAAAATCAATCCGGTGGGAGTTTATGACTCATTACATTTTCAAACATTCTCTTTGGGAGTACGCTTGCTTTGGCGTGTATGGCGGCACTGCATTATATGAGACGCAATCTTTTGTGTCGTTTTAACATCTTACGATTAAGAGTTTTTTGTGAAAGCCTGAAGACGGACCGGCAGGAACACCCGATGCATGAAAAGTGCCTTAGCTTTCAAAATTAACAAAGAAACAGGAATATGTGTTGATCAAATTAGTGTTTGCCCTTAAATGCCAAGCAATGTTATGGCGCGCAATTGTGCTATGGTTCGACATATAGGACGTGCATAATATGCGGAACTTATGGAATTCAAATTTTGGAGCTCGGGACGCGTAAATGACCAGACTACGATACCTGAAATATTCTTGAAGACGTTGTACGGTGTGAAAGTTGAGGTGGTTTTAACGCTACTATTCCAAAATGCTTGAAGGCATTGAGGCCGAAACGCGGTGAAACACTTTTTTCTTATAGCTACGTACAGTTAAAATGATCACAATTGTGCTATAAGTCTCGTTGATTTTTTCATAGTCCTTGTGAAACATTTACAAATCTTCTGAAGAGGTACCCTTCAAAACTTTTTCACCGCCTCATTACCTTTGCTATTGTGGATCATTAAAACAAGTGGGTTAATGAATTCGTTAAGAATAAGTTTTGTCAAAATTCATCATGGTGAAAATGACACACTCAACTTAGGTTAGGCATCAAAAGTCGGTGACTTTCTTTATGCTATCTTTGAACTCCACAACGCCATGCGATTTGTGCTCGGTGAGTCCAGACTGTACCATTTATAACGCTCACGCTACACTTTTGGTTAAAGAACCCACAACTTCTGCTCTCAATTAAATGGTCTCAATAAGTAAATAAATACATCAAGAATGTACATAATAATGAGGGGAGAGGATTGGTAAATAACTGAGTTCTACTCGTTCCATTAACGTTATTTTTCCTAGATCCATGTAAAGTGAAAATTGAGTACAAATCCTATAAAAAGCTCTTACTTATTGGCGGATCAATGCGATAGCTTCCGGTGTAGATAAGCGCCACTTGGTGAAGGTCTTTTGAAACAAATACAATCATGTAAACAGGTCTTCAGTTGTATGGTTTTCGGAAAATACGTCTTCAATTTTTATATTTTTAATTACGTAAATGGCAAACTGTCAGACCTTTTCACCATATCTACCCATTCTGAGGCTATAAAAGGACTCTAGTTGTTTCAAAAGCCGAGGTCGTCTTATCGTTAACTTGAGTTGAGGTAAACAAGGAGTTATTATGTCGTAGGCAAATAGTCTAATGACTCTTGCATTGGTTTGGGTCCCTGTTCAAACTTGGCCATATAGCCCATACCGTTTCATCAGATTTAAATTTCTGGTTACAGGTGGATCACTGTTTTGAAGTTTTACCAGCTATTGATTTTTTCCCCACACTTTGGCACTATCGAAAACTATGGGCTTCCAACAAGCGTCCAAAAGAACTTTCTTCAATCTGGTAAATACAACAAACTCAGCATCACACTAAAGTAGTTAATCTTGTTAGAATTTTTGGCAAATTGCTTTCGTTTTTTTACTTTTGCCATAAGTAACTCAATATTTGATTAAAAAGTTGTCAAGTCAAGGTCGCTTCCTTGAATGCCTGCGCTGAGAATACAGCAGCAGTGTAGAGTCATAGTTACATGGCAATGATTATGAATGGCACCTCTTAGATTAAGCTAATAAAATCCACACTTGGAAGAAGAAATACATCTCTTCAGAGATATATGTAGGATGAGGCTCGTAGGTCCCCCCTTGCTCGATCCTCATACTCTTAGAACACCCACGTTGATTTGATTTTGACATGTTTATTAGGGTAAGGAAATGGGGAGTCAGTACAGAGTTTAGGGGGTGTGGACACGTAACCGCTCTGTGGTTTGCAGAACGTTGACTTCAGTCACGAGGTTCGATTTGTATCCCCGCCTCCTCTCTGAAAGGAACATTAAAACAACATAAGTACTACATGTACTCCAGGTAGTCTATTGCATAACATACTAAAGACAGCGGCAATGCGGTGTTGTGTTGTTTCATTGGACAGTATAACATAAAGCCTTGAAAGTCTGTTCTTCTACATGGGAGGGGAGGGAACCAAGTTATTTCCGGGATTGCGAACAGGTAGTGGAAATAGGTGGAAAAACAACTCACGGCCATCGTGCTTTTGAGTGAACTGAAGGCTAACGCAGATTGGATCGGCTGACTAAACGCACACCCACTCTGCCCACTCCATTTACCAGCACTCAAGCTGTGCCCACTATTATTGATTATAGATATTTGAAAACACCGAGCGGCGGATGCGCGAGGGCGTGTTTGAGCACATGAAGCCCATACCCACACTTAATCGACAGCCCGTACTGATGAACGCGGTGCAGAAAATGGTAGGTTTGCCTTTTCCCTTGGTCCCAAATAACGCTTAAGATGTATTTCTATTGGTAGGAATTTCGCACAGCCTACTATTATTTTCCGGCTCATTGAGGCACCTAGGCAGTATATATAATGTTTGATATGCAATAAATTACACGAGGGACAATTGATTTGAAACTTTCACCACTAGAATAACGTGGATTTTTTTCCGGTTTTTACCAAAACACAAAGGCGCGTCCGCTTCAACCAGGATCGAAACAATGATTTAACTGAGTTATAGCATTGTTTGTAAATTTAGCGGTTGATGTTTATTTTATAGTCTTGATATGGTCTCTTGTTATATAGGGGCGCCTTAAAGATGGGACATAACTTATAGCTTTCACCAAAGCAGATGGGCCGTTGCATTACATCATGCAGTCTGGTAAGACCTACCCGATTTGTGGCTGTTTAGCTTTTCTGTACAATCCACCATTACGTGGGATAATGCTTAATATGGTGTTCCCACTTGCAAAATGTTCATTTTAAGTCCTTATATTGCTCGTAAATTATGAAGGTCGGTAAGTTACTTTTCGTAATTGTAATCTCTAGACAGTGGTCTGAGGCATCCACCCACGGCTTTATGGATTATCAATCTGGAATTGACGGTTTTCACCCGAAGCACTTTAACCCTGCCGTTGTTTGTTTAATTTAGATTAATATTTTTTGCTTAATTAATGGGCTAACATTCCCGTTCAATTTGTTAGCAAATGCTGGAATCATTTTGTAAAGTCATAACACTGGGTTATTTTGTTAATGGTAGTTCGCTTGCTCTCATATTAGTGTTCAAGGCTCTTGCGCAATGGAATATTCATTTACCCTTACTCCTTTCATAAAACCGGCAAATATGATGCCCTCATATTCGCATATTTAGGTCAGCGGTAGTCGTTAAAATAAAAGGTGAATATTGCCTTTCTCATTTCCATATTTAGGTTTGGAGTTTAATTTGAAGTTTAAAAAAATGCTTTCCAGCAGTGCTTACCATGATCTGCATTCAATTTTTTTACTGATTTGATCTTCGCTTCATTTAGAATATGGTAAATTAAAAAATATTGAAGATTGCGATTAATTTTCCTCATTTCCAGGGCGCATTTAGGTAATCTTAAGCATGATTTATCTTCCGTTCACTGCTAATAAAGTATGTGAGAAAACAGCATTAAGACGTTAATCTCTTGATTAACTTCGAGCATGTCAACATATGCTCCAAAAAAAAATTGGCATTCCAATTATTTTCCACAGGATTACCGCGAAATTATCATAATGTTTGTTAACATGACAATAACACTAGTATTCTTCCACTGCAGTTTTGTCACTACTAAAAAAAACACTGCTCCTTAAACTGGTGTACTCAATGACATGCTTTTACCATGCAAAAAGTATTTTAACCAAAATAAGTGCTGTTTTACTAAATTCGACATTATTGGAACTATCAATCATGTTGTAGATTTTAGGAAGCAGCTTCATATTGTATCATTTTAGGGAGTTTTAAAGTCACAAATCCTCAAAATTTCTCACATTTTGCCTTATTACTATTTTTTTCTTGCCACAAGATGGTTATCTAACCGTTGTGCATCTTCGTCTAGCATTTTCCTTTCTTTGGCAAAAGCGGGCTGTAATTTTTAGCATTGCAACTTCCACTGATTATTCATGAACTAAATGCCCTTGTCTTAATTGGCGAATTTACAGTAGGAAATTTCTTCTAGTGATTACCATATATTTCTATGCGCAATATCAATGCTCGAATTAGAAAATCAGGTGGTTGTACACCAAATCATTTTAGAAGTTACTAATTGGATGTCAAAGCTCACACATCCACATTCCTTTTTTCGGGTCGTTTGTTTTGTAAATAGTATCACAGTCAGTTTAATCAAGTCTGTGCTAGATCGCGGCAGTAGTTTCTTAATGATTGCAAATTTTTCGACGCCTTTGCTAGGATGGTGAATTTATTTGTAAATTAGTTGGCCAATTATAAGTGGTATTTACATGATATGTAATGATACGTTCCTTTCGATCCTATGTCTTTGTTATGAGAAGGTTTATTCGACATATTTAGCATTGGTAATGGTATAAAGTGTTCAAGCTTCCGGGTAATGATTACCAAAAATCCGATTTGAATGTCGCTGGTTATTTGCGCATAGCATTTAGTTAAAATGTCTGAGGGGTTATAGCAGTAACAACAAAATATTCTAGAAAATGGGTATGACGTTTTCTTTCCACGCACTAGCACGAGTACAAAGCAGCTAATTTTGAAGGATAGATAACTTACCCGGATGTTTTTTATTTGAGTGCTTCATTCGATGCATACGTATGAAGTGACACTAATTGAAGACTAAAGTGGACACTGAGGTCTTGCCACTTTTTTCCAAACGAGCCTAATTTAGATTAAACGCCCTTTGGATTAATGTGTGCGTCAATAATGCCCTGCAGAAGTCATACTGTAAATGTCACAACCTGAAGTGTTTTGCAAGTGTCGCAGGTGATTCGATTGATGTATACAGAAGTGCCACAATAGGCTAACGCCGGATAACTCTCGAAAAATGACCTGCAATTTACCTAGGTTTTTGTTAATTTCCCTTATTTGTCGAATTCAGTTAAACGCTACGCATTGACACACTTTTTCCCTTAGTTTTATATCAAAAGAAAAAGTTATTACAATGAAAATTGATTGCAATTCTTACTCAAACGATCTGGTTACGCTCTTCGTTTTCTCTCAGTTTGAATGCTGCGGTGTGCAAGGTCCTAGCGACTATGACGGAAAGATACCCATGTCTTGTTGCATCGCCTCACGGAGCTCCTGCAACACCGCGGAATTCAGAGAGGACGAAATTTACACACATGTGAGTCAATGCGCTAAACTTTCCTTTGTAGCCTATCAACGCACGGTTACTGAGCCGGTTCTTTCGAGTTTGAGAAATACTTGAACTTTCTTTTTAATCTCCCGCTGAAGGTCTGGTTCATGCTTTGTTTTACCCATCTATCGGTTTTCGAATGCTTTCTGGTTGTATGCTCAAGCTGCCTAAACAAGTAGGCATAATCAGGGTAAAATATCTGACGTAATCATCCCTACCATTTCGATGGCTTAAGCGAAGATCATAAGTTAAAACTGTTACAACTTTCTCAGGCAGTGAAAACAAATTTCTCCTCCTGGTATTGAGCTCAGCCTTTACCTCCTTTCAGGGCTGTCTGGACAAGTATAAGGAGGCTGGTGTCTCCTTCTTGCAAATCCTCTTCCTTGTTGTGTTCGCTATTTCCTTCTTTGAGGTAAGGCGGCTTCTCTGGAAAAAGTTTTTACTTAAATGCAGAAACTGCGTTTTGTGGTTAATTTGGGGTCCTCCTGGCATTCCAACTTACTTGATTAATTATTGTGTAGCTAGAACATATCTCTCTATTTCGTCCAAGTTTCAAACCTTAGTTGCATCAGATTGATTGAACTTTCGGAACTTTTCTCACACGCATCAATACTTGCACACTGAATCGCTTCTGCAGAATTCATCGTTGTTCCATTGAATGCAGCGCTTTCCCATTGGTCTCTTGTGTACATTTTCACGTGGCTCAGGCAAATGTTCTGAATGCTCGCACATGTAGTCATAGAATATTTGATTTGGGATATGGACCACTTTAGGTTAAGGGAAGGATAACTCATTATAAGATGGCAGGTTATTGCTGGGACAATTTATTTAATTATTTTTGAATGAAGAACTCTTCCGTTATTAGGGGATGCACATAAGCTACTGCATTAAATACATCGGCTTTCTCCAGCTTCGATTAACAATCCTTTTACCTTCTTTTACTTCCAGGAAAGCATGGCCAGTTTTTTGTTACCTTAGTAATTGACCCTATGTATGCTCCTGTTTGTTGGGGTAAAATTGTGGTTTGCACAAGTGTAAGTTGTGGGTCTGGCACCGCATTCGCCTAATTCATTCAACGTATTCAGTGAAGCGCCACTATAGGTTCTATCTCATGCATTCTTGAGGTTATGAGAATGCCTCGTTTCGCAACAACTGTATCATGATCAAATCGCAATGCAATCAATAAGCAATAAGAATGGAAAGTTCAGAAATTATGTGACAACCCCACAACCTTACAAGTTTAGGAAATAACCAGGCCAGAGCCATAACTGATGTACTTATTGATGGATTATGGGTAGTAATTGCAGACATGAGTTTTTCCCGTAGTCCCGCATGTTATTTCGACACTGTGGGAATCGGTTTGTCCTTTGGAAATAGATTTCAACATATTGGAATTACGAGAGTTCTGGGTTTGGTCACGTGAATAGGGGTTGTACATCAACCAACCACGACCGCTGGCGCGCATCTGTCATAGTTTATGCGCGTCTTCCGACGTTTTCATTGATCGTGCGCGCAATGACATGTGAGCTTAGGCCAATCAGATTTCCAAAATTATTGTATCTAACGTAAATACAAGATGTGCGTGCCCCGTGCACATGTGCCCCAGATTTGCTATGTCGGATCAAAGCTTAGGCGCCACTTATTTTGAAAATTTTTCGCCGCCGTTTTTCGTATCAATGAAATAATTATTGTATACTAGCTTTTATCTTCCTCTTTTTTTTCTAGATATTTGGCCTCCTTTTCTCCATCATCATGTGCTGCATTGTGCGAAAGTATACAGCGGATTACTACGAGGTGGACTACGCGCCTGCATCATAAAACTGAGGAATTAAATCCACCTCCGTGAATTCTTTCTTCTAAAACTACAAGCCCCACTCGCATGAAGTCCGTCGCCCCGACCTACGTCAGAATTTCACGTTCGCATTTCAAGACCTTTGCCAGTCTGCTCGTTCCCCCTCATTTTAGAAAAGTATCATTAGTATTTTTATTCGTTTCTATAAAACTACGCACCCACTGTACCGTATTAATGAGAAACTTCAATCTCGTCCATATTTCTGCTCGCGCCAGCTCTGCATTAGAAGTTGAAATCGAACAGGTCTCGAATACCAGGCGTTATTTCAATCCAAATTCGCCCTCCTCCAATTTTCTGTATTCTCTGCTGCTTTTTTCCAATGCGGCCCCATTGTATTTGGATTCTCGATGAATGAAACTTTTCATGGTGGGTGCCACCTATGAATTAATAAATGAGTTCAAGCGTTTACGCCTTTCATTCAACCTGAATGATCCCCTTGTATTCCATCAACAAATCCATTAGATTCTTCGAAGTGACTTGTTTGACGCTCTTCCGCTCGTTGCGTTGAGGGGGGTTGCTTGCCTTAATACATTCAAAACAACACGAGTATTTGATGTGCCATTCCCGCTGTTGTCGTTTGTGCCGTTGGGCGGGCTGTTGGGTGTAAGGATTTCTTCGCCTTAAGATGTGCTGAATGCAATTCATTAGTGTTCTTGGGATTTCGTGTGCTACAAATGCGAGGATATACGTGAAAACTGGTGGGGGATGATACACGCCGTGGGTTACGTGGTTGTTCCTAGACGAAGAACTCTTAAGCTCATCGTTTTCACAAGGCTAACCACGTGGCATGCCCCTCCTTTGATCGTTTCACTAAGGGATGGTTCTTGCTGAAAGTCTGCTTTTTTCTATTCTAAAGTTACATTATTTGGCGAAAAATGGCTCTGGAATGTTTTCTACTAGATTTTCAGTCTCCATCTACTGTTGGGGACGCAATCTGCCAGTGACACTTCCTTCACCCCATTTTACCGCTACGATTGATTGTTATAAAACTATGGCGGTGGACTGTGTTGTGTCGCAAGCAACGTTCACTTCTTGAGGCTAAAACACTACCCCAAATATTTTTATGGAAATTTACTCACCACTTGTTTGATAAATTTGTTTATCCAATAAGTGTTTTCTTTCAGATGAGCATTAAAAGCGTGCGCCTAGCTCCAGATACCAACTGAAGGCTTTGTAAAAAGTCACTTTTTATTTCATAATGCTGCTTATAATTCAGGTGCTAAGTGATAAAGAATATTCATGTAACTCTACGCCACTTTTTGTTGTTTACTAAAGTTGGGAATACAAGGGAGGACTCAGTTCTACTGTTTGAATCTAAATAACCTTGCAAGCGCTAGTAGATTGAGAAAAAATGTGACATTCACTTTAATGATATCCCGAATTAGTTTAAGTTGATGCGGTCAGAGAATAACAAGAAAGGATTCATTACCTCAAGGGGATGGGTGCAGAATTCAACTCAGATTAATCAGGGCAAATGCAATGTTGGTACCATTTGCAAGGACATTTATCATTCAAAAATATGCAATATAACAGGAAAAGCGCCTCTGCATACTAAAAAAACTATCCCGAATATCCCAAAGTGATTGTATGAAAACCGTCAGATTAAATTTCTACATTTGGCAGCATCGCAATCGTTCTGTTAAAGATGTTACTTTTGCGGAGCCTCTTAAGGCTGTCCACTGCGCTCCTACTATCACCTCTTATGGTGTGAAATAAGCTCGATTTATTCAACATTTATAATGTTCACTTTCCTTCAAGACACGCGTGATCCTGTAGCCCACTGGCCAGTTGCCCTGTTCATTCGAGATAAACGGGACCACTCCTCACCAAAGTCGCATGCGCGAGCTCCCATTTTGGCCCCGATAGTGGAAAGGATTTGTTTTTATCCGTAACTGGACCACCCTTTCCCTCCAGCAGGTTTTTTAAAAGAATTTGGCGAAAGTGATGTAAGTGTAGCCACTTGGCCTTTTGTGAAGGCTAGTCACCAGTCCCATATTACACCAACCAAGTAGCAAAATAGGCATCAAAAAGGATTTAATAAAAGCATACGCATTTAAACCTTATAAACTGATGCAAATCCACTATTTTTTGACTAATCAAAGTGCTCTTCAAAGTGTACAACAGGTCGTTGGTGGGAAATGTGATGCTAATATTTGGCGTATTGCAAAAAAATCAAAAAGAATGAAATGAATCTCTTGTAAAATGGCTTCTTAAATAGAATTTGCGCTTATAGGAAAGCAGACGATAGGTAAGAAAGCCACCCAAACAAAAGTTAACTTACAGCTTCAGCCTATGGACTACTGCGACAAATGCAGAAAAATGAAGTTGCACTTCTGTCGGAATCGCGGTAAATCCGGGGAACCCAGACTACGGGTGATCCAATAATTGAAATGATGTCTTTACCGTGTTCCCGTTATCCTTCCACCTCACCACAAAGATGGCCTCTGTTAAAGTATATGATGAGAAACCTCTTCAGAACGGTAAAAATTTTATCACAAGTTCTTCAGGCAAATTTATATGGGGTAATTCACTATAGAAGGCATTTTTCTTCTAAGATGTTTATTGACAAATTGTTGTTCCAGGGGTGATACAGCTCGTTGATTAATCGGCGTTTACGTGAATAGGTATGTTTGCAAAGCTTTCTCTCTAGCAATCGATCAAAATCTTTAAAGAGCAATCGCAAATCACGTAGCTGTGATTTTTCAACGACAACGACGATGATGTTGATGGGTATGCATCCGTTTGAGCATAACGCGACATCATTTCACCTAGTAATGTTTCAAACGTGCTCAAACACTCGCTTTATTACGAAGTAGGCGGTAAGCACGCAGGATCATTTTGAGTACATGTTTTCAATGGTGGACATATTCCAAATCGATTGTGAGTTAAAAATGTCGAAATGGAGCGTCCCCAGTACATTTGAATGCTCACCTTTTTTATGGGAAGGGGGACTTGAACTACATGATAGAGTATAGCGTATTGCCAGGTAAATAATAAAAATGGCCACCTCATAGGCATCGGCCTAAACCTGCAAAAGCACACAAATCAGGGGCATCAGAAGAACAGAAAAATCTGCACCTTCTTTGATAGGTCATGTGTAAATATTCCTGGCTCGCTTCTAAAAGTAGGATTTATTTGCACGATAAAATTTATAAAGAGCTCTTTATGGTGCAGTGAGTAAGCAGCAAAAAACTCACAAACTGACGTAGAAGTGGGCTTATATAAGGCAAAAGCGAAAAATGCACCCTGCAATTAGTACAAGCATAATTATTCAGATGTGCATGATTAAGATAAAGATATTAAGCAAAATAAACCGATTATCTAAAGAGATATCAAACGCATTTACAACAAAAGATGTCGCAAACTTGGAAAAAACATTTCTAGAATTTTCACCCACCCAGCAGTTCTGACTGTGCACATTCATTACGCTGACCATAATGCGTAAACTGCTTTGCTGAAAGTAATCACATGAGTTATCAGCAATTGAAGTCGTCATATGGATTTTGATATCTAATATTTCGAATGACCATTGGGCTATGTGCAACAGTTTTCTTTGTTTGAATTAACAGTGTGGAATATTGTACTCATGCAGCCAACTGTAAAATAACAAATGCTTCATAGCAGGCGTAAACGACTGTTTCGGTCATCACTTCGTAGGCGGTGGTGGGAGGAAACACCCACGAGCCGACCATGCCAGTCATCAAGTTCCTATATAAGTGAGGATATACTTGACTGCAACGTCACTGATCCCTCATTGCATTTCAACTGGGTCTGGAGGTTTGTCCGGTTTAAGGACTGGATTCAGGGATGGGAAATTGTGCTGGCCAATACGTGTGTTCAAAGTCAGACGCAGGAACACTGGCCAAAAGGCAGATTTATCCGAGAAGGAACGGGTTTTAATCCAGATCTTCGACGTGGAAAATTTGCGTCTCTTATTTCTTGTCATGATGTTCTCACTTTGGAGCTGCCCAGTTATGACTATCCGGGCTCTATGTAGCTAGTAGGGAAGTGGAGCAGGTATCGCAAGTTTACTTTATGAACACCTCTATTCAGGTAAGATAGGAAAAATCTGTAGCGGAACCTTTCCAGATAATTAAGGGCTAGTGCCGCTTCAGTTGTTAATATTTCCTACAAAATATGGAACTGGGGTAGTTGTCGAGAGCAGACCTCAATTTTAGCCCCTCTGTTTGAGGTCATCACCAATTCCCCCGCATGCAGTAATGTGCACTTCTTCCGTCACGCCAAGGCGCATCAGGCAGTAGTAGAAATCAGGATAGCTGTGCTTTAAAAGGAGTTTACTTTCCACTGCTACTAATGTAGAGCTTCGAGACTTCTCTGAAGACGAAAGGGCACATAATATTCGGGTAGAGCATATACAAATGTATTCTACGTACAGAAGTGCTGAAGGCTACTGGAATGACCTGGCGGCTAACCCACTCACCGAGACAATGGCTAAGACACCTGATGCCCCTTATTTGCAAAAATTGATCAAACCAAATTTTGGAAAATTCAACAAAGTAGTTAATTTAAACTTCTAGCTGTTTTGACGTTTTCTAACAAACTGCCTTGAATTGTCAAGTAACGTTTGATGGGTTGCAAGCGCAGCCGCGTGTTTTGACACCCTGGGGCGTCGAGGATGGGGGTGGAGCTTTGGCTGCTTCTCCTCGTGTCCTTTGCGACGGTTACTGTGATGATAGCCTTTTTTGTAAATGTGATTTTTACAGAATATTTATAGGTTCTAATTTTCCTTTACTTATCAACGAACCCATACCCTGATATTGATAGGGAACTGACCGAGAGGGTATTTTACGATCCAATGAATTCAGAGTATGTGAGGTTCCCGTTTGGACTAACTCATCGCCCTGAAGTTGAACTGTCAGTTATTGTTCCGGCCTACAACGAAGCTCAAAGACGTAACGTTATTTGCATCTATATCCGATTATGCTGTGATATAGTTCCTACAATGATGGAAGAGGCTCTTGCCTATTTGACATCGCGTATGGCATCGCAGCCCAAGTTTACATTTGAAATTATCGTTGTTGATGATGGGAGCGTTGATAGCACTTATCAGGTCTGCTAATACTTTAGTTTAAGCCCTGGCTTTAGGTTGCAATATCATACTCTTCGAAGTACACCTCCAATGTCGTTCGTGTTTTGAAGCTTACGCGTAATCGAGGAAAGGGTGCTGCCGTTCGCATTGTAAACCTCTTTAAGGCTTACTGTGTTCTTTTTTCACATTTATTCTTAGATGTACTTTATTGTAGGGAATGCTTTCTGCTCGGGGCAAGTTCCTGCTTTTTGCTGATGCAGATGGTGCTACACGCTTCCGGGACATCGAGAAACTGGAAAAACAAATGGCATTTATGATTGCATCGAAATGGGTACGGAGCTCTTTTTGGCCGTCCTTTTAAGGATTTTATTAATACCAGGTTCCGATTGTTAGCGCTGAGGTTTCGTTTTAGGATGGAAGGATGGCAGTCATATGTGGTTCCCGAGCGCATCTACAAGCAGAGGCAACCGCTAAAAGAAATCCACTTCGCAATCTTCTTATGTACGGCTTTCATTTTGCCGTGTGGCTGTTGTGTGTACGTGGCTTGAGAGACACCCAATGCGGTTTCAAGCTATTTAGCCGTAGGGCGGCGCGTCTTCTTTTTATGAACCAACATGTCGAACGTTGGGCATTTGACGTGGACCTTCTCTACCTCGCCCGACATCTCTCTGTCGAGATATGCGAGGTTCCAGTCACTTGGCATGAAGTCAACGGTACGATTACCTACGCATACACTCGTGCAGGGCTGGGTGGAGGGTATGATGCCCACACCACCGTTTTAGATCACTCTTTGCGTTATTTTCCTGAAACGGCTTGTAGTTCCGTCCCCACGCTAACTTAATTTCAATTTCAGGCTCCAAAATTATCCCACTTTTCTCTTGGATGCAGATGGCTAAAGACTTACTCCTGATACGTTTGCGCTACGGTCTCGGAGCGTGGAAAATCGAACAATCGCACCACCTCGAGTAAATGTACACGAACTCCACCCCATGTAACGAGTTATTTCGATTAAATCACAATATCTTGACGCAGCACGCATGCCACCTTTCCACTATTGTGCCTCGTCGGTGCTTGCTTCCAAGACCGCGTTTTAATGCCAAGTTTCGTTAGGCTCTTGAAATATTGCAACAATTCTGCACTCCTATATCGCTTGAGAAAACCAAAGCATATCTAGTCCACTTTTTCCACATAGTCTATTTCAATGCAGGGATACTTCGTCTCAAGTATCTAAGGCAGGTCTATCTAATTTGAAGTGAATCAACAAGCCCCCAGAACAAGAGTCAGGCAGAGTAGATACGGGTCTCGCCCGTCAAATATCGTGGGATTAACTATTTAGGTACCCGGTTTCCACGAAGTCGGCGATGCGGGTAATTGCAGAGGAAAAGCGTGTCGGTACGAGCGTTATTATTAGGGCGTAGGTACTTTCAGATCACGCGGAGCTGATTGCCCGGTGCGAGGGCAACATTGTGTTCAGTCATCTTCTGGAACGAAGATTTCATTGTCCTCAAGGAACTTAGCGCCAGCTTTGCTTATATATGCACCAGTGAAAAGGAATGGCGCAACAATGCAGACAACTTTCAAGAGACCAAAATTTGTTTGATGTGGTGCATCCGATATAGCCCCAGTTGATCTATAAACTCCTTCTCCGCACAGATAATAGTGATTGTAGTCTATCCTGGATCTACTAAAAATGCGAAAGAGAGAAAACCCCTTGCCGCACATGCGAGCGAGTAGCAAAAAAAAACCCCAAACAATTAATGGTTTTGGTGAGTTGAAACAATCCAAATACTCCGATAGGAGATTCGTTGTTTTGGCACCACATAAGATAAAAAAGACTTCAAAATAGAATAATTAGAAAAGAATTGGCAATATATGCAAGCAGGTAGCGACAAAATTATCATTAAATCTTGTTTAACTGCACACGACAGAAATTTCTGGCCAATTGCAAAGATTTTGTGCTTCAGTGAAACAGGCCTTGTACTGTTACTACATGACGATACAAAAATACGTGTAATGAAACAAGAAGACTAGGAAATGGCAGCCCACTATTACACAGGCGTTTTTCCTCCCCCCTTTATAGAAGTTGGCAGTCTTCTTCTGGAGTACTTATAGCAAAACCTACAAACAAGACAAATAAAACCCGTCTCAGACGTGTTCACATGCGCTCAAATTGATAACACATTAAATGGGGTTTCTATTTGCGCAAACCTTACCAGTGGACGTGCCGGCCCAGATACGTACTTGGAATTTGTACCAGCGCCGTATTCATATGCCGCATTTTGCAATACAGTGACTCAATCATGCAGTGTGTCTTAGGTAAATTATAGCGACGTGCTTAAGCAACCTAGATATAAGTGGCATGTTAACGTATGTTACTATAGTCAATGTGAAGCGGCTATTTTTACAAAAAATATGAATCCGCATGTATATACAGAGAAGGCCGTCAGATTATCAGTGTATACGTGCTTCAATGGAAATCTCTATGTGAACGCTTTTGATATTATGGCTAGTTTAACTCGGACTAAATTCCGAAAGTTGATTCAGTTTGCTTCATATCTGCCCAGAACCATCACTTTGTAGAACCTGTACTTGATTTCTAGGTCTAGAAAGTTAGTTCGAACTTTAAGTAACGAACTTCTATCCTTTCACAGAAGAAGCAAAAAACCATACCTATTTTTATGCTTCTCTATTAGCCAAGTAGGTAAATTCCCTTGCAAGCAACATTCACAAATTTTTCAGGACTACAGCCATGTGTCAAATAGGTATCTTTAAAACTTTTTAAAACTTCGTTATATTGTCATTCTTAAAGTGCGAGTTGTTGAATTAGAGCATTTAAACTAATATAGTGATATTAATTTGTTTTGTAACTACAAAATCTGCTGCCATTTTAGTTTTTAATCAGAAACATTCCTGATTTTTGGCAAGAATAACTACCTTGAAGATGTCTTTACTGACGCCCCGCTATTTTTAAGGCTAATCGCTCCTTTACTGTGGATTGATATTAATGGCTCGTTCCTGAGATTTACTTGGCCTGAATTTTCTCCTCTATGGTTATTTTTCGTATTAGTTTTTTTAGGCAAATAGTTGTACAAGTTTTAACTTTGACTTGCTTTGTCATGTACGGTTGACAACTTGTTTGATGTTTGGTCTGAATGCAGCTGTGATATAGTGCCATGAATTCTTCTCATTCCTTTTCATTTCACACTTTCTAAAACCCGTGATGCGCTGAAAATTTTGTGTTTCTATTAATATTTTTCACCCAATGTAGAGTTTTCTAACCTCAAAATACATTACACTTTTAAACTGGTTCACTTTTGAAACCCACAAAAATAGCGGAATTTTTTCGAGATTTTGTACGACTTTTTTCAGGAACCTAAAAACAAAAGCGTTGGGGAGAATGTTTTAGCGCCTAAAAGTGCTATTCGGCCGCGAGATTTGCGTTCATCGAACAAGAAAGGCTTGGTATCATTCTCTCGAACATCTGCGGCCCGTCCTTCCCTCGGTGCCACCAGCTATGCTTGGCTAGAAGCAGCGGAACGAATAGAGGCAGAGTCTGTTGTGAAGGAGCAATCACCGACAACGTGGCCAAGACAAAAAAAAACCACCTTGATTTCGGCCAATGATTTGATTAGGGAATATGACAAATGTTTGATCCAAAGAGCTAGAATGGTTTCGTGCGAAGGTCCTTTGAACTTTGGGCAAACAAACTGTATTTTTCAAGCTATTTTTGACAAAGTCATAAAGTAAGGCTTAGGTTTTCTCTTGCTTGACTCATCAAATAAAGTATTCTAAAAACTTTTTTATTTAGAAAGTACTGGGGGCTACGTATAGCGAAAGTTGACCCAGCCCTACAAAACCAAATCTCTTTGTGGTCTGATGAAGCTATTGTGAGGGTTAATAGGGAGGAGTTATTTGGTGAATCTAGAGACAGGTGAGTCATTATATAGGTTTTTTGACAAGCGTAAATTTGATACACCCAAACTTTATTGTATTTTAGGATTTTGTCAATCCTTATAAATGAATTTACAAAGCCTCAAGTTACTAGGATTGCTTTGTTAAAACTGGAGGACCTTCCAGTTTCCATACCTGGCCCCTATCCGCTATCCTGTAAGCAAATAATTTGGTGTTGTTGGTCGATTTCATAAACCTTGTTAATGTAGCCTCTATTTTTTGCAGCTAATATGGAATCACCCACCACACAAAGGCATTCAAGTCGCTCGGCCATGTCCCCAGTCTCGTATATCAAGGTAATTTATTCCATTGAAAACCAGCTATATTCTTTTTTTTCGTCTTGTACGAACTACAAATATAGTAATTTCTTTGTCGGCAATTAAATGCGGCTTCGTGAAATTTCCCGTGACTGTATTACAACACTCACTGTTCTGATTATTAATAATTGTTCATTTGAAAAAGAGACGAATTTGTTTTACGTCTTGCTTCTTTATTATTAGGCCAATAACATGCACCGTATTTCTATAAATCTATTTTCGTGGTTGTTTTCATTCTCAGAAGACTGTTCAGATAGTTTTAAACTATTTAGCCAGCACAATGCTGGTTTCTGGAATTATCCCGAATAATATCTGCCTCTGAAATATTATTCAGAATAAAGACAAGACCGGCTATAGCATGCTAGTGAACTTTATTTCCTTTGCAGAATCTGAATGCGTTCAATACCCGTTCAATCGGACAAAGAATTACGGTTGACCTTCACAAGCTCGCGGAAGGAGGATTTGGGATCTCTTTTGCTACTAGAGATACTTTAATTAACACGGAAGAAATGCAGCCTGTTTTCGTAGAAAGGATAATGCCAACAGGTGCTGCGATTCACGATGGACGTCTTCAGGTAGTTAAAGAATGTCGACTTATTTTTTTGTTATTCAAAGTTTGATGATTAAATTAAATCATTGATATCCCAAAGATAATCTTGGCTATACTAATCGTGATGTTTTAGTACCTCACGTCCTTTCAAAAGGCATAGTAAAGTATTCTGGCATAAAAGAATGGCCTATTATTAGTGTGCATAAGGGATGGGAGATATGGGTGCGATCTTCCGATTGTGTTGCAAGATAAAGTTACAAGATGTGGGGGTTGGAGAGCTCCCGTAGTTGGATGTACACTAAAACGATGTCAATAGTAGCATTACATGCATATCCTTACAGCTGTATTCCGCATGTAAGAAAAAACTGATACCAGATGCCAAAGATGCATTCTTCAAAGTTTGGATGGAATGCTACTCTAAATATTCCACTGGACAGTTTTAGCTTGCTATCAAAAACATACTTTTGTTCTGTGACAGTTTGGCGACAGGCTCCTCTCAATCAATGGGATTCAAGTAACCAATTTTAAGGATGCTATGGCGACACTCAGATCAGTTTCTATCGGAGACAAGGCGACTCTAGTTTTCTCCCGTCAGGATTCTGTAGTCGTTGCGACTCCACCGACCTCTTCACCCAGTCTCATTGATCTTACTACGGATCGATCTTCCACATACACTTCCAATACCACACCCGATCTTGTTTCCGAACCCGTAAGAGGCATACATTTTTGAGTTTAATTCTATTTTTTGCGCTTACTTCCCTCTCTGAATCCGGTTTAACTATAACCGAAATGGGTACAAACTAATCGACGTCACTCTACATATTCGATTTTAGCCCCTGTGCCAAACAATAATTTTCGACATCCCAGTCCCTCATCGTGACTCTGGAACTTCGAGTTTGGGAATTCGATTTGAAGAGTGGGCAGAGCCTAGAATAATTCACGCCTACTCCGAATTCAAAGGACCCGAAGTTATTGTCGACCACATGGTTGGAGATACAGACAACCTGGAAGATAATCTTTCCGGTCTCTTTGTTAAACAAATATTGACTGGTAGTCCTGCTAGCAAAGAATTAACCTCGGGAAGCATTAGACCAGGTGATCGGCTAATTGCCGTCGATGGTCATAGTGTCACTAATCTTTCGCTTACAGTAAGCTCCTTGTTGCATTGCATACCTGTTTTCGGTAGTAAATATTAACCAAACTTTTATTTTTTAGGAAATTTCTACAAAACTTAAATTGGCCATTGAGAAAGCTCAATGTAAAATGGTGGGGAAGAGTAAACAAGCCTTTCTTGAGCTAACCATGAATCGCTTCTTCCATTGCAGCGATAAGCAAAATTCTTGGCCCAAGACTAAATCTATGTTGAGGCCGGGATCAGACGCGATTTTTGACAAATTGACAGTGCAAAATAAGTATGCTTATAAATTGGATTACTTTGATGCACTTATTACAAATCACAATTTAGTTAAAATCCAATATTTACATAAACAAGCTGGATAGCGATTTTATATTTACTTTATTTGCTGCGGATATCTGCATGTATTGACTTTACTAGTGCCATTACGCTTTGGCAAGAATGATTAAAGAAACGAATTCTTTTCAACATGGTTGATCTCTTGAATGTGGTTATAAATCCAGTCCCACTGCACGAATTTCCTAAGCTTTAACACAAAGGTTAAATACATACAACCTGTAAGGCGTGATAATCCCCCTAGCTTTTGCCTATGCTATCCTGAAAACTCCGATGTTCAATGAATACTGAATATACTGTAGTTTTTTTGCTATTTTGATAGCTCCAATGGAGAAATTCTGATAAAAAAGGTAAATATGGTAGCTGCAAAGGATAGAAAAGATTCGACCGAAGTTCCATCGCGGCGACTGGCACGCACCCCCTCAGTGGACTCGCGTTGCCGCTCGAGGCGAGAGCGAGAAAGCCGCTCACCATCAGACTCTCCCGTGCGCTGTCAGTCGGCCTTCAGTCGCGACGGCGTAGGACGGCGTAGCGTCTCTGAGAAACGCCACGCTCACATAAGTGCTACCAACTTCTCGCATTATAATGACAACGCTCTGCCCTTCTGCAACAAGGGTGGCGAGCAGGGTATGTAGCCGTGATTGGTCATTCCTTTCGAAAACACTCCTACCGTAGTGTGTAAGTGCTGAGATCAGGTACGCCTTCGTTTTAAAAGGTCGGACTCTACTTCAAACTAATTACAGTCAGCATCGCAAGTAAATAATTGCTGCAAATTTTGATCTTCCAACGTGGCAAAGCTAAATTATGTTTTAAGGACCCGTATATATTTGGCGTACCTTTTCTGTGCAGCATCTCGCCTTTACTCGACAATGCCATCTTCGCGAAAAATTCGGCAAATTCGCCGCTCCAAGCAAGATCGTCCTTCGGGTCCAATTAAGCCAGTCCATGCAGAGGAGTTAGAGAAAGCTCAAGAAGCAACAGGAGCTGCTGCATCCCAAAGTTTTTTGATTCCTCCCACGCAAAAGCATCGAATGGATGACAGTGATGTCCTTCGGACGGACGCAGGTAGGTGGAGAGGTGCATGATTGGTAGAGATCGCCTTTGTAATCTATACTTTTTTTTCGGAAGACCATCTCGCAAAAAATTCGAAACAGATCTACTGGACCTGTTTCAATCAGTCAAAATGTTTGAAATATAATCTCTGTAGGATTGGGTGTTTAACACTGTCCACATTGGCATAAATGCAGGTTGAAGGGAAAATACAAGCGAATAAATTATCGGTTTTGGGAAGGTAGAGGACCGGAGAAGTTTCGTTTGTCAAACTGATCCTGATGCATTGGCCATTGTTTAAAGACACTCCATCTAATCCCGCTTTTACATGAGTAACAGGTGATTTCGCATGTGTGTATGGGCGGATTTAATGGTTCGCGCGCCCTCATTTAGAACTCAGTGGCCTACTCAACATCACTTGCTCGGGTGATTCGAGGTTGCAGTGGCGCGCATTGGTGTACGGTTGTGTGCAGGCGCGAGCTCTCCACCACGTGCCGCAGCTTGTGGCATTCCGTTTTTTTGTGCAAAACAAACGTGGACTTCGTATCCGTCATTATTACTGACAAACTCACCACATCAACCAAATCGAAGTCTTGGGGATGCTGTTTACTGTGGAATAGCGATCTGTAGCATTCACTCAACTTTACTCGCGGTAGACTATTTGGTGGAAAAGATTATTCAACTGGGCGTTTTACTTGTCACTTAAACAGTGTTGCGAATGCTGAACGAATGGAGGCAGAACTTCATTAAGTGAAAAAGATTTAAATGGAGTTGGTGTTTAATAAGTAGAAGCAAGAAACAAATGTGGTTTGATAGTTCCTAATTAAGAAGTTTTTGTCAGAAAATTCCTTGTAGGCACGTTGTGCCATTTGTATTAAAGTGATTAGCTCAAAATTGAAACATATTATAACATCAAAATCAACAAAAAAAAATGCTCGGAAATCAAACGACGAATTTCCTAAACAAGGGGATTGCGAGTTATGCAATCTATGCAAAGTCTTATTTGATTGATTCCGAATTAGTCCTTATTCATCACGAGAGTGGCAAGTAACTCCAATCTGCTCTCACAACAGAATAGTAGGTTCAATTTAGTCATCTTACTCTTGCTTGCGTTTAATTTTGTGAAGGTGGACGGCGTGACAACGTAATATCTCCCTCCAGTATTTTCAACTAACCCGCTCTTCGTACCCAGCCAAACCCGTGTTTGTGCGAATAACGGTTAACGGTTCCGTGATTGTGGGGGTCTCGCTTTTCCATTGGCTGGTGTTCAGAAGAGCGTGGTTCGCTCACACAGGAACCGCGCACTCTAGCACTTTTTCCTTGAAAATGCTCTCCTACGGTTATTTTCTGAAATCCAAGTGGCTATTTAACTTTGCATTGCCAATTTACTATATATCTCTGAATGAATAAATTTCCTTCGAAGGATTCAATAATAGTCGATATCAGGAGGCTGAAATTTATGAATTGCACTGTGACCTACCCAATTTGCTAATATTCGTAGTTCATTCACATTTCACGTATGAACTCGTTACACCAAGTCCTGATTTTGAGACTAAATCGCCTACTTAGATTATGAAATCACCAGTTACGTTCAGGCTCAATGTGTCCGAACTTCCTTTTTTTGCTTACCTTTTGTTATTTGCGCGAATTTAGCTTAGCTTAATTCCTACGGCTCTTAGGTAAGTATTTTTTTGCCAGTCATGTAGATTTTTATTTTACATACCCTCTTTCATAGTGTGCGGTGAAGTAGTGCACGTTTGTTTGTTTCTACTGTGGTCTCTCCCGCAACAGCGTGGCTTCAGCCCTAAACTCAGGTCGGCTGACGAGGCCTTTTCGTCATGCGACACGCATTTGGTCTCGTGCGCGTGCCTGCATTTGCTGGGGGCGTCACCCCCAAACAAGTTGTAATAATTTGCAATTTCACAATCCGCTTTAATAGTATAACAATAAATAATGACGGCAGACAAAATCGCTAGCTGTGACGGTGAGTTAATCATTTGCTCATGGAATTTAGTACCACTTAAATACCATCTCAATAAGACTTTAAAAATAATAATAGTAACCACTACATTTCCTTCGCTTGGCTATTTGTAAAGTGGATTTTGCTGGTATAAGGACATATTTTGTTCAAAATAAAGGCAAACAAACTCTGAAACGTACTAAAGACTATGAGAGTAGGTGATATTTGCCATTTACATCAGTATGAACACAACATATAAAATTGAAATACCTAAGTCCAAAGGTGAATGGGGCCAGACTTTGCAGCAGGGTCGCCATAACTTTCTAGTGTAACCACAAAAACTGCTTTGGGTAACCTCAGGTGACCTCGAATTCACGCAGTTCCGGTAATACATGCAGCAATTTTGACGCTTAGAAACGTTAACTAAAGCCGGGGTGCTGCGTTTACTGACTTTATTTCGATGCGCTAACTGGATGCATGTGTAATTGCCGCAATGGAATTCGAAAAAAAATACTTTCGGTTCCGATCGTACGTGTCTGTGTTTCAATAGGATTTTATTGAATTAATAAATAATTTCAAATAAGGAACGGTCGGGTGCACCTTTGTTTGCTGTGTAAAATTATTGGATATGCTCTTCCTTCTTGGAGCATCTATGCTCAATTTCTATTCAAAGAGCATTAAATAATTTGTTCTTGACATCGCACAAACTATAACATAGTCAGACATGATTGGTATTTTCAGTTATGTCTTATTGTCTTTGTGAGGCACTTTTTAGTCAGGTTGAAGTGCATTTATGATTGCGTATTTTTTTAACTATTTCATTTGTAAGTACCTTCTTTGATTTTCAGTTGATGACCCTCGTGCTCGGTCTCATAACCACAGCTTCCGAGCCGCAGTAAATCCCGAATCTGTTCATCGATCACCGCCGCCAACACCACCTAAGCCCACCATAGACTATTGCCTTCAGAATGACATCCACCGGACAGTCACGCCCCCCCTTCCCGCAAGACGTTCCAGAGTGGTTCCACCCACTACAAATTTCAGAAGGAGGGACAGTGCTCCCAAACCTACCATTCCATCCCCATCGCCTTCACTCAGTTCGCCAACATCATCAACAGCTACCGCACAGCACAAAATGTTTGAAGAAATTCTGCAGTAAGCTTGTTATGATGTGTCGCCTTAGTGTGGGATATAAATCCCAATAGCAGTTGTTCTTTGGTCCTTGTGGGAATGAGGGTAGTATTGTTACTTAATGCCAATATTTCCTCAGTAATACAAACCTAATGACTTTGGCATTCAAAAGAACCTCCAAGTGCCCAAATTTTAATGATATTTGGTCACCGTAGTTAACATAAACAAACTGATGTACAAAACGGTGCCCTGAAAGAGGCTTGATAATGCCTAGTCTTGATTCAATCTAATTATCATTTTGTCCATTATGCAAAGAGTTATTAGATGAAAATGTACTTTCAACGAAAGCATTCTGAATCAATTTCACCTGTTAGGATTGCTTGGAAAGGCATCCAAACAGGTGAATGAGCGGCTTCTAGACTTGTTATAACTTATTTGGAATCAGCTAAGCACTGTGTTGGAACGAATCCATTTAACTTAATATGCTATCACAATAGAATTCCATCACTTCAATTATTATAATGTCGAATTTTTTAGTTTCCTCCGGTGAGTGATAGTTACTGCGGTGCTTTTCTTTACACTATCATGTCAAGACTGCATGATTCTGGCAGTTGTAATGCATCCGCGGCGTAGATCATCTTGCCCTTTTTTCATCTACACCTTCAGTTTTGAGTTCAAAAAAAGATATTTTAAAATTATTTGAGTACAAATGTGTAATGTTTGTGGCAGTCAAATCGAGTGTAAAGAAGCACAATTGTTTTGGATATTGTAGACTCCTATTTGCACTGAGTGTGATGAAAATATTTGAGTTTTAATCTCACAAGTAATATTTCGGTAATAAACCTTTGTTTGTATCAGTCGCCTGACTTTTCATTTTCATCGTTAGCCTATGTACACCAGGGTCACCGTGACCACACCAACGCGCACTGCTAACCTATATAGATATACCATAACCTATATACGTGACATTTTTTTAAATAGGTAAATTAGGGGTCTTTTAAGAATTGTGGAAACCTTTACCAAGCTTATTTGTTCAATTGCGCCACTATTACGAGGTTTGCTTCTACATAACAAAAGCCTAGCTATGTCTTCTATTCAATCGCCCTTCTCGTTAAGATTTATGGAAACAAAGTGTGTGCAAGGCCACTAATCAGATTTTGGAATTCGCGTTCACAATGTGATTGATTCTTCAAGCGAAATAAGGCAGATTTTAGTAAAACCGGCACAATGTTAGTTAAATAATGCGGTATACTCAGTCATCAGGGCTGACTGCAAACATGCAAGAATGATGATTTCATGATAGATTTAGGGAAATAATTGACGCAGTAAAGGAGGACGTGGGAAGTATAGTTTTTGCGAGACTGAAGAAACACAAATAAATAAAACTTCCAGATTTGAGTACATGGCGCTTCAATTCCCATCTTTCCCTTTTTATTAGGTCGTAGATCGGGGCAGTGGTGTACTGTGGACTTGCATTGTAAAAACCTCCACATTTTCATTTTTAAGAGTGCATCGCAGCGACAAGAAGGATGCTCATTGCTTTTCCTCTTCTCGGAAAGTATCCCCTGGATCGTGTGATCGTGAAGAAGAGTCTGTCACATTCTCTATCGCTAGCCTTCCACGTAGCTCCGCCAAGCATGTTGTCCTTACCGATGTTAGACCTCTGGCCTCTGAGCTTCGAAAAACCCCCTCTCCTGTTGAATTTAACGCCTACGCAGTTGAACAAAAGGAAATTTCTCATTTTTCCCGGCCCTCAAGGACAAAATCATTCCCTAGTTTCCTTGAAGAAGTAGAAACCAGCCTTCCCAAACGACGCATCAGTCGAGTGAATGAACCTTTGCAGGTGGAGGGACCGAGCTTCAGCGCTTCCGATCCCGCTGCCACATGTACTCGAAAGGATCTTCTGAAACTTTCGTCTCCAGCCCTTTTGCACGATGGTTGCATCACTGTTCCGAGTATGATGATGCATAAAAATGATGTTTCCAACGGACCCCTGCCTCCACAAGCTTTCTCAGTTTCTCACTGCGGCTCAAGGAATAATGATAACAGCGTAAGTAGCATTCCGGAGACCTGCCTTGTGCTTTACCACTTAAAATTTAAATTGTCTGGTAGCCAAATGGTGAACTGAGTAACTGGTACGCTTTAAGTCACTTGCCCGAAATTAGAGAATCTCTCAACCACTCTTGAGTAATGAGGCAAGCATTTTCATAGTGTAGGCGTAAACCGCTCGGTGTAAGCGGGTAGCAAGGATGCATAAATTAGCATGTCCTTATAATATGGAATTGTAAGGTGTGACCGTCACGCAGCCAATTATGCAGCATCATCATAAAACCCGTTTATCAAAAATCATAGAGTGGAGAATTGGGCAGGAAGGACTTTTCCCTCAAAAATCACATAATCTAGTGGTTTCATCAATTTAGGCTTGAGACAAACTTTGCTCTTATTTGTTGCGGCTGAACTGGTGTGTACATGAGGCGAAAATGACGCGTGCTTTGCGCTGCGCCTATACCCACCTCCGAAATTACAATCGTGCTGTTCGGTATCACTTTTTTCGCCTTTATTTACTGTTTCCTTAGTTCATGCGTACTAAATAAGCAAATGTGAGAATAACACATGGTTTTCGTATTTTAATTAGCCATTTCTACTGAATATCAATTATACCCTTAAAATCGGATGTGTGCATTACCATTATCATTAATGATTTTACAGATTACTTTTGGTGCTAGCTTATATTCCTTAACAGCATAACCTAGGACCAATCGAAACGTCCATTTAGCCCTGCTATTTGCTCTTGCTTATCGAAAGGCTTGGCTGACAATACCCAGGTCAACCATGCAAGCACATATCGCAGCTGTGAAATCCGACTCGCCCCACGCCATCGTGCGCTCGCGCTCACCGTCTAGTATCCACGTGAATGAGGCAAGGGGCGACTACGGCAGACCCTCGACCAGCACTTCTTCCGATCGCTCTCGACGCCTCTCACACTCCCTCAATCGACCCGACAAAAGTTCAACCAATCCCCAGCATCAACCCAGTCCCAAGAACCAGATCACCTATCCACAGGTTAGTTTTCGCTTTTTGTGTAAGTTAGTACTATTTCAATTGCTCCACACCACTCTCAACCTGGGAGTTGAATATGAATATAGAGATGCAGTAAAACGCTACATCATTACAAAGTCATAGTTGCAATTATTTGGCACTTTAACCCATAAAACTTTTAAAGCTTGTTTTATAGAATCTTATCTTACCTTGCAGAACTAATGGTGAGTGTTTTCAGAGCATTTGCAAATCATTACAACCTTTAGCTTCAAGGCAATTTTGTGACTCCAAGTCATTCACAAGCTACACTTGAAAACTTTAGAGACGCAGTAAACACATTAAAATGTATGTCAAATCTTCACTGAAACCACAACACCAACACTTTAAGTAGCATAAGGAGAATACATAACGATCATGGATACAGGTCATTTTAGATGAACATAAAGACTTCTAGACCAGTTTAGAGATGGATTACTCCTTAACTCTGTTTTTGTGTACATAAATCCTACATTTCTAATAATTATTACACGTTCGGAGCCGATACTACTTCGTGGAATACAAACGAGGATGCAGAAATTCTGACACCTTGGCCTTTCGAGGGCAAACTGAAAATACCAGTGACTTAATGGTATCAGGTGTGCATACTGCAGTTTGTCGTTGGGATGTTTTAGATGAAGGAAATAAGGGAAGTTGACACACACTTGCCTAATTTCGCCACACCTCAGATGAATACATGAGTTGTAGGCTTGCACACACACACACACACGCACCTACTCTCTGAATGATCAAATGGCAGTGGTTTCCATACTTGGTAAGGGATGAAAGCAAGTAGATATTCGTTGCATGTCATCAAGCAAGGACTAACAAGTCATGGGCCTGGTTGCTGCTAGATTAATTTAACAGTTTTAAGAATTTGAAAGAGGTTCAATAACGCTTCATTTGTTCTAAATGCATTCCATTGCACACGAACCTGCATTCAATAGCTATTTGAGTGACAGCATAGTCCTCGATACCACCCTCCGAAAATCATTATTAAAACAGCTACTTGACCACTTTGTAGCGTTGGCCGATCACAGAAAGCAGTCCCGCCAAAATTTTTGTTACATTAGAAGCATAGGTTTGAGAATCATAACGTATTACGATTAGCTGGAGTCGGCGCAATTTTTGATGTGTTTCGGGTATTTTTTTGGCTGGAGTCAATCGTTTTGGGACTTAGCTTGTGCTATTACTTTCCTGAAACATGCAATTTTTTGCTTCCGTGTCACAATCACTAATTAATATTTCTAATGTATGCTAACACCACACGTAGTTCCTTGATTTTGTACATTTGCAGTGCATATTAACAGCTTTTTATTTTGCATAGAATAATTCTACGTTGCGGTGAACAACTACTAATCTTACCCATCTCTTAACCATAAGACAAATGTGTAACCACAAGTAATTAAAGTTAAGACACTCTAGACTTAAATGTAAGGTGGGATATTTTTACAATCTGGAAAATTATTTTGTTTAGAATTGTATCAACCCTTTTTATGATGAATGTGTGGATGGATTAAGTCCTTACAAAGTGGTGACCGGTTAATACGATTTAGACACTAAAACTAGCGTCATGAATTTGCGTGATTCAATTTAGGAAATAACCTAACTTCCAAAAAATCAAACATTGGGAACTCATGAGTTTAGATACAGGTTGGAAAAGCTTTTACTGTCCATTCCTGCCACAATATGCATGCTTCTATTCCTCTATAACGTGACAGAAAAGTAGGGAAACTGCAGAATGAAAAGGCGAGCAATTTGTTGCTGAAAAACCAAAAGATTATGATTGTCCGCGGCTTGCTGGGAACGATTCTGAAGTGGAATTATGGAGCAACCAATGGCAATTATATTGTTTCAGGAAGGACTAGGCGTAAATGCATTTCACGATTTGGAAAGACAGATCAAAACATGGTTTGAGCATTATTTTATACATTTCCATGATTGCACACTTATTTTATCACATAAAAACGCACACTAATGCTACGCCTTGCGCAACTTCACAACATCCTTCACCACTTTTTTTTGAAATCTTACCCGAGTTTTCTTTTTGTAGCCCTTCAAACATGAGCCCTATCAAGCTTGTGCTCCATTTTATTCTCCAACCACAACGGAATCCTATCTCATCGAAGTTGCTCGAGATAATCGGATGTACCTCCTCAACAATCAACCCGAACTCCCCTTTCATCCACTTCCTTTCTTAAAACTGAGCCATCCCAGATTACACACCTCACCACTGCTTACAATAACGTAAGCGTTCCAACGCTTTAAATTCGATTATTCTGTGAAATTTGAACTTCGATTAGACATTCTGCCAATAAGATCAAAATACGAGGTTATTGATCTTGTTAACCCCCTTTGAGTAAATAGAGTGGATCATTGCGAATCTTATGGCAGTATCAAATACATAGAGGTAGTTTTCACGAAAAAAGACAAATACAAATGCGAGATCCCCTTGCTTTAAAATTTACAATGATGTGTCAGCGCCTGCCTGGCTGTGTAGAACACGGATCTACAGTATCGTGATAAAGGCATCCGACCCCATCATCCTAATTGGAGACCAATATGACAATTATAATGCTCTAACTCCTTACAAATGAGTTATTTAAACTTTACCAAATATTTATTTTAGACAAGCACGTTCGATCAGGCGATGTTGAATTCAGCCAAACACTTTGACATCGGCCAACACCAGCGAATTACAGCATCACTCCATTCCTCCAACATCTTTTTACCATGCCTTTGCATTTGGACGACTCTAATTTCCTCTTACTCCTCACTCGAGGGGATTACCAGCATTGCTTACGTCTCCCCATTCAAGCTGATGAGACTCACCTCGCTTTTGTATGTCCCATTACCAAACATATCTGCTCAGTGACCATTGACCTTCAGACATCTTGCCCCATTGGTTGTCTACCGATTTATTATTTCGTGCGTATTTGAATACACAACGTGCTGTGAGCCAAGAAGCTAAAATTCGCTTCTCAGAAAATCCACATACTTGCTTTGTGTTGTGTTTGAGAGACCAATATACACTTTGTTGACCGTTTATTTGTCCTGAAACGCTTATTTTACAACCCAGCAACGACACCCTTTCTGGAGTTAGTATTGATCTCCAAATTTGCCGTCAAACTGGACAAGCGTTTGCTGCGAATGACACATGAATCAAAATAGAAAGTTGCCACAGATTGCTGTTTGTGAATGTAATCACGTCCGAAGTGGCGTCCAAGTAGCTACTAACCAGTAACCAGTAGGAAAAGTGAAATTCGACTCGGGAGCTGTGTTCATTAACTTGAGCACAATGAAGTGAAGTGCACTTACAATAAGGAGAGGAGAGAAATTGTCCAATTGCACAGTTTCCACGAAGATCAAATACTAGGAGTCAAGAGCACTAGAAACAAGTAGCCATGGCCCGTAACCTGTCGATTATTTGTGAGAAATCATCGAATGGATCGGCGGAACCGTTGGCTTCACTACCGGTACTGTTTGACATCTCAAACTCTAATAAGGTATTGTGAATGGCTTCAAAAGATAGTGGCTTTCCAGCAAGTGCCTCATTGAGCTTATCTAGCCAATGGTTGACTGCAGATTGGCCGATTATTGCCGAGGATATCCGCTGAAGCAAAGTCGATGCGACCAAGATTTTAACTTGCTTTAACCTCTTGATACGGCCTTTCTCGCAATCCAGACAGAGTAATGTTCCAGAATCCGTCTCCATAGGAATGGAAAATTTCGGTGAGGAACCGTAAATCCAATCCCATGACTGAAAGGTGGTTAGGTTCGCCTCAAAGTCTTTCGCATTAACCCACTCACACTCTTCACCAGCGTTTACAGTGATCAATTCTGCTTTTTCATCCTAAAATAGGAAAGCATACAGCAGCATGGAGCCAATAAGCACTACCAGAGGGAGGAAAATAGTTTAAATGTATTCAAAAAGAATCCTCTGGGGAGTGAAACAACAACCAAGGTCGTGGTTAAGGTGAACTTCATGGAAATGCTGCTGCATTGGGGCATAGAAAAATTGTTAATAAAGCGATGTGAATAAAAATAGTCGACACATTCACACCATAGTGCATTTTCCACTTATGATGCTACACTTTGTGAAACAAAAAGAAGCACTGAAAGAGCTTTGCTTCAAACAAGTATAAGTAAAACACCATACCACAGCGTCGGTTGTCAACCATTCCACACATGCCCCGAAGAGTGTGGACTTCAGTTCGGTTTCGGTGACGCCAAGATTCTTTACAGGGCTGCAAATACTGCGCGAGGCTCTAGTCTCTATCTCCGGCTATTGATATGAACAGTGTATTCATATAATACTCGAAATAGTGAGCATAATAGTAGAGAGTGAGCAGTAGATGAATTTTCATAATGAGCATCTATTGTTTAAAATATAGAAGATCGTTCCGGCCTATTGAAGACCACTAGTGGAAATAAACAATATGGACTCGCCTTAACAACGAGAAAATAGGCAAAGAATTTTGGTAGTAATTGTTAACTTTGATGTTATTATAGGCAACGAAGTTGGGAAGGGACAAGTTAGATGATTAAAAAAACGGATGAGAATGTGAAAACGTACCACAGCTGGCTCCAAGACAGCGGACATGGCGCTAACGTCTGTGTCAAACATGAGGGTGCAGTGATGCAGTCCTGCGGTGGACGAGTATCTGGATGCCGATCCAGAAAACTTGAATGCCCCATCAGGCACCTAAATTAGACAAAAGAGCAAGTTAAACACCGAAACCGCGATAATAATTTCCTCAGATAGTATAGAGAAGTTACTTTAGTGATGTGAAAAGGTCAAAGCAACGTCCTCGCATGCAGGATAAACCAATAATGGAATGCCCCAATAGAAAATGGTTGTGCTGAGTCAAGGCACTTAATCACACTTCACGTCACCTAGAACACCGCTGAACACATCAAATAAACCAATTTACCGGGACGATGGAATAAAAATAAGACACTGCTTATTTACTGTAAACGAAAAACATGGCCACGCTCGCGTCGAGTTTGCCTTTCAGCTCTGTTTTTCCAACAATTGAAGTATTTACTAACAGGGTTCAGGATAAATACATGAATGGAATTCGCCTCACCTGGTAAGGTTTATACCTAACATGGATATAGGTTACGTTATTTTTATCACCATCATGCTTCCATCAGCCCACCTCAGACCACCCAAGACGAATGATCACAAGGCGCGTGCTACGTGAACATGGGTGCGTTAGTTACAACGGAATTTGGAATAGCAATGGTGGAGATGCTCAACAAATGCTAAACCTTATCGATGACTGAACCTTGTGAATTTATCATAATGCCTCTAATTCACACGTGAGTTTAGTGTCCAGAAAAGAGGTGTCAAGCCCGAATGTGACATTAATGAGGCAAATAACTGATGACCGATCACTGCCTTTATCTGAAAAGGGCTCGTGAAAATGCTATGAGAAACTGTTATAAGTCGATCCTGAACTAAAAGCAACAACTAAGCCCTCGACCAAGACATTTGCAGATGTTGCCTACACTGTGACAAAAAACTTTGTGTGAGATTGCCAAATGGATGGCATAAAGCTCAAGTGAACCAAGTTATTGTGCAGTCATTAAAGCCAGAAGGGGTCTTCATCACCCTGATCTCTTGATGCTCCAATTTAGACATATTAACGTCTTTATTAAAAATTAGCGAGATAGCTGATGTTCATATTTAGCCAGTTATTTTGCTGAATTTTATCGAGTCAACACAAAATTATGAATAGCTACTAGATTTCTAAACAGGTTCAGTCTATTCCATTGTTTGGACTCAAATGTGACTAGTTACGAGAAGCGCGATATGCTCGAGAATCGAACGAACCGTTTTAGTGTTCGCGTCTACTGACAAACCAGGAGGTAGAAGCCAGAGATCATGACGTGGACCAACAAACACGTTTAACTTCGTCCACCTAGACATCAGAGTCTGCTGTAGAAATTCCATACATTTGCGCCGGTCGAAATTTTTCCGAGACTCTAGAAAACTGATGTTGAGGTTGCCGTGATCATGGAAGACAGCACCGCCTCCAGACATGCGCCTGGCCAGAAGCCACCCACGGCCCTCCACCTCGCGGGGGTTGGCATCGAGCCAGGCGATCTGGTTGCGTCCAATCACCACGCAGGGATCGGAGCGCCAAATCACTACATCAGCAGGTCGAATCTGCGAAGACGGCTCCGTGGCGTAGCGTGTATTATTGTTAAAAAGAGCGGTCTCAAAGGCAAGGTTGCGGTAAATGTTGCCTGATGAGAGCCAATAAACACGGTTGAGAGTCGGCTGAGAGGTGAAATTACGGAAAATCCTAGCTTCGAAGAGGTGTGAAATCCGGCAGAGCCTTGACACAGAAAACATCTAAAGACATGCGCAAAACTGCTAATGTGCATTAACAAGATTTGATAGGGCACTACAATGATTCATCTCGGTAAATGGGAAAAGCTTACAAGCTGGCTCAAAAAATACACAGAAACGTCTCGATCCAGCTGTGAGGGCTCGATACGTACGAACCTCAGCTGACATCATATATTGCAAAAGGGTAACGAACATGCCATTTGCAGGGATGATTTTGCAGCCCTGCACTATTATTGCTATGCTGAAAACACCCATAGTGCCAGTCATTCCAACGTATTAATTATGAAACCCAACCAATTTACAATGCGTATAGCATAACTAACATTAATCATTAGCTTGACGGAAGTAAAAATCAACCGACAGACGTGAAAAGGCGACCGTAAAAGAGCTTCAAGCTTCGCAGCCGCGACTCCTCAGCAAAGTTCTGCTTCAAGGTCAAAAAGCGTACCCAGTCAGTATACTAATCACCCTAAGAACCAATCGAAGAACGAGACTCAAAAAACACACCTGATATTAATGAGTTTAGCACATTGGACAGTAGCCGACACTCGACTCAATAATAATTCCATCAAGTGATATGAGACCGGCACTTTGCGGAGCTAAACCATGTCGATTAGAGATCTACGTAACCGTCTACACTACACTACACCAACAGAGGCAAAACTCACGGAAATACTATAAACCTAGACAGGTGACATAAGATCGAAGCCTTAGAAAACCAAAACACCATATACGCAATTCAGCACAAACAACTTCCGAAAATAACTACTAAAACGTAGATTAGAACAAAGAATTTGAACAAGATGGCTCTATTTAGCGAAGACTGCACGAAGATGATCCCAAAAGAGCAATGCGCTTCGAGGTCCCAATCACAAAGAAGGGGCTTACGTCCTTTTTTGTGCTTCTTGAAAATAAATGAGCAGTTACAGAATTTGGATTCGAGAAAGAACAAAAAGGAACAGAATATTAAGGTGGTTATCTCCCTTTCATAGGCAAAAGAAAATGAGGCGCGGCAGATTAGGGGTATTTACAGGGGATTAAGAAACCGTCAAGGAGGCAAGCAATGTTCTAGGTGTCCGTATCATCCCAGCTATCCTCCACACATGCACGCACACGCTTTTCGTATTCCCGCCGATTTTCAACGTATAACTGAGCGGCAACACTGTTGGCTGGGGAATTAGGATTAGGTTCATCAAGCAGAGATTGAATCGACGTCAGGATGGCAAGAACGTCATATGTAGGACTCCAGGCGTTGGAGAGAATATCCAAGCAAATGCTTCCATCTGCATATACATTGGGATGGAACATTTTCGAAAGGAAGACAACACGGGGCGCCTTGTTAGGATATTCTTCAGTGAATTCAAGCTTTAGTTTGAAAGTCCCGTCTTCGAAAGCAGTTTCTTCTGGTCCGAAGATAACCGCATTCCAGACCATTACGTTATCAGTTGGTGATCCACAAATTCCTGGTGGTGGGTCATTCTGTAGGCGTTTCAGATCCCGCAACAGTCGCCGTTGCGCAGGCGTCGACATTCGAAGCGGATCTTGGGAGGAAATAATTTGGTTAGGTGGAGGCCATATAGGCAACATTCCTTAGTTACTGCGCAATACTCTAGTACACCGTAGCATTCCACATTGCGTAGGGAAATCCAAAAAGCTGAACATAACTCTTAAAGTAAGTAGAAAAGCTGTATGTTTCAGAGATACTGAGGTATGTGACTACAGCTTTCCGGTTGAACTTTTGCGCATTGTTACGAACGTTCCCGTCAAATTTAGGAAGTAAGCGCATTTAAATAAATAGACCAAATAAATAAATAAACAGACCAAAATTCTGAACACGCAAACATCATGCAAAGAAAATGACTGCTCAAAAAAGAAACGCTCCAAAGATATCACAAACAACCATCACTGTTGCACCGGGTCAAAAAATATGGGTAATGTTACACAATCCGTCACGCAGTATGCAGCAAATACTAATCGAAAGTAAAAAAATAGACGCTTGTGAAAAAAGGTTCATTTAACGAAATAGGACAAGTCAAAAGGCCAACGTATGAAAACCTTACCAAAAAAACTCCACAACAATTCAAAAGTCCCAAAGCAAAGACGAAAGAAAAGCGCGCCTACCTGACTCCAACCAGTTAAACAACAGCAAAATCAATAATAACAACATTTAATGTTTCTACAGACTTACATAGAAATTTGTTAAAATTATTAAGTGGTTAGGACATCCAAAAATGGTAAATTTTTGGATTAGTGAGCAAAGAGTACTATGGAAATATAAAATGCATGACAGTCTTGATTCGAAAAGCTTATATTCGTTTGCATTTTTTCAAGAAATTTTGTAAACTCTTAAAGGGGTTTTCAAAGTACATATATTCGTTTGTGTTACCTGTTTGGGTAAATTTTGATGAGGGACTTATGTACAGAATAGTTACGGTATTTCCTTTCCATTATGGATTTTATAAGCCCTCATGCGGAGTACCGAGACTTCCCTGAAGACAAAAGAAGACCAATACTCAGAAAACATATATTTGATATATTTGGTGCTCTAAAGAAACACCCACGGGACGGCCGTACTAGTCATCATATTTCCATGCAGCTGAGGAGATACTTGATCTCAACGGCACTTGGCAATTTAACAAGATCTGGAGTTTCGTCCGATTTGAAAGCTGATTTCAGGAACGGGGAATTGTGCTGGCCATCGTGCGTGTCCATTGATAGATGTAGGGAACACCGGTCTAGCAACAAATTTGTGTAAGGAAGGACGGGATTTAACTCAGGTCCGCAGGGAGGGGTTTCACATCTGTTCCTCCTTGCTACGTTGTTCCCATTTCGGAGCTGCCTAGCCATAACTACCTGGGGTATGTTCAGCTAGTAGGGAAATGGCGAAGGCATAGCGAATTCACTTTATCAATAGCTTTATGCAGGTAGGGTAGGAAAAGTCTGTAATGAAACTTCAGGATGTTTCACAGCCAATGTTGCTTCTGTTGTTAACAGAATGTGGGACTGGGGTAGATGCCGAAAGTAGACGTCAATTTCAGCCCTTATGTTCGGGGTCATCATCATTTGCCATGCGCGGCATATGTACATCTTCCGCCCCACTGTTTATCAAGCAGCAGCGAAGATCAGAATAGACGTCCTTTAGGATCAGATTCGCTTTCCGCTGTCATCAATGTAGCATCCTGCGACTTCTCTGAGGACGATGGAAGGCATAATATTGCGGCAGAATATGTATATTCGGCGTACGGAATGTGCTAGGGCCACTGGCATGGCCTGAAGGCCAGTCCACCCTGTGTGGTACAACGGCCAAGCCAAAAGTGGCTTCTCACTGAAACGGAGCATTATACAAGCAACGCATTACGCTTATGTAAAATAAGTTATTTTAATTGTGGAAAACAATATTAACTTAAGTAGCAGTTGCATTTAGTTAATGATGATTGCTACATGATTGTAAACTCATCTTGTCATTGTTTGGGTGGTCTATTATTAAGCTTCTGGACCTTTTTGGTTTAATTTGTTAGTTTATTTGTATTATTTGTCAAATTTATTCGGAGTATAAATAATTTTAATGGAACAACTTTAGTATGAAAAGTAGAGCCACGATCAACTGGATACTCAGGTAGGTTACTTTGGGCTTTCGGACCGTTGTTTCCTAGTTAATCTCATTCATTTTTATAATCCACAGGAAGCCCAGAACTTAGATAATAATCATGAGACTTAATGCGTCTCATCTCCTGTGCCTTACATGAAGTCGTAGGAGGTCACAGTAGTATGACTGGAAATACACTAAGAATGCATAGAAAGGTTTATGGGCTACCGTCATGGTCCGGAGGCCATACCACTGGGAGGAGGTACAAACCACGGGGACATAGGTGGCAGCGTAATCAAGGGCAGAGTGAAACAAACGATCAAAGCATTCCAATAAATAGGTGACCACATGATCTGTAATTATTTGGATCAATCTATGGATATGTTAATATGACGCTAAAGGGAAAAAAGGATATAGTCCTTATGTTTTCTGATATAATGCTTGATCTCTGGTGATCCCATTTTCTCCATTTAAGGGGATTTGGCATGATAGGTCATTGCTGATATTGCACATATTATATATGGTGTTTAACTATGCACCAAACTGTGCGGGCTAATCATTCGGCTAGTCATTATCTGCAATCTCTACTTCTGGCTTTGCGGCGTGATTGAATGGCTGCATATGTAGGGCATTGAATGTGTAGTGAAATTTCCCGTGTATTAGTTTTTCATATCTAATACTTAACGGCTGGGAAAAAAGAAATCCAAGGAATTATAAGAACAAATACGAGAACATCCCATTTTGAACCAGGAAATTGTCTGAGCAAACGACGTACATTAATTTCAGAAAATCAGATAAGATGGCAAGTATAATCTCGCAGAAAAATATGTGCAAAGAGGTAATTATCCTGACGTTTTATACCTCCTTAGCTTATCAGTAAGTTACATCTCGAAGAGGCTTATGACTTTGAAATTGCATCAGTTTAGCTGGTCTCCTCATACAGATTACTGACTTCAGGGTATAGTATTTGGTGGGGGTTTGCGGTTTTTAGTGAGCGGTCATGGTTATTTACTCGGATTTACATGTTAGCGCGCTCTTAAACATAGTAAAATTCTACCCTACTAGTTTCACTTGGTGTATTTTCACAAGAAGTGGAGTGGACTTTTACAAACTTAGCACTTAAGTAAGAGTTCTGTGTACGTTTTTTAAGCAATGGAAGTTTGAACCTTGAAAAATATGCGACGCATGCGTGCACCAACAAATATGCTTACTGGCCTTTGTTGTGACGTTTATTCCACCTAATCCGTTTTACCATTGCAAGTTGAATTATTTAGCATAGCAGCAGGAATTGGCTCGCGATTTTAGACATTGAGCTAAACAAACTCTATAATTAATTTTGGATAATGTTTTTGCCTGCTACAGAAAATTCGACCTTCCATTTAGCACAAAAAATGCCCCGCTTTTTAGCTCGTTCAAAAGAAATGATTTACTCATGTATGAAGATTTAACTTGAATTTAATGGACGAATAACTACTTCATAATTTAAACTAAAGCAACAAAATTTTCATCCTAAGAGGTGTTCAAGTCTAAAATGGTGAGGCGTTAGCGAAAATTTTCGGCTTATTAAAGGCAGTCCGTTTTCTGTTGTCCTTCAATAGTAGGTACCCACACAAGTTCGCTTGCAAAATTAGTGATACGCTGTGTTAACATGTATTAAAGGACTGCCGATATGATGTATTGTAATGCATCAGCGATCAATCTTGAATGCTGTGGGGCTTATCAAGCTCGACAGCAGGCAGAAAAATCAATTGTGTGGGTGGGGCAACACAACCACGCATCCAAGTTGGACGTGTCATCGGTCCCGACACAGTTGGAAGCTTGAGACAGTGGATGACTCATGCATGGGCAGACGGTTTAAGTACAGTCACGATCTAGACACCGACTAACCACAAATTAATCATCCAGATCTCCAAATTGACTATTTACTAAACCCATCGCATCGTCAACCTCGCTTGACCCATGCGCTCCGGTCGAACTGCTTCTCTGCTAAGAATTGTCTCCAAGGCCGATATTTTTTTTAACATTCAAGTTGTGGTGTATCGAGCAGGTAGATCTAAACCATGATTGTTTGGCCTTCACCAAGAGATTCGCAGTCTACTCCACCCAGGGGGCATTGTCTTCTGAGAATGACACGGGGCCTTGTAATTGTGGGATGGACGACGAGTGGATCGTTGGGACATGGCCAATGAAATGTTGGTTTGCCCAATGCTGGATTGGGAAGGACATTTTAGACAACTATTCGGTCAGCAGGCATTCCTGTCCTGACGAAGCAATCTTGTGGGGTGAAAGAAGCGGTGAAGGGATTTAGAGTCTTTGAAGCTCATTGTTTTCTGTTAATGCCTGAAAGTGGAATCCACTTGCCTATCCTCCACGATCCCCCCAGTTGAATGTTAATGTAAATGAGTTGTTTCATCACTTACGGCAATCGTTACTGAGAATTATTGTTAGGTGCGCTAATGGTTAGTTACTGTCAACCACCTGTGACGTGTAAATCTTCATAAACGTGATGCATGGTTGGATCACACTTCTCAAACCAACTCTGGATTTCATCTCCTACTATCGCACTCTCCACGAATCGCAGACAACATCTTTAGCTTGCTGCATTGGCCCTCTATGACGTGTAGGGGATTGTAAAGTGCATGCGGTGACTTTTATTCATATCTTGTAAAGCATGGGCATGAATGAATTAGTTACGAATCCGTCTGACAATATTCCTTCTTGCTCTGTGTAATATTTTCCCGTTCTTTCGACCCTTACGATGAAATAGTGGTTAAAGCTAGCGTGATTCGTATTTGCCTTTTTTACGAAACTAGTTTAGCTCTAATTCAAAGCTGATGCAGAAGTTTCTTGTAAAATGCCACGAACTTTTTTAAAATGCTAGACCAAATTAGTATTCATTGTACCTCGTACACAAAATCATTATTATGATATGACTATTTCTTTGGCGTTTTTGCTTCGTTGTAGATATTTGTTTTGTAAAATCATAGGAGCTTTACTTGTTGTGGTGTTTTTGAAGAGGGTTCATAAAATTCAAATGTTAGGTTGGCTAACCTAAGCGGCGCGGTGTTGTAAGATGTTGCAAGGAAGATTGTCATTTGACAAAAAATATTGTGTAGCTGCTTAAGCCAAACCGAAACTCTTTGGATTACCATTGTACGGTATGCACCAAAAGACGGAACGCTTTAGATGACTGAAACCAATAAATCGAATGACTATCATATCTTGTGACTAGAAGTTAACATGTGTTGACTTAAACGGTTTCCTATCGAAACATGAGCACATAGTAAGTGAGTATTTTTGCTGCAAATTTCTACACAAATCAGTTGTTATAAGACTAATAAAAACACTCATTTACATAATCAGGTATTTGTATGTCACTATTGTTAATTCAAGCTATGCTTTAATTGTATTTATCTAGGAAGATGAGGACTATAAATATTTTTAATTAATTGATTTTTATCTAATACAACAAGTGTTGTATACGCTGCAATTTATTTCGTAAACGAAGTCCAATGATAGCCTGGTTTACTTAGTGGTTATAAAGGGACTCACTGGTGAACAGTTGTTTACCTGAATGATTACCTTCTAGACGCAGTCCCGACAATGGAATGCAGATATTTCCAAAAACCAAACCTTCTCTCAAGACGCAACGGAAGCTCCAGTTCACAAAGTGACTTTTGGTGAATGCAAGGCAGGCTGTCTTGATGATTCCGACAAGAGAGAGAGAGAAACCAAGAGTGGAGGGCTTAAAACCCATTTTTGGGGAAATAACCAGATGGAGACACACTAGGCTGGCTTCGAGAAAGTCTTCTTTCGAGTGATGTGCCTATAACAAAATGACTTAGGCGACTATAATGGTACGAACTATTAACTTTCTGACATCTGTAAACAAACTTCATCACTGTACGAAATGTCGGTGTTAGTTTTTCTTGGAAGTGTTTTACTGCTTGTAAATAGCAATATTGCATAAAAACTGAGGCACTGCTATTAGAATTACTTCAGCGAAATCATATCCGTACAGTAAGTTTTATTGAATTAACTTCGCTGGGTCCAAGGCAAAAGTGATTTATTGATACCAACAGTTCCGAATTTTAGTCCGTCAGGTAATCTTTTGTCACGGTACTTGTCTTAAGCGTAAGAAAGGGTTACAGGCATGCATCTCGAAAATTGACTATTAAAATTCTAAGTTGTCAATTTTTTTTCAATCCCCTATTTGCAATTTTGATGATTATTATCTAATAAATTCTATCAAAACTAACAAATTGGAATGTTTCAGCTAAGTGTGTTGAGTCTTGAAAATAGTGTAGCTCGATAACTCTTAGTAAGAGGCGAATCAAGCCGTTGCTAATTTGCCTTCACAGCAGTCCTGTTGCCAACAGTTGACAATTAATGTGCTCTTATTAAAGTTCTACCAAATCCTTATTAATGTGACCTTCAAAATAAGATAAAAGTCGCTTGCTTTCATATAGCATGAGTTTATGTTCTCCCACAACAGAATTACCCTTATCAATGAGTCCGATCACATGTTGACGCTCTCACTCAAGGAAGGACACTGGTGTGCACAGCCATTCGTCCATTAGCCCAAAACGGACACCAGTCAAATAACGCCCTTCTTCCATTCTGGTGGTGCTATCAAGGCGCCATCGCAATGTAAATGTAGTAAGCCAGGGCGCCAAGTCAATTAACCGTCGTGGACAATCAGCAAACGAAGTAATCGTTAATTAGAAAATAGTCCTAACTCATCAAGACCAATGGGAAACAGGCAACAAAAGCTGCGGTGCAAAGAATTTAACAGCGTTATATAAAATTTGTGCATAACTTAACACTACTTCAAAGGCCCATACTGTTAGGTGTAATATAAGTCAACCTGAAGAGCCCTTTTTCGTGAAGCAAATGAACACAATTATGAAAGCACCTACTCTACATCATTCCGTTCCACACAAATAATTTATTTGCCTGTTTGAAAAAGATACTTAGCGACAAATGGCTGCCATCGCTACTTTTAATCCCTTTCGCGTATGCTTAATTTTTCAAAAAAATGCGATTTGGCACCAGAGTTCTGGCATGTGCGTGGTTCAGTCGAGGCCACTGTAAAGTATTTAAATAGCATCATTATCCAGGTTCATTGGTATTTTATTGTTGAACTGAATATGTTATATCTATCGCTTACATATTTATAATAAATTGAATATGCTGCATTGGTGAAACATTTGACGGATCCGCAATTTTCGACATTGCTTTGTTTGAACTTTCATTGCTGTTTGCAAGAGGTAGCCATATAAGTAAGCTATTTTCTCAAAGGTACATCTAAATTTGGCAATATGTTCCAGTTTTCACTCTGTCTCTTAAAGCATTATCCGCTGAAAAACTAAAACTTATCGCAAAATATGTTGAATATATGATAAGGTGAAACTACTACATTTTGCACTAAAGTATTTGATTGACCATGATTAATTCTGACTTGTAGCGCTGTACTTTATGCACTAAAATTAATTTTGCAGGCCGGACACTCCACAGTTGTGTTTGCAAATTACAACCCATAGTTGTTACCTATTTTTGAGTTGTTTTGTCCCCTTTAGTGCTTTTAATTTGCTTCGCTTCTTTTTCAATGATAAACAGTGGCTCCTCTCGGTTTCACAACCATGCTAGGCTGTCCAGACCATTAATGCAGTTGTAGCGATTTCTTGAGAAACGCAACGACTTTTAACAGGTGGGAAATATTACTTCCAGATTAGGTGCTCTAACTTTAATTAACAATTCAAAATTGTAAAATTCATGCAGGCGGCATCCTTTTGTAATTTTATGAGTTATTTACAAAACATTATCGATCAGTTACAATCAGTAGCAATCACATCTACATCTGCTTATGCTTAGGATATCATTTATTTAAACAGCGTTAGGAAAATGGGCAGAATTATACTACCTAAATAAATAAGGATTTAAGAAAAATATAATTTTAGAAGGAGTAGTGCAACCAAATTCCTCTGTACATCCAATTTTGCAGTTCAATTACTTCATTTTGTAGCACCGGTATTTTACTTGTATATCCATTTTTTCTAATTAAATTCTCTACAACCATTGTTTTATTTGCAATGTAGATGCAAGGTGGTCCTAGTGATGTTGTCAATCGTAAATTTAATGATCCAAAGGCATTAGTCTTCATTTAGAATGCACTCAGTCTCACATTGATTCTTTAAAAATAAGGGAGTGAACATATCACCATGCGAACGTTGATTTCGGTTAACAGTTCTTCGGATGTGGTACAAAACTTTTAAACGCCGTTAAACCCCACTGCTTGACTGATGGCCTGTTTTCTCTGAGTTGGATTGTTGAGAGCAGTGTAAGTCTCGTTGATTTCAGACAAAACCAAGGTTGTGGGCAGAAGTCCATAGTTATGATTATCCGCGGATTCGGTGGTCATAACTCTTCTCTCTTGACATGGGGAGATATTTCCAAGGAGAATCGCTTTTCTTGGATGAAGTGGTGCGTAAATCGGCGGGGCTGCATACTTTACAATGAGGGCATTAGAGCGCTCACACAGTGGAGATTGAAACATGTGATTCCGTGTTATGTGATTTGGCATAGCTTGACCATTTGATCCTACAACATTAACACGCAAATCAACGAAACCCTTACTCTTCGATGGCCATTAGTAATTTTGTTGAATAAACTCGGAGGTAAAAATGTGTTGCAGCGATTTCATATTTTATTTAACTGTGCGTTTAACCATACAGACACCTCAGTCTCGGAGGTTGTACTTCCGCTCTGCAGCATGGCCCTTGGGCCATGCTAACAGTCTCAGGCATTCCTCGGGTTAGTAATGTATGTTCTGCCATACTACTTTGGCTTATGATGATTTTGGTGAATGAAATCCCTCATTTATGACCTACCCTAGTTCTTTTTCATCCTGTTCAGGACGAAGCAAGGCATGCTTAACAAGAATCCTTCGTTCCAAATAAAGAGCTCACTGAAGGAGTAATGTTGAAATTGTTTTTAGGTGACCAGCGTTTTAACCAAGCTCGTCAAAGTACATTTGTGTTTGTCTTGCATGTAGATTTTGCAAGTCATATATTGTAGAAAAAAGTCCCACTATTTTCCTACAATGTTGCTGCATTTTAGTTGAATCCACTTATTAATGCAAAAATGAGCGTCATCACATGGATAATTGTGGAATTAATTCACAAACGAATAAACTTTTACCTAAATTAGGCTATCTAGGTGCTTCTGGATATTTGGGCAAATTTGGTGCAAACTGGCGAATGGGGAGGTATCTGAATAGTTGAGCCACACAACATGGCTAAAAACGCTCATTTTCTCAACACAATGGATCAGGAATCATGACTGGAGAACAGCCTCAAATCGTGTAATCGAGGGCGTTTTTAAGTTCTATGGAAGTGCTTTGTAAATTGTGGTGTTAAGAACGATACAAGGATAAGGGAGTATTGACATACCTGTATTTTCAGTTGTAGGAATTGAGCCTTCTTCGGTTTCACTAAAATTAAGTCCGCTCTAAAGAAGTAGAATACGCAACCATGTCAAAATTTTTTGCATTCCCAAACTGCGCCGAAGTTTTCCGTTTGGAAAAGATGCAAGTAGGCACGCTATAGTAGGCTATTTTAGATTAAATTTGTAAACAACTCATTCACTCACTTGGATTGTATAATATCATTATGTTTAAATGAATAGAGATGCTGTAAATCATGCTACTTCGTGATTTTATATTAGAGGTCCGAATACTATAACTTATTCAAGGGTAGTGCAAATAAAAAAGGTGGTTATGAAAGAGCCAGATATGCTTTCAAGTGTTGAAGTGGCTAAAGCCGCCAAACTTTGTTAATTGGTGAACCAAGGGCTACCTTGCTTGTGTCATTTCGCAAAGCTATACCATTACAAGAGGTGAACACCTATTGCCAAGACAGGGCCAATTGTCCCAGGGGTTGAGCCAAAATCACGATAATATGTAGTAGTGCGACAAATACTCTCCTGATTTATTCATAAATCTATCGATCGTTGTGCGCATAAATATTACCTTGCATTTCTAATTGCTCCGTAATTAACAGTATTTAGTCGTAGTATTTCTAAAGCAGACCACATGCATTTCCTCCAAAGCGCATACCTAAAGAAACTGCGAGATTTCGTAATATTTATGATTCAGTCTCCATTGTCTTTTTCATTCTTGCAACTAGTTTTCCAAAAATTTACGATGATTGGAGTTATTGGAATCGTTTTATTTGATTCCTGACAAGCAGCTACTGAATTTAATAGCCTAAAATATGTTCCCATTTAAGACTGTACCACTTCACAGTGAAGCCCACTGTCTCTCTTGAGCACTTCAAGCGTTTCATGTAAAATATATTTGACAAAGCGCGCAAAATGTAATAACAACCATTCGGAAATAAATGTACACTAGCTTGTGTCTGTTGGCTGATAACACGTCTACGTGGTTAAATATTACCTAGTTTTACCTAGTTTAGATCCTACCTCATTCCCAATCAAAAACCGTATTATATCGCTACCTTGAAAAAGCTCTCGCATATTGTTAAATATTTTTGATATAATCTTAATTGATAAAATATTTGGTAAAACATTTTAGAGGTAAGGTGGACTCACTTCTGGGGGTTTGAATTCGCGAAACTGGAGATCCTGCTGGCTTCCATTTATGATTCTCGATGTGTTACTAGATGTAAGTTGCAACGTAGATTGCGGAGGGGGCGAGTCTCCTTCAGAGGCAGTTGCATCGCATTTTACCGATAATTGGAATTTTGACAGCGAGACATTTCCTGTTTGAGAGGATTACAAATTGTTGGGTGCTTGATAGAGAATGCGATGTCGTCAAGTTTTATCCGTCCCTCAGCAAAGACAAACCTGCTTTTGTCAAACACTAATCTTGCAGAAGTTCTCGGTGATTTTATTGTAATATATGCTCCTGAATCCTGATAATCAGACGAATGTTATAATATATTAAATTAAAGATTTGACACTTGTCTAAAATGCTTAGAGGAAATTATTCAAGCACACTGTTTTCACTTTACAGACAGTTTTATCGCTAAATGCGCTGGTTTTGCTTACACTATCTTAAACAATTATTCCTTAACCTCTAGATTATTTTATTTGATGACAGTATTCTTTCAGTTGACTTAAGATGTTTGTTGAAATTGCCGTTGTGTTTGAAGAAAAATGCTCATTAGCTGTTCTAGTTCCTTGTTAAGGCGACTTCATTTCTTGAACCTATGGCAAATGTCTATGGAGAGAGCTATACACGACTGAAATCTTCAAACATCGGAAATGTCTTTGATGATCCAAGCGGAGAAATGAGGTGTTAGAGGACGAAACATTTCACTAAACCACTGTAACCGATTACTTTGGATGCTTACATAATAGTCTAATTTTCACTTATTGAGAAAAGAATAAAGTCGGAAAAGGATCCAGAAAGCCGATAAGCCTTTTAAACAGAAAGGTGGCCTAGGTAATTGGTCATGGATGTGTTCAAACTAGGGAATATTTATTGTTATCGAATGAGTATGATTCCGAAATTTAGAAGACGGGCATCATGAAGAGCGGTTCGACCTCAGAAATTCAAATTAACTGACCACCAACAAACTCAACACCTTCCCTCAGCTTTTAATCAAGGAAACTTTGACTAAACATCAAGACAACAATGCGGCGTTTACCATTATTTTGATGAAAGCTGGAAATATGTGCTCATGCTTTCGGTCAATGCTAATTAAAAGTATTGTCTTAAATAAGAACTGCTAGAAGATTCCTAAGAAGCAAAAGCGTTTGACTAGAGATTAGTTTCAATTTACAATAAGGATTAAATAGACTTTTCAATATTTAAATGAAAATGACAAAAATTGCATGTAATGCTGCACAAATGACTGAACTTCCCTTGAGGTAATGTAATGCCATAAGAGTAAAGGCATGCGTCACAACTTGTAAACTCTTGGCTACATCCAATGTGTTTCTCCATTTTTCAACAAAGCTTTGATTGAGTAAAATGAATCAGAACAGCAGTACATCAAGAGGAATGACATTTTAACGTTGTCAGTTTGCTTTCCATTCCCTCAGCTGCTTTGCAGGCGCAGTGATTTAAAATGGCATCACTCATTTAAAATTAGAAAACTTTTTTGTAAACAGAAATTGACTTAAGAATAAATGAGTATTGGAAAAGTGTGATTGCCCAAATTTCTAATCCTATTCTAATATATTATTCTGTGCTTGGAAAGTTGTAGATATAAAACACACAAAAATAACAAAATTGGACAAAAATCGCATTAAATGATTTGCTGCCCCATTTCAGTAGTTTTAAAATCGACCCCAGTGACTATAAAATGCCAGCATGGCTTGTATTCATCTGGGAAAATGGGATTTTCAGTTCTCGTGGTCAGTAAGATCACACCAGCCTACCAGCTTAAAACGTCGCACTTGTTTCGGGAAAAAAAATTTCAAAATAAACAAATCATTGTTGATGAGTTATTTTCAAGGGATAGGTGTTAGGGCAAACTGCTAATGAATTATGTTGCTGAAATCTTTGGCAAGTTAAGAGCTATTTTTGGGACCTGTGAATGTGATTAACATTGTGTGTGACTTAAGAACGTCATATTAGCTTTCGTCCAACAAGTGACTCCTCTATTTAGGCAGGATCCGGCATTTTGAGGTATTTTTGATATCTCATCAAACAAATGCTTACCTAATGTTAGTGTGAATCAAACTACAATTCATAGTCTACTTGTTTATTAAAACACTGGTATTAATGATTGTGATAATGTAGAAGAATTTTTGAGTATTATAGAGTAAAAAGTCCGCCTGCAATAACGCGGCACAATACCTCAACTTCCGTCTGATCAGCAAAGGATATTCTTAATCACTGTCTATCAACAGCTGAGGATCGTCTTCAGCATTAATAATTGCAATGAAATACCATTACATTACCACTCATAGTGTCTAAGCACTTTTAATGCATAGCAAAGCCACCTTATATCCCAAAGAAATTTGATAAAATATCAAGGATGTAATTTATGCAAGCAAGAATTTCACACGCTTTTGGATTTTATTACAAGTTATTGTCATTATTGTAAAAGGTAAAAAGGATTTTCAAACCGAAATCATTCCTGATGCTGACGAGCCACTTTAGTTCGGAAAAGAGGTTGCACTCACCTCGACTGGTAGTGCAACTTTTTATGCCACACGCATGCAGAGTAAAAGAGAAGCAAAGCGTTGCGTATTCGTCTCACTGATTTCTTCTGTTAATTGATATGTTCAAGTTCTTTGGTAAAATATGCTCGATCACCTTTTTTCCCTTTTTATGAATATCATTGATCACCGAATTTTAATGGTGTCTTAAAATGCATACTTAAAGTTGCTAAAACACTCCTTTTGGTAAAATTATTACTTTAAAATGATGGTGGTTAAAATATGTGTGAATAATTATCAAAAATTTAGACGATATTTAATTATTAAAACGACATTTGTTTTTCAGCATTTGTTTTCTTAACAAAGTACAAATCAGCTGTAGTAGTTGGAGTTTATTTCTACCCTTTCATTCTTAAGCAAAAAATACTTTTGTTTAACCGAATGCATAAGCACAATCTCCTAAGTTGTAAAGTGTACTTAGTCCCATCTCCCAAGACGACTGACTTACTGGTAGGGGTCATACTATTTCCGATTCAAATTTAGAGTAGCCGGACATCCTGCGTTACATAAGAATATATCGAACCAGCCTCATCTGTTCCTCATATCTACTTAAGTTCCATCATCCTTTCTGTTAGCCCACCGTCGAAATAATATAATCTGAATTAACCCATTGTCCGAAGTCAGCCATCCGTGGTCAGCATTAAACGGAGAAGGGTAGCAGCACTGGCGTAAAAAGCGCCTTTCCGTTCTGGTCAGTGAATAGAACCGTGCTGCTTCTTGCTCCAAATACGCAAAATGTTACAGCGCTAGAAATTTGGAGGACAGAACAGACAAACTGCATTGTGCTTCTAAGACAAAATGATGAACGAAAATATCGTTTCTGCAGCACAGGCGGTATTGTTAGCGCAATTTTCGTTCATAACTTATAGCAAGCAATCTGAAAAAAGGTTTAGACAAGATTCATTTTGTGGTTTTAATAGAACTGGCAGACTATTAGTTTTGAATTATTACAAAGGTGAGGGATTTTGCTCAACCAGTGGAATAGACAGAAAGGTAATAAGGACGTTGGATCTAAAAACCAATTTTTAAAAACAGAGAAATTTAATAGAGTATGCCCATGGTACTTAGCGTTACATTCTACGCAAACGTACCTATATAAGTGAAAAATGCACGGAATAATGGGTTTTTTACAAAAGTGATCATGAAGAGCGGAAGTTGAATTTATACAAGTTCCAAACTGAGCTCAATTGGGTGATGCACCGTCGATTAAATAACGCCTCTAAAGTGGTGGACAAGTCCGGAAATATCCGACTGTTCTCATGTACATAGCAACAACTCTCCTCCGGCCATTTGTATTGCTAAAACGGAAACCGTTGTGCTAGGCGCCAGACAAAGTGAAGTTATGCCGAACCTCTATCCCTTCATGGGAATTCAAACATACACGAGGGAGTATTAAAGCCAACATATCGGCCGCAGTTCTTAAAATTACGCACATTATTGTTTTAAAATGAAATTTATTGGTAATCTGCAACTTGATATTTACTTCTCGTCGACTAAGGACTGCCTCGGTTCAACAACACGCATCTTGGGTGACTGAAACTCAGTGTAATGTTCCACTCCATATGCAATTTTAAGCTGAGACAGTGAAAAAGAGGGGAATTCATCATTGCTAGATACACATAATTGGTTGCTGGATACCATGTTCACACAGTTCAGCAGTAGAATGAATGGAAACTGATTTGTGGTAATCATGAGTAAGAGTAAATTAGTAGACCTCCTCTTTGCAACACCAGTCAAGACTGATTTCTGTTCGATCAGGCTACTGAAGACGTTTGGGTTTGTCGGACACATGCAAACGATTTGCTATATTATTATACCAGCTTTATTCTCTCAGAACAAAGACCGTTCTCATTTTTGCATGCTTATCTTGGTAACCGGAGTGCCTTCAAATATCGCTGGGCGATTTGAATAAAGGAAGACAAAAAACCCTTACTTTTGCTTTTTATTCAACCGCTTTATTTGCGAACACCTAAAGTCTAAGTCGCATAGATTACTTTGCGAAATAATTACAGTTCTTGGCATTTTCCAAGCAAAACATGTCTGCGCGTTGCCTTTTGTGATCCCGAAATTCAATATATTACTTTGAATGTGCTCGTCGAAGCAGAATACCAATTTTCATTGCATGAATTTCATCAGTTGAGGATAGACCGTTGGCTGTTTGTTTAGACTCTTTGAATTGAAGAGTAGGTGCATTTGCCAAGATGCATTCGTGTAATTTTCCAATCTGACCATAAGCCATTCAATACCGCTTCAAAAAAGTACATGAACTTTATTGATACTATTCATGAAACCCTGAATCCATTCCTCTTTTAACAGTTTACAATTCCGTGGTACCAGAAAACCCGTTTTTTGATCTCACAGTCTTGTATTCATCATCTTGGGTGAGTCAGTGTTATAAAACATTGTTATTGAAATGTTGATAAACAACTATGCAATTATTACTTTGAGACACTCTGTTCAACGATTTTTTGTTCAAAAATTCTAAAAGATAAAGTAACTGGCAGTGGAGAAATTTAATGCTTTGCTTATGTCTGAAGATTAAACTTGAATGAGTGCAAATATCCCTCCCTAGGTCTCATATCTGATGACTTTACCATCACTTTTGCCATTCTTTTTCCCACCCCACTCCTCTGCGAAATTGGAAGAGTGGTAAAAAATTCCCCCGCTTAACTCTGTTGCATATGCGTCGCAGAAGTTTTCTTATATCAGTCACAAGTCTTTTAGTGTAAAGAAAATCACTCTGAGCAAAATGTAACCAGGTTTACAAAATGCTTACCCTGGGGATAGTCTGCTGCGTAGACGATTGGAACAGCTTGACATGTAGAATACGGGTGTGAATTTATTTCCCTTTCCTCTGTAGATGTGTGACGTACAGCTTGCTGTTTAAATGGAAAGTCTCGTATGAAGAGAAACGCCAGAAGTCCAAGAACAACGATGAACATGGCAAAAATTACGACGGCTACGATGAAAAGGTATTTTGCTTTTGCATGCCCCAAAGAAGAAGTTGAGTCGAATTCCAGCTTAGAATGCACTGTTTTATTTAAAGAAAAAACCTGTTCCATGGTAAGTTGGCTTCTTTTCACATCTTCTGTACGATGAGTCCAAGCATTTTTTGCCACTATTCCAATATCATTACTTTGATTCAAATTCCTGCCGAATAATGTTGAAACGTTTAATGGGGGATCGTAATGAATAAATATCCTTATCCTTGCAGTCTTGCTGAATGGATGAAAACCTAAGTCCATGACCGTAACATAAATCTGGTGTTCAGTCTGCGTTCTGGCATGTTTTAAGTCATTTCCTAGGAACATCTCGGTGAGAGGCTTTTTCACAATCAAATTGGTACATTTTTCATTGTCTTCAACCTCTTCTACAGATCCAATACCAAAGTATGGTCTCAAGTATTTTGCGCACCGCAAAGTGAAGTTTAGTTTGCCGTTTTCCTGCAAATCATTATCTTTGGCACATATTCTTAGTATGGAAGAGTTGACGGTCACATCATGAGTGGTGTTTAACGTAGCAGGTCCGGCATGAGGACCTTTCGAAAGAGCGCCTGGCTCAGTAAATACGGGACTATTATCATTTTGGTCTTGCAGACGAATAGTGACACCAATTTCAGATGTTAGGCGCTGATGAAAAGCCCCTGTGTCCGACACGACCACCGTGACTTCATGTTCTTGCTGCTTTTCGCGATCCAATACACCGTCTACGTAAAGCTGACCCTTGCGGGTTATCCGAAAGTACGCAGGAGGATTACTATGCCAAAACGGACCCGGTGTTTGTTTAATTGAAAACTCAAGGGTCCCATTTGCTCCACTGTCTGCATCGGTAGCGTTGACTTGGCCAATAAAGCGCTCCATTAGACGTTCCTGATCGAAAGACTCTGGAATTTCGAATACAATTCTCCCTGACTCATTCTTGTTTCCCTGGAATACTGGTGGAGAGTCATTGACATCCAACACGGTAATATTGACATCTACTGAAGAACTCAGCTGTGGATCGCCTTCATCCACTGCTTCAACTGTCACACAATAAACGGCCTTATTCTCCCTGTCAAGCGAACGCAAAGTCGAAATTTTTCCTGTGCGTTCGTCAATGGTGAAAGATAAGGTTGAGACGTTGTGTTTGCAGTTTTTAATGGAATATTTCAAAGCAGCGTTTCTCCCGAAATCAATATCACTTGCATGAACATAGCCCGCAACTGTTCCATCTGGCTCATTTTCTTGCACACCGATATCTCCCCTATGTTTAAATTTCGGTGCGTTGTCATTAATATCCCACACCCCTATGTCAACCATTTGGCGAGCGATGTTGGCTTGCGGACGGCCACGATCGGCACATACGATGGTCACTTGTACTCTTGACGTTGCTTCACGATCAAACTTGATACCGTCCCGTTTGAGAAGCATAAATACGGTGGGAACTCTGATAGCCGCAGCGGGCGTTTTTAGTGGGACAAGACTGAAGGGATTAGTACAAACTAGGTTATTCCATTCTATGTCACAACTCACGGCTGCATTTTCTCCTGTATCAGCATCAGAAACTGTTATCGTAGCGAGTTTAATTTCTCTTCCATCTTCTTCAGAAATCCAGATGTCAGTAAGTTTATAATAGCTCCAATCAGAAAGATTTTCTCTGGGAAGTGGACTAAGTGATGTAACGGTTATTTTAGGCGTGTTATCGTTACAGTCCTCAAGAGTAACATCAATATTTGTTACGTTAGTTAAACCACCTCCATCTTTTGCCTCAACAGCTATGGAAAATTTGGGTGTGGTCTCATAATCTAGCTGCCCTATGATGTATACCTTGTCGCCATGTACCACCACTTTATAACTTGCCTGAATATCTGATTTCCTCTGCACAACTTTGAACTTTATTAGTCCGTTTTCCTTGCTGTCCGCATCAATAGCGGCCAGTTGGATAAGAAACCGAAACGGTGTATCATATGCAAAGCCACTCAGACGTAGGAAGGAACGTAATTCAGCACTTGTTTTCCATAGCGATTGTTGAGATTGTTGAGCGCATTCGCGCAAGTGGACGTGGTACGGTAGACCAACCCATTGGGGGCTGTTGTCATTTACATCCTGGATTTCAACGGCTATTAGTAGTGCACTTGTCAGTCCTCCTCCATCATAGGCATGAAGACAGTAGAAGAGGTTTTGAAACTTCTCGTAGTCAAGCCCACTGATCTGCCTCAATTGGGGAGTATTTTCATCCGTCATAGACAAAGTGAAATAGCCATCGTCATTAGCTGTATACGAGGGACATGCTTGTGGACCAGAGTCTGAGTGTATACGACTGAGATGGTAACTACTTATTCCATTTTTTCCAAGGTCCGCATCCTTCGCAGGGGGCAGATAAAATAAGCCTCCAATTGGAGAGGATTCCGGTACTGATATTGTGACAGAAGATGGCTCGAAAATTGGAGAGTTGTCATTCATATCAATAATAGTTAGTTGAACTGTTTCTAGAAGACTCTCTTCGTTTGTGGTTATGTGAACTAAAAAAGCAACTTCACAGCTTGGACTTTCAAATCGATGCAAAACAAGAGATGAATTTGTTGATTCATCGTTTTGGCAGATAGCTTCCCTATCGATTGTTTGAATGGCAAGCATGCTCCCATTTGTGGGATGAATTAAAATATATTCAGAGAGAGGTTGTCCTGCAAGACTTGTAAACGTCTTCTGATGCTGAACAATAAGCTGACCAATCAAAGTGCCAGCAGGAGTGTTTTCCTTAATGTAAAACTGATGCATGTAGGGTGCCTCACAGGAAATCAGCGGTATGACGAAGACTGTCCATGTAAGTGCAAACATATTTAAAGCACTAGAAACCTTCCATTTAGTCGAATATGACGTGAAATGTGCTCTTTTGTGTCAATTCCAATGAGAGGAAGCTTATGAATCTACTCTGAGCAACCTATCGGCCAATCAAAATATGCCAAATATCCGATTGGTTAAAAAAGTCTGAGAAAATGCTTGAGTAGTACTTCCAAGCGGCCAATATTCATTTGTATATGATGCTATGCGTTTATTTAAAGTTATTTTGGAAACATTTAAAATGCCAAATCGATAGGCGCTGCATCCCAATTAGTTTATATACTACCAAAAACATGAAACAATAAGGGTTTAAAAAAGGGACTTTCGAAAAAAAAAGGCAAATCAAATGCTCTAAATTAAGGTGATGAAGTGAATGGCTGAAAGTTCCTGTCACATCATTCAGAATCCAAGTGCAAAAATTGTTTTACAATTCTGACTCTAAATTGATTGGAACGGAGTGAATTGCTGCAGTTTTTAATTCGCTTAAAAGCTTAGTGTTATTTAGGAAAATTAACAAAGTCAGCACTGTATGCCATAACTAATGCTTACCTGATCTGATGAAAGTTAAAAATAATTACTAACTCTCACCCCAAACTTCGAAAAATCCTTTGATTTGCATTAAAGTGCGGTCGACTACACTCCATTTCACCCCACTTAAATTTTTCACGCCCCTTAGTGCCCTATTCGAGAGTTGAATCAAGAATCAAGACGGGTGTATTTTGTCGGAATTACCAGTCATGTTGTAGCAAACACTCCCCTTCCGTCTAGCTTCCAAATTTAATAAATTGCGGGGAATTGGATAAGTTAAGTCGGTTTAAAAACCTTCTTTACATACAAGGAGGGAATCCGCGACGTGGAGTCAATAAGCGTTAGGCAATTATTATTAACTTACCAAAGGCTCCTTGAGCCCAATAATTCCATGCCTTGAAAACTGGGAATGACAAATTAGGTGGATAATTTTCCCCTTACTGGTAGCAAAAAGTGCAGATATGGCAAGAAATTGTGGTAAAGTTGGTTGAATGTGTCCAATGTTCCGAATTAAATTTGACTTCAGACATGTAAATATAGAAAATCTAAGCTTAAATTTCATGTTATATTGAAACTTGGATTTCACGCCTTTTGGCTGCTAACCTAAAAAAGGCCGGTAATTGATTTCGTTGAGTTGAGTAACCCTCTCTTCTGAGTAAGGGCTAAATAAGATATAGACGGGAGGCACCGAAGGCGCCCTTGATGTTAATTTGAGGAAAATACAATTACCCGTTTAAAGTCATTGCTACCCTCGAGTCATAAACCTCAACTAAGTTGATTGTGCCGAGACTATTAATTATCATTCCGAATTTGTTTTTCATGGTCCTTGGTTTGTAGAAAATGTTTAATTTTGTCGAGTCAGAGCCTTTCCTTTGTGTCGCGCCATTTTGCGTTAATTATTAGCCAAATCTAATGAAGAACAGCTTTAACTTTATTGTTAGTACAGCCTACAGAACAGCAAATTCACGCCCCCTCCTTCGATTAACTAGTTTTCAGCACCACCTATGCCTTACCTGCTTTAGTGTTCAGGGAGCTGACCCCTAAATTAACTATTTTGCAAGTGATTGGATTTAGTTTAAATGATATTCTGGTCAAAAACAAACGTACAATAATAGCCAAATCATCCAACTATATCCATAGGCTTATGGCTAAGACCAGGGGTTTTCTCAACTTGGTGCTTTCGAGGCGCACACCAGCGCACGACTTAAACCACTCACAGGCACAGCAGACTGACTCAACATTTGCGAGCAATGGGTGCTATATTGTACTTCGCACAAAGTGCAATCAAAGATAAAAATAAAATACTTTGCTACTAATGGCTGCGTTTACTTTTCTAGAACCGATTAAACTGCCACGAAAATGCAAGAAAATTGGGATTTTATTAAGCACTCCGAAAAACTTTGTTGAATATTTCACAAAGAGAATTGCTAACTAAATAACAATGGCAAAAAATCCTTCCAAAAAGAAGACTTTCTAAATCATTTGCCCATTTTTGGCAAGCACAAAGTCGACCCAGTGAAATTGAAAATGACCACTTAAAAATTAAGCTTGTTTTAGATTATGCAAGTTGACAAATATGATAAATTTTGTGCATAGTAAGATGAAAACAGTCGCGTAAAAAACAAAACCACTTTCTTGTGTTGAATTCTCTTAATATGACTTCGACCAATCTTGTTAATGCTGTTTCGAGTTAGGCACTTTGCGATAGCGGGATTGGAATAGTTAGTAATTGCCTAGGCATTAGCACAACTACTGTAAATTATCAAAAGTAAAAGTTTATTACAAGTAAAATGAATTATTTAGGTTTTTTCCATTACAAAATCGAAGGTTTCCAGATTACCATTGTGATTAAAAACTTTTACTTGACTATTAACTTCAAATCACTAAGTAAACATAATTATAAGAGCTTAGTCAAATAGCGAACTTCTTTTGCTTAGATTTGGAGTACCCCTTAGCAATGATATTTTTCGAAAATCTCGAAACCATTGCAATCCCAAAAAAATATCCAAACATTCACAAATTGAAACATAAAGGTCAAAACTTCCTCCAGTACAACAATGTAGGATTCATCTCAAAACGAATTATGGACAAAAACAAAGCTTTTTAGATTTTGTTCCTTACCACCCGTGAATCCTTCCCAGACATGTTCAGCAGCATTTCCGATAGCATGAAGGAGCTCTCAGTTAATGGTGTGGAGGGTTATTTCAGTTTTAATTATGTTTGCTTTAAGCAAACAGTGACGGCTTTGAAGTGGTAATTTTCGCGTATTATAACTAGATAGCATTACTTTTGTTTGAATTTGTGCATTTGTTTTTTTGCAAGCTCATTTTTTCTGCGGTTGACTAGGGAACGCTATTCACAGATTGCCTTAGTCTGATATCACTAGCATTAAATGCTCAAATTCGGGCTCACGTTCAGACCTTAGCCACGTTGGAGAAGCAACGACAAGTCTGCAGATAACGTCTAGTCCACCGCAAGGAAGCGTGACACGCATTTGCAAAATTTTCTGCGCAGCTCCCGATACGTATCTGACAGGCATCGGGTAACTCGTGGTTTGCTGCGGTGAAAATGTCGTCTCTTTTTGTTTTTCTCTTCCCCTACTCCCTCTCTCTTTTCCCCCATTTTTAGTGATACGCAGATTTTTTGGTCGTTTAGTTCAAAATCAAATGAATCGATTGTTCTTTACAATTTTTTGGAACAATAGCTACGAAACCCAATTCTGCCATATGATACGAATTAAGTGTAGTGGGAATAGTGAGAAACCACTTTGAATTGTTCAAACGCGAAGATCCCCAAATGTTTAGTATTCGTTAAAATAAAGAATGTTTTTTTCCATGAGAACTGATTGTGTACAAACAGGTATAAATACTGCAAGAATAAGACACAGTCGATTGACAATTTCTTTGAAATTCGATGTTAGTTGAGGTGTATCTATCTCTTTGAAAGTTTGCATTACCATGCATTCACTTTTGACTAGCATAGTATGGGAGGAGCAGTTTCGCTTCATTCTTCAAATTTAGTGTAACACAATTACTTTTACTCTATCACACGGTGGAGCACTAAATTGCAAGGTTTTATTCCGTTCAAAGCTCATTCAATGGTAGTGGATAAGAATCGGAGGGGGGTTTGAGTAACCTGAGCAATCGGTACGAAGGGAATAAAAAAATTTTTTATTAAAATGTCTCCGGCGTTCAACTCTACCAATTTTCTTCAATCGCACTTGTATCATCAATGTTTCTCCGTCTACAGATGACATATACCCTGACACCTATCAAAACTAACCAGAATCTGGACAGGATTAATCTTGATGTTTTTGTCTACGTAGGATGAAGAGAATGCAATCTCCATTATTCATCCCATCACACATACCTTCTTCGCTTACTCCTCCCCCACTCACCTTACACCCTAAGACATTTTGATAAGCATATTTCTCCTCTTAGCTAGTATTTTCAATTAGTGTACAACACCTAACCGCACCCAGTCTGATGACTGTATGCAACCTCCCTCACGCATTCAGTCGCTATCAATTAAACAAAGTGGGTTTAAGTATGTATGCAAATTCATGTCTCCCTCTCTCTCTCTCTCTCTCTCAATTCTACTTAAGTTGAACGGAGGATAGTTAATGAGGGTCGTGTGCAAATGTCCGCGATTCCGAAGACTCTCAGTTGACCGAAGTGATGTCGCATCCATATAGCAGTCAGTAACACTCAGTAATCTAGTTGGTGTTTTGGGTAGTTGATTCACATTCCATATACTTAGTGGTAGTCTTTATCAAAACGCCCAAAATAAGTCCAACGATGGCTTATAATAGTTAAAAAAGGTTTGCACCACAGGAATTATATAATTAATTGAAAGGAATTCGCCCACGCATCTGCAAATGGAATAAGTCGGTTTCCATATCCATCAAGGGATTTTAGTTTAATTGATTGAAATTTAGTAAATTGATTTAATTTAACTGATTTACTTTTAGCTAATGAATAATTATCAGTATTCATTCACGGTGGGTGTGCGAATTCAACCTAATCTTTGATATGCGCAGCTGTCTGAACACAGTGGTTGCACACTTATATACTAGGAAGTTAAAGTCATGCATACTTCCCCTTTTCATCCCTTTTCTTAGTCACAACCACCAAACTAACCTCATGGAAAACCATGGAGCACTCTTTTCTAAAGTTCTATCCTCATTTTCATTAATTTATTTCATCACCGCTGGTTAGCGCATTCGCGTGACAAATAGCACTCATTACTAGTTCGTTGTTTGCTTGCTT